TGAAGACCTTACATAATGGGAAGTGGCTTGATAATACACATAAAACCTTGACAAATGGCCAAGTCTTTCATTTCTAGAAATATCTAATCCAACAAATAGAGGAAAAAATCTGAATAAAGTAGTTGTGCTATTCATGCCTTTACAAAGCTCTCCAAGGAGCAAAGAAAGGATGTGGTATCGGAAAAACACAGAAGTGTTAGTCACATCCGATTTTAACACAAGAGTTATCTTAACGTAACAGCCAAGACTGTCAGCTGAGAGCCACAAGTCCTTGGTTCAAACCTAATTTCAGTAATCAACTCATTCTATAGCTTTCAAAAAGTCATTATCATTAAAACTCAGCTGTACCCATCCATGCCATGAAACACTAGTCATTGCATAAAAAGTCAAAGTAATCCTTGCCATGTCAACTCAGAAATATGTTCAGAGTCAATTAAGTGTTGTATGCAGATACAACGCATAGAAGACTGCAATGCAAAACAGGTGCTCTGAACACTCAAAGTATTCCCCTCTCCTTTTGAAGAAAAAAATAATCCACAATAGCACAAAAATTATAACTATACTTCTCTGGCCCATGCCAGTCATACCTCAATACAGTCATACCTCAGTAACAAAGCTTTAAACAATTAAGCTCCTTTTTATAGTCTTTTTATACGTCCACTGGTCTTTCTCCTCAGCACCTTCTGTCTATCAAAACTTCTACCCGTTAGTCTGACATCAGTATTAGGAAAAATTGTGAAATAGATCATTAAAGACACAAATTGTAATTACTTAGAAAAGAAAGCCAAACTCACAAAAAATCAACATGGGTTTTTCAAAAACAAGTAATGCCAGATGGACCTTATCTCTTTTTTATAGTGTTACAAGCTTGGTAGATGAAGGTAAGGCTGTGGATATAGAATATCTTGATTTCAGTAAGGTCTTTGACTAGGTCCCCCATGACATTCTCACTAGAAGCTAATAAAATGTAATCTAGACTGCTTCTGTTCGGCGGATTGGGAATTGGTTGACAGGCTGAACCCAACGGGTGTATAACAATGGCCCCGCCTCATCCTGGAAAGAAGTAATCAGTATGGTGCCACAAGGTTGTGTCCTGAGCCTAGTGCTGTTTTATTAATGATTTGGAAGACGGAATAGAAAACATACTTATCAAATGTGCAGATAACACCAAATTGGGAGGGATAGCTAATACTTCAGAGGACAGGATCAGAATCCAAAATGACCTTAACAGATCAGAGAGCTGTGTTGAAATTAACAAAATGAATTTCAACAGAGAAATGTACACTACTACACTTTGGTAATAAAAATTAAATACACAGATGCAGGATGGGTGACACCTGGCTTGACAACAATCCATGTGAAAGGGATCTAGGAATTTTAGTAGACCACAAGCTAAACATAAGTAAAAAATGTGATGCAGCACCTTAAAAAGTCAATATGGTTCTAGGCTGTATTAATAGAAGCATAGTGTTGAGATAAAGGGAAGTACACTCTTTTTTTTTTCCATGCTAGGAGTGACTTCAGAAACTGTGAAAGAATGGTGTGAGAATTGGTCGTCTGCAAGGACACTGCCCAGGGAATGCCTGGTTGTTTGATGTTTTACCATCCTTGTGGGAGGCTTCTCTCATGTCCCCACATGGGGAGGTGGGGCTGACAGAGGGAGCTCAACCTGCTCTCCCTGGATTCAAACCACTGACCTGTCGGTTAGCAATCCTGCTGGCACAAGGATTTAACCCACTGCACAACTGGGGGCTCATACTAAAATTTAAAAAATCTTAAGAGAAGTAGAGGTGAGTAAAAAAAAATCATGCATGGGTGCATTTAGAATATTCAAACTGCTTTTGTTTACTTATGCAAGAATTCATGACAGGGTTGATTCATTTCAATTTTTTTTTTGGTATTGATTTAAAAATTACTGTTACATATTGAATTGCTGTTTTTTAATGAACGATCCTATTTTTTTTCTACCATATGTAAACGGAAGCATATCTGTGACATATTTCTTCCTTGTAATCCACAAGCTCTCCACTAAGGCTATTATAGGAACATAGGCAACTATGCATCAGTTCTGAAAACAAAAATCCTGTTAAACACAGTTATCAATCCCATGTTTCTTCAGGAAGTAGAAAGGAGCAAAAGAGACAAGTAGGGATCAGCATGTTTGCCTAAACATGTTGATGACTACAAGCATCTCTTCCCCAATGCCTTTCAAATTCCCAGCCTCAAATACTCACAATTACAGTAATTTCAAATACCCATGGCAAATGTCTGGCATTTTCTCCAAAAGGCCAACAACGGTGATTTTTAAAAATTATTGTACTGCACAAACTTCTTGTCCATGCATTTTATAGCCATAGTTTCGTATTAACCAAAATCTACCCCTCCTGAAAGTAGTTATGGGCCACTCCAGATGCTCAAGTGTGAACCTATAACATGTTTCTGGCCCAAATACAGGCAGACACTGACTTATAAACATCTGACTTAAAATGACTCGTAGTTAAGAACAGGGACGAGACAACAGGAAGTGAGAGAAATCTAACCCTAGTAAGGGAAATTCATTCTTGGAAGAGTTATCAAAGAGAAAAAGGTGTCTCAAGTGAAGCTTTAGTACCAATCCTTGTTTCCACAACAAGCCATTTTTTTCAAAGGTGTTAACCCTTCCATGTGCTATTCACATGGAAGGGTTAACACACACATATATATGGAGTTACACTTCACAAATTTACCTGTTCCGAATCACAAACAAATGAAACTGAAGAATAAACCTACAGAGCCTATCTTGTTCATAACTTGGAAACTACTTGTATAGTCAAAATATAGCATTTGCCATTATTCACAGTTTCAAGTATCTACTTTTGAACACTCTTGCTACCAACCTCATGCTCTGGAGTTAGTCCCCAAGATGCTACAAGGTCTCTTTGTATACCGTTTCTAATGTATGAACAGAAGTCTAGGAGGGGGGATTTATTTATCATGTCAGAAGCTAATTGAGAATACAGTTATGTGTCTGTGTGTGTATAGAATCATACAGTTGGAATAGATCACATGGGCCATCCAGTCCAATCCCCTACAAAGCAGGGAAATCATATTCAAAACACCCCTGATAGATGGCCATCTAGACTCTGCTTAAAAGAGTTCAAAGAAGGAGCCTCCGCCACACTCCAGGGAAAAGAGTTCCACTGAACAGCTCTCTCTCTGTGTACATAGATAGATAAAAACATAAAGTTAAAAACTTGGCATTATACTAAATTTCCTTTGACCAGAAACTGGCCACTTCAAGTACTTCTATGGAACTATTCCACAGGAATATTCATAGAATCATATAGCTGGAAGAAGCCCCAAGGACCAAACTCCCTCCGTGAACATATGAAAAGCACTCCTCGATCACAGGGAACTTGTTTTGAAGGGGATAGACCAGGCATATGCACAGGGAGCTTGTTTTGTAGGAGATAGACCAGGCATGAGTTGGTGTTTTGGACTCCAACTCCCACAATTCCTAACAAGCTGTTAGGCATTGTCAGAGTTGGAATCCAAAACACCTGGAGGGACGATGTTTAGGAATTGTGGGAGTTGGGAGTCCAAAACATCTGGAGGGCCAACATTTAGGAATGATGGGGGTTGAAGTCCAAAACACCTGGAGGGCCAAAGTTTGGGAATTGTGGGAGTTGGGAGTCCAAAAAACCTGGAGGGCTGAAGTTTGGGGATGGTGGGAGTTGGGAGTCCAAAACACCTGGAGGGCCGAAGTTTAGGAATGGTGGGAGTTGAGTGCAAAACACCTGGAGGGCTGAAGTTTGGGGATGGTGGGAATTGGGAGTCCAAAACACCTGGAGGCCCGAAGTTTAGGAATGGTGGGAGTTGAGTGCAAAACACCTGGAGAGCTGAAGTTTGGGGATGGTGGGAGTTGGGAGTCCAAAACACCTGGAGGGCCGAAGCTTAGGAGTAGACTAACTGAATTTAATGTATGCTCAATAAAAAATAAGGAATGCATCCAATTGTTCTCGTTACTTTTGTCTCAGAACTTCTACAGCAGAGCCCCAAGGGGCAGCATGGGAATTGTGGGAGTTGGGAGTCCAAAACATCTGGAGGGCCAACATCTGGAGATGGGAGTTCAAAACACATGGAGGGCCAAAGTTTAGGAATTGTGGGAGTTGGGAGTCCAAAACATCTGGAGGGCCAACATTTAGGAATGATGGGGGTTGAAGTCCAAAACACCTGGAGGGCCAAAGTTTGGGAATTGTGGCAGTTGGGAGTCCAAAAAACCTGGAGGGCTGAAGTTTGAGGATGGTGGGAGTTGGGAGTCCAAAACACCTGGAGGGCCGAAGTTTAGGAATGGTGGGAGTTGAGTACAAAACACCTGGAGGGCTGAAGTTTGGAGATGGTGGGAATTGGGAGTTCAAAACACCTGGAGGGCCAAAGTTTAGGAATGGCGGGAGTTTAGTCCAAAGCACCTGGAAGGCCAAAGTTTGGCGATGGTGGGAGTTGGGAGTCCAAAATACCTGGAGGGCCGAAGTTTAGGAGTAGACTAATTGAATTTAATGTATGCTCACTACAAAATAACGAATGGATCCAATCGTTCTCGTTACTTTTGTCTCAGAACTCCTACAGCAGAGCCCCAAGGGGCAGCATGACAAGCACGTGACGAGCAAATACAGAAGTGAGAGCGAGAAGAGCCTGGAAAGGCTGGCTGCTCCAATACGACCCCTTTCCTCCCAAGCCCTTTAGGTCGACCACCCATTCACTGTTGGCGCATGCGCGCTGCAGGCCTGCCTGCCTGGCCCCCTCCACCCCCTCCTCTCCTCTCGAGCGACCACACAGGCGCCTTCATTTTCGCTTCAGCCCTCAGAGAATCCTTCCTTCCCTCCCTTCTCATCCCTCCCCACCCCTTGGAAAACCCAGAACATGCGCACTTCTCCTGAGGAAGAGGTCGTGGCGCTACTAACTTTTTCCCCCTCCGAGAACTCTCCCTGCCTCCCTCCGTCCCTGCCCGAAGCCTCCCTCACCAGGTACCGGGGCTGCCAGTCGTTAGCAGCGTCGATCTCTTGGAACTCTTGCTCTATGGTGACGGACATAATGGCGGCGGCGAGAGCCGGAGGAGGAAGGAGGGCCGCCGGGAGCCGACAAGTTCATCACCTTCCGCGCGCGACTGGCTGACTGACAGGGCGCGGACCACCACGGCAACCCGCGCACTCTCGCAGCCGCGCTACCTTTGGCTCCGCGCAAGCGCACACGGAGCCGGCCCCGCGCCGCTGACGTCCTCGCCAGGCGCATGCGCAGTTAAGCGCTAAGGGAAAGGGAAGGGAAAGAAGAAGAAAAAACAACACCTGGGTTGACGTCACGGGGCGCTCTGGGCGGGGACTGACTGGAAGGGGCTGACTTGCTTACTGTATGTGGGAAGGCGCGTGCGTGATAAGAAGGAGAAAGTTTCCCCCCTCCTTTCGCAGCGCGTGAACCAGGAAAGGCAGCTTTATTTCTCAGCAAAGATGTGTGTGTGTAATGTGCCCTCTTATAGACACAGGGTGCATCTATACTGTGAATTAATGCAGTTAAGATGGGAAATCAAAACCAATGTAGTGTTAACCCAGGCTTGGGCAAATTTGGGCCCTTTTGGTGTTTTGGACTTCAACTCCCATCATTCCTAACAGCCTCAGGACTCTTCCTTTTCCCCCCTCAGCCGCTTAAGCGGCTGAGGGGGAAAAGGAAGGGTCCTGAGGCTGTTAGGAATGGTGGGAGTTGAAGTCCAAAATACCAAAAGGGCCCAAGTTTGCCCATGCCTGCTTTAGAGCAAACCTTTACTCTCGTTTTACTACATCAATATAAGAGCATCCAAGGATTTGGGGTCCTAGAACCAAACCCCTGCAGATACCAAGATCTGTTCCTATACTAGGGAATTGCAAGACTAAACCCCAGTGTTTAACCCTAACTAAATGTTCCATTAATGACAACAGGCCTGGCGTAGTCAGGACACATTACAGAAATGGATTGAAAGGTGATATTAAACAAACCGGAACCATTAATAATAATAAAGTGGTGGGATCACAAGCCGGGAAAAGTTACAGGAAATGAACACGTCAAACTCCTCCGGGACTTCTGAATTCAGACAGAGTTTTGGAGCACAATACTCTGGATCGTGTTAAAAAACAAAGTATGGACTGTCGATGTTGCAATCCCAGGTGACAGCAGGATTAAAGAGAAACAACTGGTTTCTGGTTGACGTGATATGAGGATTTAAAGATCGAACTGCAAAGACTGGCACAAGCCAGTCAAGATGGTCCCAGTGGTGATCAGTACACTGGGTGCAGTGCCTAAAGACCTTGGCTTGCACTTAAACATAATCAGCGCCGGCAAGATTACCATCTGCCAGCTGCAAAAGGCCACCTTACTGGGATCTGCACGCCTTATTCGCCGATACATCACACAGTCCTAGATACTTGGGAAGTGTCCAACGTGTGATCCAATTCAACAGCCAGCAGAGTGTCTGTTGTGGACTCATCTTGTTGTGTTTCAAATAATAATCAACTTTATTTATACCCTGCCACCATCTCCCCGAAGGGGACTTGTGGCGGCTTACATGAGGCCAAGCCCAGTAATGCATTGCAACAAAATAAAACCAAAAACACAAAACAAACATCACAACAAAACAAATAAAACATAAGAATACAATAAAACAGTGCAAAAATACAATCACAATGAGCAGGCCACATGAACAAGATTAAATGATAAAAACTCAGCATGAGATAGAAATTAAAAGGGAAATATTTGTGCGGGAGATAAACATTGGAAACTGAGTACTGGAGACAGGCCTTCGAACTGGCAGGGGAGAATACAATATGGAGACAAATATTTTAGGGGAGCGGACAAAGGAGATGTAACGTCACTCTCCAAAGGTGCAACGGAAAAAACAGGTTTTGAGATCCTTCTTGAAGGCTTTAAGAGTGGGGGCTTGCCTAATCCCACCAGGCAGTGAATTCCAGGGTTGGGGGGCCATAGCGGAGAAGGCTCTCTCCCTTGTTCCCATAAGTCGGGTCTGTGATAAAGGGAGGGGCAAAAAGAGGGCCTCCCCTGAAGATCGAAGAGATCGGGCAGGTTTGTGGAAGGAGATATGGTCATGAAGGTAGGCTGGTTCCAAACTGTTTAGGGCTTTATAGGTGATGACCTTTGCCTTGAATTGGAACCGGAAAATAAACGGCAGCCAATGTATATGCACAAGATCTAACCTTGGCATACCAAGGACCTACACTGTATATAATGTGCAAAAGCCAATTTACTTCAGTAGAGTGAAATACCAAGCATAATTAGCCAATTGGAACAGCTCAGGCACTGCAATCTGGAAACCTGACAAGCCAAACTGGCCTCAAATGTTGCTAAAACAATTGCTTGAAGAACCACTACCTTTCAAGACTGGTTAGAGCACACAAATCAAGACAGACCCTTGTTTGCAGAATTGGCTCCTTTGAGAACTAAGTTTGACTCCCTTGTTGTTTCTTATCAGGCATGATTTAAAGACTTGAGTTTTCAACAATCATATCAGTAGTTGCTTGTTGTTAACTGTCTAAGGAGCCCCCGGTGGTGTAATGGGTTAAACCCTTGTGCTAGCAGGACTGAAGACCGACAGGTCACAGGTTCAAATCCAGGGAGAGCACGGATTAGCTCCCTCTGTCACCTCTGATTCCCCATGTGGGGACATGAGAGAAACCTCCCACAAGGATGGTAAAACATCAAAAACATCCGGGCGTCCCCTGGGCAATGCCCTTGCAGACATCCAATTATCTCATGCCGGAAGCGACTTAAGTCTCAAGTCGCTCCTGACACAAAAAAAACAAAAACAAGTTGACTTGTTCTTAGGGCTGTTGTTCTTAGGGCTGTTATGGGTACTCAGATGTTTTGGCCTTCAACTCCTAGAAATCCTAACAGCTTGCAGGCTAAAACACCTGGGGACCCACAGGTTGGGAACCACTGACTTAGGGCAATCCTATGAACTGGAGGCCTCCAAAGCACCTTGTTATTAATAGCTTTGCTCAGGTCTTGGAGACTCAGGGCCATGCCTTCCTTGATAGATATTATTCACCTGGAATGTGCTTTACCTCTTTTCCTATCCCATTCTACCTTAAGAAGCACTATTGTCTTTTATAGTGATTCATGTTTTCTCCTCTCTTTAGTCATCTTGGTTTCTAAGGAGAGTTCAGGCTTGATCTACTGTAGGACTCATTTATTTGTCTTTTGAGGAGTCCTAAAAACCACCACCACATTTCAAATTGGTTGATTTTCTTCCTATTGAAGGGGTAATGAACCTAAATACCCTTAAATCCAAATCAGAAAAGCAGGAGCCCCTCTTCCAGTGGAGAGGGTGAGGAAGGACACCACAAAAGTTGAATCTTCAAATTGCAAGATGGCAAAACACATATACAATGCAATCAAAATATTTTGCCACCCTTCCCCTCAATGGTGCTGCAGAGCTTTTATCACGTTGTCTGTAAATTTAATACACATTCTTATTGGTGTTCAAAGATCAATAATTTAATTGGTTTAAGCAGGCTATACAGATGCTCATTGGTTCTTTATGATTTTGACAGGCATGAAGGCACACGTGGGTCCCTAACAATGGCACAACTATAGTCTATTGTTCTCTGACCATGACTATCTTATCTGTTCTTCTTGTGCAAGCATAACTCCAAAACAACTGGGAAACTTAGGAGGTACTAGCTAGCCAATATGGCAGTAAATCAGAACATATGGGCATTTGGAAAATCCCTAAAATTACCTCTTAAAACTACGTCTTCCTCATTATCATTTTTTTTCACTATCCAGTTTTCACAATAGAAAACGCATTAGTGTGGAGAATCTTAACTTTAGTCTTCAGATATGTATCTTTACACTTCAGGATCTTATCTTGCTCCTTCATTGCTGCCCTTCCAAAGGTTAGTCTTCTTTTTCTGCTAAAAAAAAGTCAAGGTTTGGAAAATCTTAACTATCTTTGTTGTATGTTTTAAAGTAACTGAAAACATATAGCAATATTGCTTCTGGGGAATTCTTTACCTTTTAACTCAGAGGTGAAAGGAAAGGCTGAAGCTACATAACTTGCATAACAGGGACCTCTGATGTGGGCTGGTCCATGAGGTCATGAAGAATTGGAAGCAACTGAACGAATAAACAACAACAACATAACTTATACGGCAGGAATGTAGCTCCCTTCCACATAAGCAAATAAAATATCACATTATCTGCTTTGAACAGGGAAATATGGCAGTGTGGACTCAGATATTCCAGTTCAAAGCAGATATTGTGGGTTATTATCTGGGTGATATGGCAGTGTGGAAGGGCCCATAGAATGTGAAAAGGATGAATTGCGGAAAGTATAAATTGTATAACAAAACAAAACAAAACCCAATGCTTTTCAATCACCAAAGAGATCAGATGGGTGCATTTTATCATCCTAAATTCCTGTCAGTCCTTCACATTCACCAGAGTTTGGGACCCAGGACGCAACAAAAGTGGGAAAACCACAAATTAAAAAAACTGTTGTAAAAAATATCTGAAAGGACACTTACTTGGGAGTTTCTTGGTCCTCCAGTGCCAAGTACCAAATGTACTCATGTGATTGCTTCCTCCCAAATGTAGCTACTATGGGACAGCTCCTAAATATATGCATTAAGGAAGTATTAGTAGTACAGTATAGTCTCTCTTATGCAACATAAAGGAGCCAGCAGAACATTAGATAAGCGAAAATGTTGGATAATAAGGAGGGATTAAGGAAAACCCTATTAAATGTCAAATTACATTATGATTTTACAAATTAAGCACCAAAACATGTTTTACAACAAATTGACAGAAAAAGCAGTTCAATACAAGGTAGCATTTTGTAGCAATGACTGTATTTATGAATTCAGCACAAAAACATCACAATGTACTGAAACAGCTGAAGAACCGGGCAGGAGGCAGACTGTGTTGGATAARACAGAACGTTGGGTGAGTGAAGGTTGGATAAGTGAGACTYCTGTATTACATCTCCAACAATCTGCTAATTTAGGGCGTTTCCAGACAGGCCCAATATCCCAGGATCTGAGCCCCGGTTTTCTGCTTTAAACTGGATTATATGAGTACCCACTGCCAGATTTTATTTATTTATTTATCGTGTCATCAGCAACCATACCATTGTATTACATTTCTAACAGAACAAAACAAACAAACAAACAGATAAAAAAAGCACAATTTTTGCAAACTTGGTAGTTGATTAAATGTCCTTTGACCAGTATCTGGCCACTTGGAGTGCCTCTGGTGTTGCCGCAAGAAGCTCCCCCATTGTGCATGTAGCAGGGCTCAGGTTGCATTGAAGCAGGTGGTCTGTGGTTTGCTCTTCTCCGCACTCACATGTCGTGGATTCCACTTTGTAGCCCCATTTCTTAAGAATATGCCAGATAATCTGGGATAAATAGATAACCTGGGTGAAATCCTGGTATATAGGGCCTGTCTGGAAGGGCCCTTAGAAAATGATTTAGAAAGCTCTTCCTGTAATAGATATTACATCATCAGTTGGGGGCCCCTCCCCCCAGCACTCTGGGCCAGAGTGAAGAGAGAGGAGGGCAGAAGCTAGTTCCACCTTGTCTCCTGTGCTATGCTACTTATATAATATAATCTAATGTAATATATATTGTATAAACATATAATATTTATAATATAATGTAATGCAATATAATACTACTACTAATAATATCTTATATATATATATATATATATATATATATATATATATATTACACTAGCCATCCCCTGCCATGCGTTGCTGTGACCCACATGGGGGTTCTGTGTGGGAGGTTTGGCCCAATTCTATCGCTGGTGGGGTTCAGAATGCTCTGTTGATTGTTGGTGAACTATAAATTCCAGAAATGACAACTCCCAAATGTCAAGATTCTGTTTTCCCCAAACTCCACCAGTGTTCAAATTCGGGCATATTGAGTATTCTTGTAGAGTTTGGTCCAGATCCATCCTTGTTTGAGTCCACAGTGATCTCTGGATGTAGGTGAACTACAACTCCAAAACCAAAGGACACTGCCTGCCAAACCCTTCCAGTATTTTCTGTTGGTCATGGGAGAACTGTGTGCCAAGTTTAGTTCAATTCCATCATTGCTGGGGTTCAGAATGTTCTTTGATTGTAGGTGAATTATAAATCCCAGCAACTACAACTCCCAAATGACAAAATCATTTTTTGAGTGAAGGACATACATTGGGTTGTTAGGTGTCTTGTGTCCAAATTTGGTGTCAATTCGTCCAGTGGTTTTTGAGTTAAGTCCACAAACGAACATTATATTTTTATTTATATATAGATAGATGTCATATTACTAATAATATTACAATATAATAGTATAGTACAATATAGCAATATTTAATACTGATATTGTACTATGCTAATAATATAATATATTTTATGTATATATATGTATCATGGAGCCCCCGGTGGTGCAGTGGGTTAAAGCACTGAGCTGCTGAGCTTGTTGATCGAAAGGTCGCAGGTTCAATTCAGGGGAGCGGCGTGAGCTTCCGCTGTCAGCCCTAGCTTCTGCCAACCTAGCAGTTCGAAAACATGAAAATGTGAGTAGATCAATAGGTACTGCTCCGGCAGGAAGGTAACGGCGCTCCATGCAGTCATGCTGGCCACATGACCTTGGAGGTGTCTACGGACAATGCTGGCTCTTCGGCTTAGAAATGGAGATAAGCACCATACCCGAGTCAGACATGACTGGACTTAATGTCAGGGGACTACCTTTACCTTATATATGTATCTTGTAAGCCGCTCTGAATCCCCTTCGGGGTGAGAAGGGCGGCATATAAATGTCGTAAATAAATAATAATGAATTATTATGATGAAGGGCACTTCTAGTCAGGCCCTATATCCCAGGATCTGATCCCAGGTTTTCTGCTTTAAACTGGATTATATGTCCCCACTGCCAGATAATTTGGGATAAACAGAAAACCTGGGATCAGATCCTAGTATATGGGGCCTGTCTGGAAGGGCCCTAAAAAAAAGCAACTTCTGCTGCATATTTAATTGAAGATACACAGCCATGGTAATTTTAAATGTTAGAAGGGATGGCCATTGAGAAGCCACAGTTGGATATTGTATTCCAGCCTATTCCATTCTTGCTGTAAACCTCATAGAGAGGAACTGTGGGGGCTGAAGTCCAAAACACCTGGAGAGAGGGCCGAAGTTTGCCCAGGCCAGCTTCACTTCCTCTTTTTGGCGAGGCGAAGGGCGTGCGTCATCAAGAGATGCAGGCCCCGCCCCTTTCCTGGGCGTCCGAGGCCCCGCCCCCTTTCCAATCCATTCCCTCGGAGGCCTCGCCTCCTCTCGTGCTGCGCCATCAACGTGCGCCCGGCGCGCCTATTTGAGGGGAGTCCAGGCGCGCGCGTTTCCCTAGGAAGGCGAAAGCGTCCCCTCAGAGACGAAGGAAGGAAGGGAAGGAGGGCCTGAGGGGATGTTCGTGGCGCGGAGCATCGCGGCCGACCACCGCGACCTCATCCACGATGTCTCCTTCGACTTCCACGGGCGGCGGATGGCGACCTGCTCCAGCGACCAAAGCGTCAAGGTGGGGCTCTCTGCGGCTGGTGGCCTCGGCTCCATTTTGGGACCGAGTGGGCCAAGGGGCCTCCCTCGCTCTCCGCTTCTCTTTCTCTGCACACGAGGGGTCCCCCGAATCGCCCTCTCCTCACAATCTTTTCATTCTTTCCTTCGCAGCTGGGCTTCTTTGGATTTGAATGGCACGCGACCGTTTTGGGGAGGTGACCCTCGGCCACTGATGAGGCCACTATTTAATTTATGTACTCATCCCCCCCCCCTCCGTCTTTCTCCCAAAGTTTCTAAGAGTGACTTGACGCAATACAGTAGACCAGTGTTCCTTAAACATTTTAAACAGAGGGCCAGATTATAGTCCCTCAAACTGTTGGAGGGCCAGATTATAATTTGAACAAAACATGAATGAATTCCTTTGCACATATCTTATTTGTAATTTAAAATATACTTAAAACAGTGCAGTAATTAAAATGAAGAACAATTTTTAACAAATATAAACTTATTAGTATATCAATGGGATATGTGGGCCAAATGTAGGGTGCTTTCAAGTTGTTTTAGACTTAGGTTGACCCTGAGCAAGGGCCAGATAAATGACCTTGGAGGGCTGTATCTGGCCCCCGGGCCTTAGTTTGAGGACCCCTGCAGTAGACCTTAAAACAATGCTAAGATGTGGAGTGGAAAAATTAAGGGAGAGATTGGTATTTCAAATGTAACTTCTGTAGTTTGCTGTATAAATTGCATGTACAAGGAGGGGAGAGTGGGATAAAAAACAAAAAACAAAAAACAGTGACATTAAAAACAATGCAAATGCATGCGTATATGAATATTTAAAGTTAAAAAGCAATTAAATCTTTGTGTCATTAGTGTAAATAATAATAATAATAATTATTATAACTTGCCACCATCTCCCCAGTGGGGACTCGGGGGCGACTAACATGAGGCCAAGCCCTTTAAAAATACAATACAACACAGTAAAATACAGGATACAAAAAACAAAAGGCATCAGAAAATAAATTGCAATAATAAAATGGAATAATAAAGTAAATCCACACAGCATAAAATGGAACAGGATGGGCAGGCCAAATGGACAAGATGAAATGATAAAACCCTGGGTGAGGTAGGAATAGGAGATATGTAAGTGAGGGGAGCCCAAGAAAATAAAATAATGGGGTAATGAGAATTATTACAGTTCAAAACTAGACAGCCCTCCACTCCTAATTCCACTTAGGGCATGTCAGTGTTGTTAAGGTTGGGAGGAGATAATAATAATAAGACTCAGGGCAGTTTCTATCAAAAGTGACAGACATTCAATTCAATGCCATAATAAAACAAACAACAAATCAATGGGCAAAATATATAAACCCATATCAATATAAACTAATAATAACTAACCAATAATAACTGAATAGTAAGAACTTAAATAAACATAGAGTGGGGGGTAAAGGTTTCCGCTTGACATGTCCCCTTCTCAGTGGTGCCTGTGGAACTCTATCCAGTGACATTAGATTGGCCCCCTTCCTCTTGTCCTTTAGAATGAAACTCAAAACCAAGCAATGGGACCAAGTGTCCGAACAGTAGAGGCAGCAATTTAGAATGAAGCCAATTTGTGTGAATGACAATGGTCTGATCTGGGCTATGATTTCAAACCTGCGTGATTTAAACAACATTTTCGTAATTGTATGTTTTAATTGCTTTTATCATTTATCACTGTTGTTGGCACTGAATGAATGCCTGTTGTGAAGCCGCCCTGAGTCCCCCTCCATGGGTGAGAAGGATGGGATACAAATATGTTAAATAAATAATTAAAATAAATCTAGTCATGTCCAACTCTGGGGGATGGTGCTCATCTCCATTGCTAAGCCGAAGAGCCTGCGTTGTCCATAGACACCTCAAAGGTCATGTGTCCAGCATGACTGCATGGAGCATCATTACCTTCCCGTCAGAACGGTACATATTGATCTATTCACATTTGCATGTTTTCGACCTGCTTAGGTTGGCAGAAGCTGTGGCTAAAAGCAGGAGCTCACCCACTTTGTGCAGCTCAGTAACAGGTTGTTGTTACTTTTGCCTACTTTTAAGAGGGGGGAAGATTATTTTCCACATTATTATTATTATTTATTCATTTTATCCTGCTTTTCTCCCATGGATAAGATTCAAAGGGGTGTATAGTAGTTAAAAATAGAGATTACATAAAATACACATTCAACAAAGCGTCATAAGCCAACTAAAGCAGGTAACCCATTACCTAAACCAGATACAACAAATTAATAAATTACAACAAATTAATAAATTACAACAAATTAATAAATTACAACAAATTAATAAATTACAACATATAGCATTAAAAAATCTCTAAGCTCAGGCCAATGTTGAATTACATTGGTTGTCATTCAAACATGAATATGAAGATGTTTACAAGTATTGTACAAAGTGTCCTTAGAAGTCAACCCTCATCCCTGCCTTTGTTTAATGTCGCTTATCCCCGAATCAGTGTGTTAGAACAGATTGCAGGCAGCCTTTATTATTCCTGGAATAGCTCAATGACAAAGCTGCTTTTATTTTGCCTGTTACAATGGGCCCTTGGTATCTGAGGTTTAGTTCCAGGACTCCTCATGAAAATCAAAAACTGTGGATTGGATGCACAATTGCATTATATGCAATGGGATACCAATCTGGTGTCCTGTATATAAAATGGCAAAATAATAAAAATGATTTTAAAATAATTTCAAGTCATGTGTAGTTGAATCCATTAATGCTGAATCTGTGGATACAGAGGGCCGACTGTGTTTAACTGATGTGTCATCTTATCTTGTACAATTTCCTTAGAAGAAAGTTGCCCTGATCTCAGTAGGAACTACTGTTTGTAGTTTTGTAGTGTGGCTGGAGAAGAATGCACATCTTTGATGGGATTCACTTAACATACTTTTTTTTAAACAGTTGACTGGTAGAGGTTAGATCACTCAAAGTATTACTTGCAGATTATTCCTAGATATGTTTATGGAGGAATAAAGCTTACAATGTTAAACGGGGCTTATCCTGAGATAAGTGTACAGAAAAATAGCCTTTAATGACAGTTGATGTACAGAGATATGTAACTCATTAATTGCTTTTGTAGTCAGGAGGAATGTATTACTGACATTGACACCTACAACTCTGAAGAATGATTTGTTTTCCTATACAATGGTTCTATGCAGAAAATTGGTATTCTAAGTAGCACTACACTTACATCTATTTCTGCATTCGTCGGAAAGTAATTCTTGCCTTTGGCTTCCAAATGTATATTTAGTCAGCAAGATACACTTCTGTGCTCATTACATGTAGAAGTTTATATAGCTGCTGGTGGTAGAGAACAAAAGATAACCCAGAATGAGTTATCCAGCCCCTTGTACCACAGAACAATTGTATTTTTAACAAAGAATGATAATACTGGATCAGAATGACATGTATATACACCATCAAACTGCATCTCTGCTACATAAAATGAATCTAGAGAGGAATACATTATTTCTGGGGTCATCGCCTACTTGTAGTTTTCACAATCTTTAATCCATGGACTTCAGAGTTAGTTCCTACTACTTTTTTCTAATTTTGCATTCACACTGTATGAATTTTTTAATTTAAGTATTATAAGTCTTTTTTCTTTAATAGGTTTGGGACAAAGGCGAGAATGGAGAATGGCACTGTACTGCAAGCTGGAAGGTAAAAGTGTGAGCCTCAATATCTCTGTAGTTTGGAAATGATTTATGCCATGAGAAGTCCTGCTGAAAACGACAATATTGTCTCAAAATGATATCTTCATGTTCGCTTAGAAGTTTCTTTATACATTGAAAAATCTTCCTCTAATAGGAGTATCAGTATTTAGGATTGCTTTTTAAAGATGAAACCATATTCCTTTGTTTCCTCTGATTCTCCACAGCTGCAATTCAGTGTATGCTATTTTTCTTTTAAACACTAAACTAAGCAAGCATAGAACAATTTAGCAAATATTTGGTGGTTTATCTCATCTTGCTAAAACTGTGCCTCAAGCTAAATGCTCTTATCAAATCTCATAATGTGTGAATTACGAATGGCTGCATGACATTTACTTTTAAAAGATAATATACCTGTAGGAAAAGACCTCCAGGGCTTGCCTGGAACATTCTTTATCCATGATTTGGATGCTATTTGATCAGTTAATGAAATAGCTGCTATACAGCTATATGTAAAATGTTAACTTCAACTGTGAAAGTGGATTTTAGGCATTTATTCCAAAGATACTTTGACTTCTTTTAAATTGTTGATTGCATTTCATGATCTCCCCCCTCCTCCCCCCCAATAAACGAAAATGACTATTGTACTCTTAGTCTGTAAGTTCCAATCCTTCTGAACTTTCCAGACACATAGTGGATCTGTGTGGCGTGTGACGTGGGCACATCCAGAGTTTGGACAAGTCCTGGCTTCCTGCTCTTTTGACAGAACAGCTGCTGTGTGGGAAGAAATAGTTGGAGAATCAAATGATAAACTTCGAGGGCAGAGTCACTGGGTAAGTAAGATGTGAAAAGAGATGGGTTTATTTATTTATTTATTTACCTACTTTGCTTATATACCGCTGTTCTCAGCCCAGGGGCGACTCACAGTGGTGTACAACATAGGAAGAACAGAATTCAAGACACAGTATAAAATAATTCACAATCCAGCATTATACAAAAAACATCATCATTACAATGAAAACCATTCAGTGTTGTCTCATCGTCCAAACCACAATCCAGTATCATTTTCCATTGTTCCATGTACTAATGTACTAATTCCATCTTTCAGTTTGTTTTTGACATTGATGGGTGGCTATTCCATGTGATAAACTTCAAAGTTAAGAGATGTATTCAGTTTTTAAAAATCAAGAGCTACAGATCTTGTGGGTGGTATTTTGTGTCATGTTGATCTGTGTGATTCAGTACTGTGGAGAGGGGAACCATGCACAGAGTTATGGCATATGCTGAAATTTTACAGTTACCTCATCCAGTGACAGTCTCTGTAGCCCACTGACAAACAGCCTTCTTAAGGTTTGAGACACCCTTCAGAATGCTTGAAGACTTGCAAACAGAAGGAAAAAGTTCCTCTTCCCTGTATGGAGAAATAGCTTGTAGGGATGTGTGAGGTGCAATCTCCCAAATGCAGTGGAAAGATCCAGTGCCACATGTTCTGTCTGAGCCTTCAGCTGCCCCCACCAGGTCCGTTTTCAGTGGTCTGGCTGCCGAATTTCCCTGAATCCCGAATAGCAAAACTGAATTGTGCACACCCTTGTAGCTTACACTTTTATTGGTGAGGATCTGAGCAGCCACGTTATGTTTGATTCCTTCTGTCCCCCTTGTTTCTTTTACTTCATTGTGATAAGTTAAAATTTTAAAATTGAAACCCATCTTCTGTTTGCCTAACTATAATCTTTAATTTTTTAGCACAGAAAAGATAAGTGAATTAGGTTCTTGTGGGTTTTTTCGGGCTATAGGGCCATGTTCTAGAGGCATTTCTCCTGACGTTTCACCTGCATCTATGGCAAGCATCCTCAGAGGTAGTGAGGTAGTAAGTGAATTGCCATTTTCTTAGAGAGGAATTTGTGTGCCCCCTCCCCCTTCATAAACTATAAATTTTAACAAATAATCCCAAATCATCAAAAACCTCAGTTCCCTAGAAAACATCAGGCAACCCTTTTGGAGTTATTTGTCAATTTCATCTTCGTTATACTGTTGGTATTTCAGTTGAATCAGGAACAAGGATTGGAGATTACAATTCAAAACATCTTTAAATCAAAACATCTTTATTGAAGTCATAAGTACAGAATCATGAAGTTAGAAATGTGATGGGAACCAAGAGGGTTAGGATACACACATACACACACAAAATGAGATGATCAGCACAACAATGCACTCAAATTATTTGCTATTACAAAATTATTGAATATTTTAAAATAGGATAAGAAAAATGTGATAATAATACTTCGAATATAGTTATTTCATAAAAAATGGGCTAAACAAAGATATGATTTTCTTAAGCCTAGCTTGTAAGAGTTCCATTATAAATCACAATGTATCTTTTTTCTGACATCTTCATTTCCTAACCATAAAATGGTTACTTCATGGTTTGCTGTCTTGCATTTATTAATAATCATCCAAAAATTAATGATAGTCATGTTCTACATTATTTAATGACTGTTGCATTTCAGGTCAAAAGGACTACTCTGGTTGACAGTAGAACATCTGTTACTGATGTAAAGTTTGCTCCCAAGCACATGGGTCTCATGTTAGCAACATGTTCAGCAGATGGAGTTGTTAGGATCTATGAAGCTCCCGATGTTATGAATTTGAGTCAGTGGTCACTTCAGCATGAAATCTCATGTAAACTAAGCTGCAGTTGCATTTCTTGGAATCCTTCAAGGTATGTTACTATTACTCTTGACAAACGAATAAGTGACAGAAAAAAATCCAATTGGTTAAATCCAAGACTTCCTTCTGCTACCACAGTGGTTCTCAACCTGTGGGTCCCCAGATGTTTTGACCTTCAACTCCAAGAAATCCTAATAGCTGGTAAACTGCCTGGGATTTCTGGGAGTTGTAGGCCAAAACACCTGGGGAACCACATATTGAGAACCACTGTCAGAACAGCTCTGTCACGCTGAATTGCTCTGCCTTGTATTTTTTTGTTCAAGATATCCATTCAGTGGAGTCTCCTCACCTTCCTTACCCTTTTCATAAGATTGGAAAGAATGGGGCTGGGATGTCCATACCCATAATTTCATTTTCCCATACCTAAATCTCAACCCAGCTGAAACAGTAATTAGGTGCTGACTTTCTTATGTAGTATGTACTTAAAATAGTAATAATGAATTAAGACATTTAGCCTCAATTAGGATTGCTAAAGCTGTGGTCTAGACTCCCACCAACATTGCTTGGCCAGCCCCTGCCTAGGCAGGCCACGAGATATATGACAGAAACACGTTAATCAGTATCTGGAGGATCAAAGGCTGCCTGATGCTAGTTTAGAAGGAAATACACAATTGAGCCCTTAGGGAGAAGCCATGATTCAGTGGTAGAGGAGGTATTTTTACATGCAGAAATGTACTATATTCATTTAGAAGGATCAGTTGGGAAGTGATGTAGAAAAAAATATTTGCCTGATATTCTGTATAATTTCAGTTGGCTTCCAGTTTTGTGCCAGCTCAGATGGAAAAATAGGTTGCATAGCTTTTGGGAAGTCCCCGAACAGACTCAGAAGTGGAGTTGGCAGATCAAAAGATAACATGGCTAAATGGCACTACCTAGAAGAACCCTCCACCTTGTGGAGCAGAACAAACAACTCCACATCTGTATGCCTGCCCACAATGCCCTGTAGCCTCTATTTTATCAGTTTTATACAAATTCATTTATGCAGTGCTTTTGACATGAAATAAATAGAAAAATAGGTTGATAGGCAGAAGGCAACATATTTTATTCTAACAGCATGGCCTCTTCTCTGCGGATTTGATACCTACAGTTTTATGCACCCATGTTCCACCCCTCCCCCTGGGAAGTGTTTGTCTAGATCTCCAGCGGGAATCTTTGGCAGGCCTGCACAACCTGTGGCACTCCAGGTGTTTTGGACTTCAGCTCCCATCATTCCTGACCATTGAACAAGCTGACTAGGGCGTCTTGGAACTGAAGGCACAAATATCTGGAGGGCTGCAGGTTGAAGAGGCCTGACCTGTGGTATAATCGAGTTTAGTCAATATAAAGGTTTTGCTATTATCCACGGTTTCAGGTATTCATGGGGGGTAGTTCTGGACTCTATTCCCTGTGATTATAGGGTGGGATGTGTCATACTTTATTATTGATTGTCTTTCTTGAAGAGGTAATGTGTTAGGGACAGTCCTCATGGTTACAATTCCTTTTAAGAGGGTTTGTTTGTTTTGATTTGGTGATTGCAGCTCTCGTGCCCACGCTCCAATGATAGCCGTAGGAAGCGATGACAGCAGCCCAAATGTATTGGCCAAAGTGCAGATTTATGAATATAATGAAAATACCAGGTGAGAGGAAAAATGTTATCCCCTTAATGGGTTAAATGCTTTATGATATTATTTGATACATCATCTGCCATTGGTATGCGTGAAAGTAACAAATGCATCGCCTCTGAAAATTTAGCATTTTAAAATGATTTTTGGTGAGACTTTAATTTGAGATTTAAGATGAGTGGACAGAATCTGTAGAATTGGCCCCATATCTCATGACTCCAAGGTGAATTTCCATTCTTGGCTAGTTGTCTCCTATGGCACAGAATTTTGAAAATTGATGAACATAATTCAAAGTCAATTCCACTGCAGTATTAAAGTATATTACAATCAAGGTTCAATAATCCAACACTCATAGGCATATATCAAGAAAAACATTACTTAAAAAAACAATATTGTGAACTGGGAAGGGACATTGGTGGATGCTGTAAGCAAACTCCTTATGTGTTATGTTGGACACCATTTTTTTTAACTTTCAAGGAGCAAACTTTCAAGGAGCAAACTCATCTGCATGTTAAAGAATTCAAAACATGTTACTCTCTTTATTTCTTCAGGAAGTATGCAAAAGCAGAAACTCTTATGACAGTTACAGATCCTGTGCATGATATAGCATTTGCTCCAAATCTGGGAAGATCCTTCCATTTATTGGCGGTAGCTACCAAAGATGTACGAATTTTTACATTAAAGCCCCTAAGGTGAGTTTTAAAGCAAGTACTGCAAGGTAGGATAAAAGCAAATACATTGATTTTTGTGGAAACAGATTTAATTTTTCTTCCTCCTTAAGAATGAATCTAGTTAGGAATCTATAGGTTGAGTATGTCTTTCTTGAAATGCTTGAGACTCAAAATGCAATGCTGCTATTCAGAGAAATTATGTTAATTTTTGGGGCAACTAGCAGAATGTCTTAATCAGTTATGGCGTCCCAGGCATATAGGTTTTCTATCCCTTATTTGTTTTTAAAATAGTAGTTTTATTGTGTTAAGTTTCTAATTTCAGACCAATAAGAAATAGAATACTGTTACTGTTTGGATTTCAAAATAGCATTGACATTATCTTGAAATAACTGACATTTGTAAAATCAATTGCTTTAAGTAGATTGAAGCTCAATATCGAATTTTACATTTTCAATAGAAAAGAACTGACCACTTCATCGGGACTGACAAAATTTGAGGTTCAGTTAGTGGCTCAGTTTGATAATCATAACTCCCAAGTTTGGCGTGTAAGCTGGAACATTACAGGCACAGTACTTGCATCTTCGGGAGATGATGGGTGTGTAAGGCTTTGGAAAGGTAAGCATTTAAATCATTTACTTCCCTGTAGCACAGCGATTGGGTCTGCAGTCCCAGTCCCTTATTACTAGGAAATAAGTCCTTTGAGCTTGGTTAGAGTTCCTTCTAAGTTAATTTGTTTACAGTTGTACTTCAGGTCTGCTTAACAGGGCTTCTTTTCTAAAATTGTTCCTTGAAGGTATAACTCTTAATGTTTACATTAAAGACATGCCAGTCAGGAATGTGACTTTATTAAATTAAGTGTTAAATCTTACATCAGTTTAACATTTTATCACAGATGTAAATGTAAACATAAGGCAGTGTGAGCCATTGGTCAGTTTAGTTAAATAATCATCATCATTGCCCTGGCTAGAAAAATGTGCAGTCCCAAAGTAGTATGATGAAACATAAAAAGACTTGAGCTTGGAAACTTCATTATTCTTTGAAATGGAGCCTCCCTTTGGCCTTTGGTAGCTGATGGACTTTGGTTCCAGGACCCCCCATGGGTACCGAAATCCATGGATGCTCAAGTCCTATTATATGCAGTGGTGTAGAAATTGTGTTCCTTATATGAAACGACAAAATCAAGGTTTGCTTTTGGGATGTTTTTTTTTTAAAAAAACATATTTTTCAAGTCATGAATGAAGTATTTGTGGTTATGGAGGACAAGACTGTACAGTCCTCAGAAGTCAGCCTGACCTAGAGTTATTTTAGTTGTTGGCTTTTTGTCTGTTCTGAAGACCAAGCAGTGAAAAGACTTCTAGATTCTTTTGCTGTTTTGAATACTAGCTATTTCTTGAAGATAAAATTAATGTTTTCCTACACCAGTCTGTCCTCCTTAGATAACTCAGCTACCTTTGAAAATGACAGCTTAGTATAACATTCAGTTCTTCAAGGGAAATACTTTTCTAATAGAACTACTGAAAAGTTGCAATTAAAAATAGTTCAGATTGCAAAATCAGATGAATGAAGCCATAGCTGCAATAGCTTTGGTTTCCTTTATAGCTTGTAAAGGATCTCTAGGGGCCCTTCCACACAGCCATATAATCCAGAATATCAAGGCAGAAAATTCCACAATATCTGCTTTGAACTGGGTTATCTTAGTCCACACTGCCACATATTCCAGTTCAAAGCAGATAATGGAGTGTTTTATTCAGCTGTGTGGAAGGGGCCTACAGATATATTTACTTGTATGGTTTAGGCATAGTATTTCTATGGACAGGATGAGTAAAGGTGCAAATTGTGTGTCTCTCCTGGTTGTTTGACTGAAACGCCTGCATTTCCTACCAGTTGTTGTGCTTTCTAGAATGGCTGAGATTTGCAGTCTCAGCAGACCTGAAGGCTGCATAATTTATATCCCTGAGCTGAGAAAAAGACAGTTCTTTTTGCGGCATGTTTTAGCACCTCATCACACTAGAGGATGAATCCACTTTAAATCCGGTTGCTGCCTCCTGCAGAATTCTGGGGTTTGTAGTTTAGGGATGAGCCTTTAACAGTCGCCCTATACTACAAACCCCAGAATTCTGCAGGAGGCAAAAACTGTATTTAAAGTGGATTCATTCCGTAGTGTGATGAAGTAGCTAGAGCGGTTGTATCATTATAATGCAGTTGTCTGACCATTGTTTAAACAAAGATGCAATTGGGTTTGTGGAATTTCCCCTCAGCTAACTACATGGACAATTGGAAGTGCACTGGAATTCTGAAAGGTAATGGGAGTCCAGTCAATGCTAGCTCCTCTCAGCAGGGAGCTTTTAATGCTCCCTTTGGCACATCCAATACAAGCCTCCAGAATTCAGTCAATGGAACATCTGCTGGCAGGTAGGCTACTTTGTATGTAAGTTTTCCATTCTTAAGAACCTTTGTTAGTAACACCCAGTGTTAGTCCCACTAAGTCTTAAGAACACTGTGTTTTCCATGTGTGGTTATTAATCACAGCCATTTGTCACATCAGTAATTTTGGTTCAGTTGTGCTAGGTCTTACCTATGCTGTACTACAATGAATAAAATAAGCAACTTCTGTCCCGTTACTGTTCGCATACGTAAATGTTGAGACCTCTAAATATTTTTTTAAACCATATTATCTATTTTTGTATCTTTCTACTCACAGCAGCTGGCTCTTGCTACCCTTTAGTACTTTGACCACTAATTATCCTACTGTTTCTCAACCAAGGTCTCTCTGACTTCCTGCCTTTGTCCTCTTCTACTTCTTGAGACTCCTTGGGAACAGGACCCTCATCCAATCCTGTTTTCAGTAGCTCTTGGCAACCAGTTTGTTCACATAGCTTTCAACACACGGGTCTGTTTTGGGCCTGCCCTCACAAACCTGACTCTGAAAGGAACATTGTTGATTCATGAACTTTATCATTAGGACTTCCTCTGGCACTTGGATGCAGACACAGTGGTGACATTTGATGGACAGAATTTGGAGCCTATGCTGTAGATCACACTTCTTTTTCCTACCAATCAGTGCTGGATACTTTACTATTACGTGTTGAGTCCTTTTGTAAATTCAAGTGCTTATAGCACATGCATTAGTAGTAAGGATAAACTGATGATGCAGCTTTTTAAAACACTTGGACAATATGGCTGCATTTATTTGAAGGAATATACTCATACTACTTGATTGTAACTGATCTGTAACTTTGTTCTTGTGCTGCTATTTGAGATTTTCACCTACTGCTGCTCTATCAGAGGGAGTCAGCTGCTGCTACATGGAGAACATGGGCTCTTAGCCTGTGTTGACATTTCTCCTGGTGTTGGGAGGGGTGTATTCTTTGCTATTTGGGTACTCTAGCTATAGGCCTCCTTGAAGTATGTCACAGTGGTCATTGTTTGGTCGACCTGAACGAAAGGGACAGATAAAGTTACGACCTGGCAGTTGCTAATCAAGCTGTGTGGAACTTCAGAGAAGCAGTTTCTTTGGACAGCTGGTTGCTTCTTTCTGAGGTCTATTGATATCTGATCTCTTGACCTCTTCCAGAAAATATTGAGAAAAGTCAGAAGAGTAAATGAAGTTCCGCCACTATTCCCAACTGATGATCATTAAATTCTCTTTCAACTGGGTGATGGAATTTATACACTTGTTTATGCAGGGCTTTTTCGGTTACATTCACCCTTATGTTGGTGAAGTAATCTTTTCATACAGAATAATACATTCTAGGGCACAATTCCAGTGTAAGAAAGAGTAAATCTTCATCTATGATACACATACCTAGCTATTGTGGGGAATCCTGAATTATTATTATTATTATTATTATTATTATTATTATTATTATTATTATTTTACTGTTTGTTAAGCATTTGAAAGTGTGATAAAAACATTCGTACTGTAATTAATATGCTGCAGTTTATATGTACACAGAAATGTGGTTTCTAGAAGCAAATTAATATGATACATTACTAGACTGCTTTCCTGTTTTTTAGGGTTTGATTGTTTAGTACTTTTGTTAGTAAACTCTAGTAATGCTACTAACATTTTTGAAAATCAAAGTCAATCAGTGTTTTATATCTAACTGGAAGATAATTAAGATTGTTTGAGGAGTGACTGAAAAGATTACAACTTAATAAACCTGCCAAATACTGCTCTACAGTATTCTTATTTTTGTGCTTATAACCATGTGTGTCTAAAATTGTGATGCATTCTCCCTTCTCCATTTGTATTATGTCCTTTTTAACAGAAAGCACAGCTGATTCCAAGCTAACTGGAGTAACTTTGCTGTTTTGCTGCTTGTTGCATGCACACAGGAATGGAAAGCGAACTCCTTTTCCCCTTCCCCAGCGCCGTTTGACCTCTTCCCAAGACACCAGCAGTCTGCCTACTACTAAAAGCAAATCAAAAAGGGTCTCTTAAAAACCATTGTATATACACTCTGCTAGCCAGCACACTATGACCTTGTTGTGAAAAAGTAACAGGATGAGTCCTCTTGTGGAAACACTCCTGCAATCCCCACAGTCAAAAGAGGGGAAGTTCACGACATTAAAAAGGATTACTGTCCTTGCATTCTGAGGTGTCAGGAGATTCGAAGCTATTGAAATCTATTGGCTTTCATTAAATTTGTTTTGACTATTTTATTTTGTTGTACTTTTTGAAGTGCTCAGATTCTTTACCATTGGAGTTTTGTTCATGGACTTGTAACATGCAAACTTAACCAGCCTGAAACAGTGTCAGCAATCCTGTAACTTGACGACTGTGCAGTTGGTATCTTAAAATAGTTTACTATTGCTTCAGAATTAAGTATGATTTCAAAGGGAACAAAAACACCCCACAAACAAATTAATGCTGTACTTCTAGTTGTCTTAACTGATAGTTGCATGTTCCTGTGGCATGATTCCATGGAATAATCAGTGAGATTTCCTCTGGTCATAGCTATGTGATGGAGAACCATATCCAAATAAATGTTTGCTAGGTGGCATTGGCAGGGTGCTGTGGGAATGATTTTCATCTGAAAGGAGAATCATATATGTGAAGTGCATATATCCTGCTCCTGTACAGTGGAGTTATAACCCCAGAGTAAACTGAAGCAGTGTTACTGTAAACATTCATTATGATATGGCCAGAAAATGCATTGTTTTACTTAGCAGCATGTCAATGTAGCTCTAAAAATGTCCTGTCTCAAATTTTTACTAACTTTTGCCATTCTGTTTTGTAAATTGGTCTACTTTTCCAAAGATGATAAAGTGCTGTCTTTGATAGTTACGGGTAAGTTATAAAAACTGACATGGAATAGTCCTTTAAGCGTTTAATGTGCCAGGTCTTATGGAGTTTTTTTCCAGATGTTTTTACCATCCATATGTATATATGCAGACTGTATTCCAGCTGAAAAGGAGTTACTTTTGTATATTGTGGAAATGTAAAAATTGTAAAAACTAGTTGTTTTTACATCTAGTCTATAATATGTTCAGTACATTTAATCTGAGTTGGATGCAAATACAGCAGATATACCTGCATAATTAATGTGTGCCTGTTTTTCTGCAGTTGTTGCTAAGAGCTATGGAAATGAACCGCATAGTTTTTAATGATAAGCATATCTTGGGAGATTAAAAACACATTTAATTTACAGGTGATTGATACAAGTCATGTTTTCCATTATTATAACTATATTCCATTATTATAACTATATTCCATTATTATAACTATATTCCTACAAGAACAATTTTTGGAGTTTCATAATCAGACATGTTTTGAGAGGGGGACTTTGTTTTGGCCATTATATTTTGTTTTTATTTTAATTTTGGCATGTATTTACTAAAGCCCTGTCCTACCTACCAGCTTGTTCTCTCCCCTTTGGTTCTTGAATTTACTACTATTCTCTTTCTTCTGTTTTGTGTTGTTTTTTTCTTTTTTGGTGTTCCTGTCTTAATTGTTTTCAGGTATTTCTTTCCCCCTCTGGATTCCCCACGGGCTGGATCAAGGTGGTCCAGTTATGCCCAGCTCCTACCTCCTCCTCCTCCTCCTCCTCTGATAGAACGCTCTTGCGATGCTGACACGGCCAATCTCCAGTATCCTCACCGTCGCACACGATATATCTCTCGACCTCTTAAATTCTTACGTGAACATGAGGGGGTTTAATGCACATTTAAAACTGTATGAGGGGCCTTGTTCAGATGCTTGTGAAATGGTTCCATTTTAGACTGCTTGTTTTTGCACTCCTCCTTCCTTTCAGCATTTAGTGGTGGGCGTTTTAAGGACATCTTCTGCAAGGTCTTTGGAATTCACCGTGTTAGTGCTTCTGTGCCAAATAAATGCTAGCTCTAATTCAATCCATTTTCAACAATAATAAAGATGCTTAATATTAACTGTGACTTACACACAGCAATTGCATACAAATTACATTTTTCTGATCCTTTTTTAAAAATACTATTTTTTAATTAACTGTGATTATATTTGGGTTTGACATTTTTTCCTCCCTTCCCATTGGACTTGGAACTGTACCTTTAAGTGAATTTAATTTGGAGGAAACTCTGGATTAGAGTGGAAATAGACATTGCCTTCTTCAGCACCAGCATCATATTTGTAGGTTCATGGGTCCCTGCCCCCCCTCCCCCCGTCCAAATCCACAGCAATAAAAGGGAGTGATGAAGATTTATGAAGCGTGCCTATGGATTCTGCCTAGGGAAGGGAAGTTGATGCCACACCAACACTTCCATCCTGCATACAAATCCTTACACTACACCTTTTTTAAAAAAGGTCAATAAAACACTTGAAATGGTACACGTGTTGCTCATACTTTGAGATGCATAAAGAGAATATAAGAGAGTACCTGGCTTTCATACTACATTGTTTAAAATTGCAGATTTTGTCTTTGCTAAACTCATGCGGCTCAACCATAGGTTGTTCTATCTGGGCGCATACACTTTAAATTCAAACAGGGATTGGGTATAGAACATATGCCAGGGTCAGTCGTTACAGAAAAAGTAGGGGTTGAGGGGTTTTTAGCCCTTAATAGTGCTGCAGTATATACAGATGTTGGGTGACAGGAGAAAGACCACACTGCATTGCTTCAAAAGACTGTTCATTTTATGTCTCCAGAGGCTGAGATACCACTTAGCTTAAAAGCACAGCTTCCGGCATGCCTAAAGTACACTAAAATGAACAAATAGTCACCTCTGGGGTGGTGACAGCCGACAGGGACTCTGGCGTGGGCTGGTCCATGAGGTCACGAAGAGTCGGAGACGAATGAACAACAGAAGCTAAGAGTGTTATTAAGATGAGACTGCATGGAAAGCCATTGAGTTTGTTGTCCTATTGCCTACTGCAGAAGCCAAAAGAAAAAAGGAGCTCATCAATTACTGATACATCTTCAAGGGTCTGGAGAACAAGCCCTATGAGGAGCGGCTTAAGGAGCTGGGCATGTTTAGCCTGAAGAAGAGAAGGCTGCGAGGATATATGATAGCCATGTATAAATATGTGAGGAAGTCACAGGGAGGAGGGAGCAAGCTTGTTTTCTGCTTCCCTGGAGACTAGGACACAGAACAATGGCTTCAAACTACAAGAAAGGAGATTCCATCTGAACATGAGGAACTTCCTGACTGTGAGAGCCGTTCAGCAGTGGAACTCTGCCCCGGAGTGTGGTGGAGGCTCCTTTGGAGGGTTTTAAACAGAGGCTAGATGGCCATCTGTCAGGGGTGCTTTGCAATATTCCTGCTTCTTGGCAGGGGGTTGGACTGGATGGCCCATGAGGCCTCTTCCAACTCTATTATTCTATGACCTCTGGCATGTTTTTTTTTTTAATGTGAAAACGATGATGTTATAAAGGCCAATCCTATTCACATGTACTCACAGGTAAGCTCAATTCATCCTACAATGCACAGAAATATAGTAAGCAAGATACTGGTAATATGCTTCATTGAATTTAGGGGGGGAGGGGCTACTTTGACAGGTAACACACTTAACAGTTAATCCAATAGAGATTGACTTTTATATATCTTGTCACTTAAGCGAGAAGGGCTCCAAAGAGGTACTTTAGCAAGCTTAGAGACTTCATGAAGTTTTGAACAGTTTGGAAGTTCTAATATATTTTTAGATTGATCATGTAGACTCCATGACTGGCTACTCTTCCCTTGTGTTCCCTTTTCATTGCACATTTTTGAGGCATCTGTTGCATCAATGACATTGAGCAGAGTTTATTTATTTAAAACATTTATATTCCACCCTTCTCACCCCGAAGGGGACTCAGAGTTCTTTCTCCACTCTAGACATTCGACAGATATATAAACCTCCCTTGCTTAGTTTCTAGTATACCTCACAACCTCTGAGGATGCCTGCCATAGATGTGGGAGAAACGTCAGGAAGGAATGCTTCTGGAACATGGCCATTCAGCCTGGAAAACTTACAGCAGCCCAGTGATTCCAGCCATGAAAGCCTTCGACAATACATTAAATCAGAAAACCTGGGATCAGATCCTAGGATATATAGGGCCTATCTGGAAGGGCCTTGAGACTCAGGATCCTTCCACACAGCCCTATATCCCAAAATATCAAGGAAGAAAATCTCACAGTATCTTCTTTGAACTGGAATATATGACAGTATGGACTCAAATAACCCAGTTCAAAGTAGATAGTGTGGGATTTTCTGCCTTGATATTCTGGGTTACAGGGCTGTATGGAAAGGCCCTCAAGGCAAGTGGGGGCGGGGGGGGGAGGTCTCAGATACTGGGTTGTTGTAGGTTTTCAGGGCTATATGACCATGTTCTAGAGGCATTTTCTCCTGACGTTTCACCTGCATCTATGGCAAGCATCCTCAGAGGTAGTGAGGTCTGTTGGAAGTAGGAAAATGGGTTTATATATCTCTGGAATGACAAGGGTGGAACAAAGGACTTTTGTCTGCTGGAGCTAGGTGTGAATGTTTCAACTGACCACCTTGATTAGCATATAATGGCTTGGAAGTGCCTGGGGGAATCTTTCTTTGAGAGGTGATTTGATGTGCCTGATTGTTTACCCTCTGTTGTTTTGCTGTTGTAATTTTTGAGTTTTTTTAACTCAAATCTGGTAGCCAGATTTTGTTCATTTTGTTCAGTATGGTTTCATCCTTTCTGATGACATTGTCCACATGCTTGTGGATTTCAATGGCTTCTCTGTATAGTCTGACATGGTAGTTGTGAGAGTGGTCCAGCATTTCTGTGTTCCCAAATAATATGCTGTGTCTCAGATACTGTTTACATAGCAAGCAGGCTTTATTGTGGCGACAGTCACACGGACAACGACCATCAAGTCCCGCCCACATTTGAAAAGCTGCCGCTTCCGCTTCGTCCAATCAGAAGGCCGCGGGGTTTCCCTTCCTCATAAACCAATCGAATTCGCTGGACGCTCCCCGCTGCCTCGCGCTCTCCTTCTTTTCTTTTCGCCCCGCCCCCTTTTTTCCCCCTTCAACGAAATCTTAAACCTATGGAGAGCGAAGGGTTGGTTTCCTCAAAGCCCCAGGTAAGCCCAGAGGCGCATGCGCGGTAGTTTGGAGAAAAGGAGGGGGGCGGAAACCCCTCCACTCGCTCGCTCGCGCAGAAGTGTCTCGCGCCTGTTGAGGCGGCTGGTTCGTTTCCTCCTCCTGCTCTTCTGTGGCTCAGTGAGTGATCCTTCCTTTTCGAAATAGCTTGTCTAACGGATTGTTTTAAGTTGAAAGGAGAAGGGGTGAGGCTCTCCTCACACTCGCTTCCTTCGAGTTTGGGTCTTCCTTCTGAGGTGGAAGAAAGAGGATTAAAGCAGCGCGACACCGCTTCAACTGCCCTGGCTCAGTGCCCTGGAATCATGAGAGAGAGTTGTAGGTTTGCAAGGTCTTGCGCCTTCCCTACAGAGCGTGCTGGGCTGCTTTACCAAACTACAACTCAAAGTGCTCTCAAACTGGACTAATTCTACAGTGTGGACGCACTCCTGGTAGTAGTTCTAGAGACAATGGAAGTAGGAGGGGGGCAGGTTTAACTTGGTTTGGTTTTCTGCTTCCACACTGCAGTTTGACACCACTTTAAGAGTTATAGCATTCTGGGAGTTGTAGCTTGTTGTGGCACCCGCCTTCTCTGACAGGGAACCCTCTCACAAAACTACAAGTCCCAGGCTGTTGTTGTTATTGTTGCTATTACAATAGACTCTCAACAGGCACCCATTGGGATTGATAGATGCCAGGTAAATATAGTTTCTGGTTGCTTGAGAGTTGTATTTAAAGTAGGCCCAACTAATACTATACTCCATATTATATTCCAGGCATGGGCAAACTTATTTAGTTTATTATTTAGATAGTTCATTTAAATTTAGTTTATTTAAATCCAGTAGATAGATACCAGGTAAATGTAGTTTCTGGTTGCTTGAGAGTTGTATTTAAAGTAGGCCCAATTAATACTATACTCCATATTATATACCAGGCATGGGCAAACTTATTTAGTTTATTTTTATATAGTTTATTTAAATTTAGTTTATTTAAATCCAATAGATAGATGTCAAGTAAATGTAGTTTCTGGTTGCTTGAGATTAATACTATACTAATACTATACTCCATATTATATACCAGGCTTGGGAAAACTTGTTTAGTTTATTATTTAGATAGTTTATTTAAATTTAGTTTATAATTTAGATAGTTTATTTAAATTTAATAGATAGATGCCAGGTAAATGTAGTTTCTGGTTGCTTGAGAGTTGTATTTAAAGTAGGCCCAACTAATACTATACTCCATATTATATACCAACCATGGGCAAACTTATTTAGTTTATTTTTATATAGTTTATTTAAATTTAGTTTATTATTTAGATTATTTAAATCCAATAGATAGATGTCAGGTAAATGTAGTTTCTGGTTGCTTGAGAGTAATACTATAATACTGTACTGCATATTATATACCAGGCATGGGAGAACTTGCTTAGTTTATTATTTAGATAGTTTATTCAAATTTAATCTATTATTTAGATAGTTTGTTTAAATCCAATAGATAGATGCCAGGTAAATGTAGTTTCTGATTGTTTGAGAGTTGTGTTAAAAGTAGGCGCAAATAATACTATACTACATATTATATACCAGGCCTGGGCAAACTTGTTGTTGTTCATTTGTTCAGTCGTCTCCGACTCTTCGTGACCTCATGGACTAGCCCACGCCAGAGCTCCCTGTCGGCCGTCGGCCGTCACCACCTCCAGCTCCTTCAAGGTCAGTCCAGTCACTTCAAGGCCCAACTAATACTATACTACATATTATATGCCAGGCATGCCCAAACTTCGCCTCCCCCCCTTCCAGGTGTTTTGGACTGCAACTCCCATAATTCCTAACAGCCTATCGGCTGTTAGGAATTATGGGAGTTGCAGTCCAAAACACCTGGAGGGCCTAAGTTTGCCATGCCTGCATATCATACAATAAGCTCTGTATTGACATTGAAATACTGTCATTAAGAGCAAGTTCAAAAAAAACAATCCTAATTTAATGTCACATGGTTTTACTGTATTACGCTATTATAAAAACAGCAATTCTTTTGGTGTAAAGTATTGTTGTTGTTTTTTATTTTCTTGTCCAATGCTTGAGTTTTGGTTATTGGAGAGTCTACTTTGGTTAACTGGCAACCACCATGAGTCCCCACAGGGAGAAAGGCAGGTTGAACATAAAGACAATGATAATAATAACACTGAATTATTATATTTATTTATATCCCGCTTTCCTCTCTTAAACCAGACTCAAAGTGGCTCACAGCAGTACAAAACAGACCTCTGTAGCATTGAGCTGTAGCAGTTTAAGTGGTGCCAAACTGCTGTAATTCAGTGTTAAACGCCATGTCAGTGTTAATAGTCATGCTGCGGTTTTAGAATAAACCATTGATAACGCAAATAAAGTGAAGTTAGTGCTCAGGCCAATGGCTTATGTCAAAAGCTGGGACTGTCTTTGATGCTATTTGGTGTGAGCAGAGTTGCAACAAAGCTCTAGGACTCCATCTACACTATAATTTAACCAGTATTGAATAAAGTGGTTTTGCTGTTCAGATAGTGACATAAGAAATTCTGGAACCACTCTGAAGCCTGGGTGGTGATTACACAGAAGTCAAAGCATTGGTACGCATTAAGGGCTTTATTTTGTGCACTTTTATGGGAGTTTATTGTTTGACCATCACAGTTCGAAGCTAGCTTCAAACTGCATTAAATGGTAAGTGCAGGTGGGGCCTAGAACACCTAGCTTTGTTTTACTTTTGGGCTTTATCATTTTTTATAAACACCGTAACCCTTAATTCCTGCTACAGTAGGGATTAAGAGTGTACAGCAGCAGTCCCCAAGTTACAAACATCCGACTCACAAATGACTCATAGTTAAGTACGGGGGTGAGACAACAGGAAGTGAGAGGAATTCACCCCTGAAAGAGTTATCATAGATAAAAGGTATCTCAACTGAAGTTTTATCACCAATCCTTGTTTCCACAACAAACCACATTTTTCAAAATCCAGTTATCACAGGAGCACAGACAGCAAAAGAAACACCACAGAGGTGTTAACCGTGCCCTGTGTGACCCAAAACAAGTGTGTGTGTGTATGTATGCGGGATTGTGGCGCAGCTGGCTGAGTGTCAGCTGCATTAAGATCACTCTAACCAAAAGGTCATGAGTTCGAAGCCAACCCGGGTTGGAGTGGGCTTCCAACCAATTGTGTAGCCTGTTGTCAACCTTTGCAACCCGAAAGACAGTTGCATCTGTCAAGTAGGAAAATTAGGCACCACCTTGTGTGGGGAGGCTAAATTAACTAATTTATGAGACCATAAAAAAGACTCCAGCAAAGCACTCCAGCAAAAGCATGCGGGGAATGCGGAAGTACTTTATCAGTGTCGCAAATGGACGATGAAAGTGACAGCTCCCCTGGTGGCCAAAAAAAGTTAAATAGCCTCTGTGTATGTCTGTATATGTTGTATGTCAAATTGGCATCGAATGTTTGACATATATGTGTACATTGTAATCTGCCCTGAGTCTCCTGCAGGGTGAGAAGGGTGGAATATAAATACTGTAATATATATATATATATCTGGAGCTAGACTTAAATATGTACCTGTTCCAACTTACAAACAAATTCAACTTAAGTACAAACATATAGAACTTATTTGTAATTTGGGGACTGCCTGTACTCAGAGTTTACTCATTGTGAATGTACTCAGAGCCCTTTTCTTATAAAACAATATGAATTATGTGTTTATATTTTTGTAATTCATCTTAGATGCTAAATTTATTTTTTTTAAAATATTGTAACTCTACATTGAATTAAATTTCCTACATTTTTCTACAAGTAGCTGGTTGAAATTAATTTTGAACCACTGCATATTTGGGTTTCAGAGACCTTTTGTTTCCAGTTTTTTAAATACATCTCCTTTTGTTTTTGGAATTTGTAGGCCTTACTGTGGAAGAAAATCATTAAGTATCCTTCAGTGTCTGGCTCCGATGAAGAAGTGGAAGAACTGTATTAATAAGAATCAAGTCAAACTGTAGTTTTTGAATCCTCATAATCATTGTGGAGCTGCATGAAAGATAAAATAGACTCTACCGATATGTGTACCACCTAAGAAACCCCCAGATATTGGATAATAGAAATATGAAACTGAACAACATTGGGGCCACTTTGTTTTCGGACTGTGGTTAACACTTTATTAAAGATTTAGAGCACTTATAAGAGAGCAGTATTATGGAAGACTTTAAAGGCATTGCGGATGAGACATTACCAAGTATTTTGGACCACTCGCTGACTATTCACACCAGTGAAATTCTGGATAATATAACAATGTCATCAAATCTTGGTTTACCAGTTGCTGCTTCAACTGAAGCCAGGCAGAAAACTGACCCTCATGGCAGGTAAGATGTCTGTTAAAATTAAAAATAGGAATGAGACAATAGAGAAGGAGTTGTTTACTAAAAAACTGCTCATTCCTATTTGTTTCTGAATGTGGATTTTTTCCAGACCTGACTTTCCACTTCATAAATCACTGTATGATTCATGATATAAAATAATTTTAGATAGATGTTAGAGAAGCTGAAGTTCCCATTTTTTGTCCTTCTGCAGATATATATTTTTTTGCCCATGGCTCACTGTGAAACTTGCTGCCAACATTTCCTCAAGCTGGAGCATAATTTAACTATAGAGGAAATCAAAACTGTTTCTTTGTATTTGTTAAAGTTTTCTATCTTGTGTCCCTAATGCTGACAAACAGAAGTTTGAATATATTTAAAAAATGGAAATAAATACAGGTGACCATTACAACATTAAGAATGTTGCCCACTCCTTAAATGTTTAATAGCAGCAGTGCAGATAAGTGTGGATGGTTTCATAATGTGGAAACGATCGTTTCGTTTTGATTTACTCGTTCTCTTGACATGGCAGGAAGATATATTGGTCCATGTGTTGTTCCAGCATTACATGTCAGCTTCCCAGTTTTCTATCATATATGCATCCTGATTAGGAGTGCCCCTGTTTTAAGATAGAAGTAGCTAACTGTATTGACTTCCGAAATATTATTTTCTCTCGTTTTTTTTTCTTTGAAAAGTTAACAGTTTTCTATACTCATTGAACTTTTCATCAGCGGTTTGAAAGGATTCCTCCTACTCCAGTTTTTTTTAAAGTTGTATTTTTGCAAAACATTATGCACACTTTGGTTCTCTCAGGCCTGCTGATAGCTTATGTATTATCTGGGTTGCTGTGAGTTTTCCAGGCTGTCTGGCCATGTTCCAGAAGCATTCTCTCGTGATGTTTTGCCCACATCTACGTCAGGCATCCTCAGAGATTGTGAGGTTTGTTGGAAACTAGGCAAGGGGGGTTCATATATCTGTGGAATGTCCAGGGTGGGAGAAAGAACTCTTGTCCGTTGGTGGCACGTGTGAATGTTGCAATTGGCCAGCTAGATTAGCATTGACTAGCCTGGCATCTTCAAAGCCTAGCTGCTTCCTGCCCGGGGGAATAATTTGTTGGGAGGTGTTAGTTGGCCATGATTGCTTCTTGTCTGGAATTCCCCTGTTTTCTGAGTGTAGTTCTTTATTTACTGTCCTGATTTTATTTACTGTCTTTACGCATTCATTATACTTTCATGGCATAAGGATCTATACAAAGAAAAGTCATGTTACATGAGATTTTTGTGTTTAGAATGATTATTTTCTAAAATTTGTTTTCTGTGCTGTGACCATAGTTGTTTCTAATTACACAGCTCAAGAAAACAATTTTTTTTGGTGTCTGGGTTTTTAGGTCTGTTTTTGAGATTACTTGGGGCACTGATTCAGAACATTCTATTGGATAGACCACATCAGTTCTAGTTTCTTAGATATGGTTATCTAGATTTTCAATAAGTGAGCAGATGGCATCTGGTAGATGGTATATGTTCTTTATCTCAAAAATTGGAGGTGATGGGGGAAACGGGTGCCTTTTTGGGATCAGCAGGTCAAATATACAGACAGTCCCCAAGTTACAAGCACTTGACTTACATACGACTCATAGTTAATAATGGGTGAGACAACAGGAAGTGAGAAAAATCTACCTCTAGGAAGGGAAATTCTCTTTTGGAAGAGTTATGGGGAAAAAAGGTGTCTCCACTGAAGCTTTATTACTAATCCTTGTGTCCATGACAACATACTTTTTTTTCAAAACCCAGTTGTCACTGGCACAAATCGAGGTGAAATATTACACACTCAAAAGGATTTTGGCCCTTGGTTTTCATTATAGATTGCAGTGTTAAGTTTTTCCTGTAAATCCTTGAACCTGTTTCTTCTCAGCCTTCAAGTACAGAGTTGAGAACATGCAAGATTATCAGCTTTTCTGTTTCTCTTCCCACAGACTTTGTGACCAGGCCTCTTTTATGGAAAGGGAATTTTCTGCTCCATTAGCATCATCATGTAGTGGTGAATCTGATTCTTATCCAAGAAGAAAGCTTAGCCTTCAAGATACTGTGTAAGAAATTATTAATTATTATTTATATGTTGCAACTTGTCCTTATTTTTATTTATTTGAATTAATTGATAGTACCAAGAGGTGCCCTTTGTTGGTGGATTAAAGCATTATAATCATTTCTTATTGATATTTATTTATACCCTGCTCTTCAGCAACAAAGGCTCTCAGAGCAGCTTACAAATGGTTACAAATGCTCTCAAGCTTACAATCTAAATAAGATGTGACAGAGAAAGAAAAGGCATGGCGGTAAGGAAGGGAATTATGTCCTGTAGACACTCTTAAGGCCAGAGCAGTGCCATCTGGGATGGAGGGGAAGGCCTTTCACATGCTTTTTTGAACAAATACTAATGGTTTTCAACAATCAATTGATCTCAAAACCTAATCTGAGTGTTGTTGTAAGACATCAGAAGTTCAAGAAGAAGGAGGAGGGTTTATTCTTATTAATGTGTGTATGTCCCTTCAAGCTACCTTTTAATTTAGAGGTTTCACAGGGTTTTTCTTAGGAAAGCATAACTCAGAGGTGGTTTTTCCAGTTCATTGTTCTGAAATACAACCTATAGCACATGACATGTGGTCTCCCATCCAAGTGTTCATCTGGGCTGAGTGTTTTTATTTTCCAAGATCAGATGAGATCTGGTATTTTTTGTGTGTGTGTGTCAGGAGATATTTGAGAAACTGCAAGTTGCTTCTGGTGTAACTGAACTGGCTGTCTGCGAGGACGTTGCCCAGGGGCTGCCTGGATGTTTTACCATTCTGTGGAAAGCTTCTCTCATGTCCCTGCATGAGAAGCTGGAGCTGACAGATGGGAACTCACCCTGCTCCCTGGATTAAAATCGCTGACCTTCCGGTCAGCAGTCCTGCCAGCACAGGGGTTTAATCCATTGTGCCACCGGGGGCTCCTATGGGATCCGGTGCTTTTAGGGTATGTAGATAGTTTATTTATATCCAATCTTTTTCTCTAAATTAGAACACAGAGTAGTTCCCAAATTTTAAAAGGTACGATATAGCTTTAAAAAGGATACATTAAAACATAAACTGTCAGCAACATCAAAAGCAATTGAAAATATGTGTTACTAAGAATAAAAGTTTTTTTAAAATATAATTTAAAGCAGTATAGCACTCTGCTGAAATGGTCTTTTGTAAAGTAGTTTGCTAAAACCATTGAAATATGTATTTCAAACATTGCTGCCTCTGTTCTAATATTGGAGAAAAGGTTGGATCTAAATAAATGTTATCAAAATAAATAGATCCCATGTGTTAAAAGAACCCTCACTAAAGTGTTTCTCGGGTTAATTTAACTGTATGTCACGTGTGTGTGTGTGTGTGTGGGGGGGGGGGGGYGCCAGGTTGAGGATTATGTGGTTAGAAACCTTGCTAATGTGAAGCCATCTGTTTCTTTAGGAAATAAATGTTAATGTGTGACTTCTTAGGCCAAATACATCGGGCCTCTGTACTGTATGATGATCTTCCCAAATAGAAGCTACACTGAAGAAAAAAATACATTTCTAATTGAGAATGGGTGTTACTACTTACACTGTCCTGTGTTTATTTTTTAAAGATAAACTGCATTCCTTACATGCAGACAAATACTTATATGTGTTTTCAAATCTTCACCTTCATGTAACTTAATTTTCTATTTATGCTACAATTAGCAGATTCCTTTTTTCTTCCTGTTGGAAACAAATCATTGGAAAGATTAATCTACACCTCCTGGTGTAGAACATAAACAATATAAACTTTTAATTTTACTTCTGAAAAATTGTGACAAAATCCTGATTGTATTTTTTATGAAGCTATATTCTCTATATATTACTAGAGACTACTGAGAGTGTTCTGAAATATATATGAACTGTTGGAACTGTTGGTACATAAAACTGCAATTTAAGTATCTATTACAGATCAATGATTAAAGACTGAATTCTCATTTATTCTCAGAGAAAACTGTAATAAAACAACAGAAACTTTATTGGAGGTAGACCAGAATGAATCTGATTTACAAAGAAGGCAAAACCAAAATTGTACTGAAGAATGTGTTGATATTCATAAAGATATTGCGCATGAGAATCTTTCACTGAAATGTTTGGAAGGTATACAGTTTCAACCATATTTTCTGTTTTATTGAGGGTTGGCCAGGACCTCCTGCAATTCTGCTTAATGTGTTTTTTGTTTTTTCTGCTTGTTTTTATTTTGTTTCTGGTGCTAGATTTGGGGAAAGGCTAGTGTGATATTTGGAGTTCAAGATATTAAAAGATGCTTCAATTGTATCTTGCTCCGCATATTAGAAAAAAGTAATTCACGCAACAGAGATAATTATATATGACCCACTAGCATATGTACCATTGTGAAATTCCTGTCAAACTTTTGACCTCAGCCATCATTTGGGATCTTACTGTTAGTATATTTGTTCTAATTGACATAGAAGAAAACAGTTGTTTTCTAATTTTCAGATTTGAGAACTACAATATTTGCTTCATTGAAAAAAGGGAGTGAAAACAATAAGGTAACTTTCTTCATTCACTGTGGGTAATTTGTAGCATGCTGTTTGTATTTCAGTCAACTTGTCATGCTCTGATTTCAGTCATATAACAGGAAAGCTAACATCATGCAAACATCTGTTGAAAAAAAATGAAATCCTTGAAGTTTATTTAAATCAAATTACCCACTTGGCATCCTGAATTGAATTCTAAAAAGGCTCATAGTCATTGTTACCATATGTATAAAATGTAGTACATCATATTTATGTCAATATATTATTGTAATAAAATTAATTTTGTAGCTCATGCCCATTTGTCTTTGTCAGCCAGTAACTGTCTTTTTGTAAATTGCCTTTTTATGCTGTACACTGCCATGAGTCGCCCGAGAGGGCTGAGAATGGCGGTTAATAAATGCACCAAATAAATAATAAATTTTCTATCTTATTTATATTTAGTTGTTCTTTTGTTTCTGATTAAAATGTTTCTTTGCAAATAGTTCCTTTATGTAATCCAGTGACCTTATTCAGAACCTTTGTCAATGAAGCCTTCATTCCTTGCAATTAGAATTATGTCTGAAAAATGTATGCAAAAATCCTAAGCCTGTTATTGATATGTGAGAAGTGTCCAGAACCAGGGGTAGTTGTTAATGTGCAAAACATTGGAGGAATTGAATGGCCATATTGTTGGCATAAAATAAGAATTGTGTCTGTTAGTTTGAGAAAAGAACACATTGCAGTATTCAGATAGTTGAGCATTAAATATTAATGCAATTCATTTATATAGCTTCAGTGATTGGTCTAACATACCCTTTTCCGCCAGCTGTTGCATCCAGGAAGATGCTTCAATTCACATGGCCATTAGATTTTCCCTTTTCTTATAATAAATTACTGCCTTATTAGGAATTGCTATCTTTTCTAGTGAGTCATGTCTTCTCACGATATGGCAAAAGCATGGCACTCAGTTTAGTTATTTACTTGGACCAGTGGTTAAGCTAATTGGTTTATAAATTCTGTTTAGAATGGAGTAATTGTAGCATAATGTGTTCCTCTGGACATATGTGAGGTATTAAAGGCTTTGGAACAGATGGAGTAAGAAAATATTTAGGGCCTAAGTTATTAAACTACAGATCCCAACTTTTATTTGTAGGTATCTTCATCAGAACCTGGTCAGAAACGGATAACAAGTAACACAGATGTCAATGGTGTCACTGCCTTTTCCAGATTCATAGAAAATGAAAAACTGTTGAGTTATGCAAGTCTAGAAGAACATTCTACAGGTATTGTTTAAACATTTGAATTATCTCCTTTTATTGTTGTCAACTCCACTCGTGCTCATGGAAACACTATGAATGAGAGAGCCCCAAGAGTCCTAGCCAGCAGCATCCTTACAGAATTAGGGCGGTGACTTCCTTAATTGAGTTACTTCATCTGTAATTTTTGGAAAGGCATTACTTTTAGAGACCATTACCTTTTGGAGAAAAATGACATTCATGGCCATTTGAAAACCATAACCTTTGTAAAAGTATGATCTTCCAGAGAAGATCCAAAAACTCATTTGAGTTAAATCTTCACTTCAGTAGTATATATCCACATGTACTTATGCAAGGCAATTTAGCTTTCATTTGTTAGACTGGTAACCTTGTTGTCTCTGATCTCTTGGGAACAAAGATTATACCGATGCACAAAATATAGCAATTCTTCAGAAGTGTTCATTTCCGTGCCCCAAAACATCTACTCTCCCATAAAATATCTTGTTTCTATATCATGCGCGTAAGAGACAAAAAATAAAGTAAACTTCATTAAAAGTAACATATCTGGTTTACTCACAACTTTCATGTATTCAGCATACTGTTTCATAACTTAGCAATCCAGTTACAGATAGGATTTGAAGTGGCTTCTCTGTGCAGATAACACAGGGCATCTTTCTTATAATCAACAGCAACATGACTTTGTTCTTAACAATACAAAGTCTCATGGCGTCTTTTGGACTCTGTATTCTAATGAAGTCTGAAGTCTAAAATGGAGTGTGAGCTCAGAGTACTCCCAGATCTGATCATGTGGTCTGCAGCCCCTCCCACAACCTCAAGCAACATAGGGTGAAGGGAAAGCTTAGTATGAAAACATACATATACAATATAGTAAGAAAACAGAATCATATACAAAACAAATTATCAGTGAAGGCTTGAAGAAGGTTGCTATTTCCAACAGTAATGTGGCCTCTTTTTGCCGTATTGTGTTTTCTTGTCCAGAGTATAGTTTATGCAATAGGACAAGCAGATGATGATGCAGTTTCATTTTATTGAGTAGATCCAGAGTTTTTCATGATCTACAAAATCAGTGACTGTTTATAAATCTATACAGCATAGTCTGATTTTCTTCTGAAATTCTTTTTGTGCGCTCTCTTAGTCTATGTGTATTTACAATATGTTCATTTTGGATGTTATTATATAGGGTTTCCATGGTAAAAGGCATTCAGAATTGGTTTACCAGTGTTTCTTTCTACACAGTCCTAAGGAGAGTTAATTAAAATGCAACTGCCATTTCCTTTGAAAGATCTTTTGCCAATGTCACTTCAAAATAGTGCTGTTGCCGCATAGGTTTCCCTGACCATGTTAAGATGTCCAGCACATTAAATTGGGCTCTTCAATAAAAGTCTGTCTGACATAGGAGATCCCTAGCAGTAGCAGTGCTGCCATCAGCATAGCATTTGTCTCCTAGGAATGCTATGTCCTACGATCATAAAAAAGCAGAGCCTGGTGGGTCTGGAAGAATTCCAGAAGTAAAAAAGTTGGCTTTCCACATTTGTGGTTTCACTTTTAAACATTTGATTATTTTTCTGCTGCCCTGTACCAATTTTAATAGAGATTGCAAACATCACAAGACTCTAATGGAGGCTGCAAATGTGCGATGTAGCTTGATAATCCCTATAAAAATGGTATATGGCAGCACCAGAGGCAGGGTTGTGGGGAGAGACACAGGGAAAGGTATGAAGAAATCATGCTCCTAGGTGGACAGAGGCAGTGAGCAATTGGACAAGTGGAGAAGAAAGAGCTTCCTAGTTCCTGTCTTCGTTTCTCTGCCTCCATGCTGCTTTATTTCCCTGTGAAGTGAGAAACATAGTGAGCAGTCAGGTAGACAAAGAATTGTAACTCTAGATCTGGATGCAGCAGTGGCGTTGGTGCTTCTTGAAAAACAGGCTCTGGTGGAGTGGCATCAGAAGGAATGGGCAGGTAGAAGAAGGCAGAGGATGGTGACAAAGTCCTGCTACTCACTCTGACTGCCTTCTTGGTTTCTGTCCTTCCAGTGTGCCCAGCACCTTCACGTGTGCTTTGGCTGTAGGAGAAAAACGCAGGGGTACTAGTGAGTGGAGAAAGGCAAGGAGAGTGAGTGGCTGACAGAGAAGGAATGGATAAAAGAAGCCCCATAGAGACCACAGCAGTGGCATTCTAAGGATGACACAAGGAGCAGTCTACCACAGATGGGCTATTCAGCCTCCTGCTTGGATTGGTAGATTGCTTCTGTCATTCCACAATGATTCTTCATGATAAAACTAGTCTCACATTTCTCCCTAGCTCATCACTGTCCCTGTATACATTCACAATGTTTCTACTATTCTGCGTGTATGTTACACCTCTAACTCCTGCAAAAATAACCTGCTTATATATTCATAACAAACCTCTCCTTTTTACATTAGATGATGACCTTGGAGATGAGGAATTCTGTGATGATCAGTTGGAGGCCTATTTTGAACAGCTTGCACTGCCAGAAATAGAAGATACAGAAGAACATGAACTTGGTGATTACATGAAAGCCGTAGAATTGCCTCCAGATCAGGTAATTGAAAATGAAAATGTGAAGTTATTGTCTTGTCAAAGGCATTGTGCAACATAATTCCAGGCTCTGGTGTTATATTCATAAACAAGTGATTCCTAAAAAGGTGGGTATAAAGAAAGAGCATAGTTTTTTCAGTCTTCAGAAAAAATTCTGTTGCACAGTTTGCAATTTTGGATCATTTGGAAAATGTCATTTATTTTGGTTATCATTTTACAAAATAAGTGAATATGCTGGATATATTAATCAATTACTGTATTGGCAAAATTCTAGACTATATGTAACTTCAAACTAAAGATCAGGTGGTGGCATTTGCTTTATTTCTCATTATGTAATAGGTAAAGTTTAATTGTTCCTGTCATGTACTGGAAGTACATTTTATAGTATTTGTTATGATGTAAATTCTTATAATAGTGACAATACTTTTAAAAACTTATTTACAGATTTGCTTGCAATGCCTAAGTTGCTTTGGATTTTGCTCAAGAGAGAAAAGCAGGATATACATAAGAAGGAAAGCACCAGTTCTTTTTACAATTACACATGAAATGTTTCCTTCTTTGTAGACCAGTGTAGGTGAAATCTGTAGCTGAAATTTCTATCTTTATATCTGCCCAAAGTGCTAATTTATAGCTTGGTATATTAATGAATGATATAGATCATTCATCATGCTGCATTGATCTGCCATTTGTCATCAGTTAGACTAGTTAGGTTAAGCAGGTCTAAAATAAGAATATAGATATACCATTTATTAGCTAATTGTAGAGATGATATACATTGAAATTTTGGTTTAAAATGATCTCTTACGATTCTTTAGGAACATTTCCAAACACCTACTGTCTGCCAGGCAGCAACAAGAACCGATTCATATGATACTGGTAGTGAACAATTGTATGATATTAAGGAAACCAGGCATTGTGTGAAAGATGAGCAATTTGTGCTAACAGTTTCAGCAGGAGAAGAGGTATATAATTTTTTCCCCTACACTTGTGAAATTCAAATGTTACATCATCAGTGTTTTATGGGAGTAAGTCAAGGACCATCTGGTTTCTATATGTAATACATTTTCAGATGTCGTAAATTGATTGTAATGTGAATATAATGCATGTGTTTGCTGATTTCTTTTTAAGCAGGAAGATAGATCCAGTGACTGCTGTAATAAGTGTCCTGTTGGAATAACAGGCAATGTATCTGGCATGTTCATTAGGACAGACAAATCACACATTTGTCAAGATGTAAAAGGTATGTTTATTTTGGTAGTTCGTTGATTATATTTCATACTACTGAGTAAGTGTTGACCTGGTATCAAACAGTTCTTTATTCATAAATTGCAGAAAAAGTTACGTAGCTGTTCCAGTTCTTAAATGCCTGTTTTAAAATAGATATAGTAGACAGAAATAAAGTAAGTTAGTTAAACAGGTTGTCTAGCAAATTAGTAAGTTAAAAACCAAAACTTAAAACTGAAGCATAAAATACAATCGAAATAATATCTTAATATCAGCATATATCACTTACTCAATATAGTCTATTAATTCAGACTTGATTTAAATCAACATAAGATGAGCATCTCTTATCCAGAAATTAGAATTGTTCCAAGATTGTTTCAGAGCTGGCGTAATACAAGTTTGCTTTCTAGGATTCAGTGCACACAAACTTTAAACTATAAAACTATAAAATTATCTTTAGTTTATGTGTGTAAGATGTATATCTCCAAGATATTTCATTATGTGTATACAGGCATTACAAAATCTTCTAAAGTTCCAAAATCTGAAATAGTTCTTGTCTTTAGCATTTTGGATAATGGCTATGCAGCCTGTAAAATGCAGCAGACAAGGTTCCTCAGTGAAATAGTTCTTGATAATATTGGGGCCAAGCATTTAATGTTTTCAATAAATACATTATCTAGAAATATAATTGTTTTAAAGTAAATTTGAAACTCCCTCAAATGTATTTAGAGAGAGAGAGAGAGAGAGATTATGTGAATAAGAGGTCATCTGTCGGGAGTGCTTTGAATGTGATTTTCCTGCTTGACAGTGCGCTGGACTGGATGGCCCACGAAGTCTCTTCCAACTGTGATTCTATGAGAGGAACTTGTGTTCTAGAACAGGCAGTAGAAATGAATGCAAGTCGGGGAACCTTCAGGGTATATGAGGAAGAGATATTTGAGGGCAGATTGTCAACTGAGTCCTGGTAGTGAAGATAAATTTCTGATCTGAGAATGGAGTACAAGATACTTTTATTTTTTGATTCTTATATCCCCCTCTCAAGTGACTATTTTGTATCTGGCTTCAGTAGACGTTCCTTGGCAATTGAATGCCTGATGCTTGCTTGGTGTCTTTCCTATTTTTGAAGTGTCTCTGGAATTTTTATAGTGATGCTTCCTGAAGTTCTAATGACACACGTGGACATAATAATCTATCATTCAGTTTTGAATTAGCATTTGGGAAAGCAGTTGTACGACAGGAAATGCCATGCGATGCATACATTTTGAATTTTAAATGAAGTGATATTTATCTTGTGGAAATTTAGAAGTAATGTAAAAGAAAAAAAATTACATTATTGCAGACCATTTGGACGAATATGGAGAGGATGAAATACCTATTAAAACTAATCAAATGATAAATACCAAAAATGCAAACAGAGATTATACTGAGAGTCAGCCTCCATGTATCACTGCTGAAAACACTTGTAATAAGGTAATAACTCTTTGTTCTGTTGTTTGAGCATCTGTTGACAATTCCTAATTTCAGTTTTGAAAGAAAATCTGATCAAATAGATAGATAGATAGATATTGTCCTTTGAAATGTCCTTCAAATGCTGTTTTTCTCATTTATAGTTATTTCATTTTAGGCCTTGAATCTGTTCACATAATGTTTGTCCTATTGTCATTTCCCTAAACTGAATACTTATTAAGGCATTCCTGTTTCTAATCAAGTAAGCTTGAAGCAAAGTATTTACAGATTGATGGGGAAATGGAAAATAATATGCATAGTATTAATAGTAGTATTTATTTATTTAAACTTTGCTTTTTTCTACACTTGAAACTCAAGAAGAAGAACTTTATTTTTCTACCCCGCCTCCATCTCCCCGAAGGGACTCAGGGCAGCTTACATGGGGCCACCAAAGGTGGCTTGACAAACCTAGACAAAATCTGAACTAGTATCATGAGATACTTTTTTTCTCTTTTGACTGGCTATCAATTGCACGTATCAAGAATGTTGTCAATGCTGAGAAATAGATTAATAAAGTATAGTATATAGAAGCAAGCATTTTGATGTGTATATTAAAGCTACTGTTTTGTTTTTTGTATAAGGATGCCACAGACGTAACCAATTCTGAACTAAAACTAGATTCAGTATACTTTCAATGTGTTGAAAATACGATTACTTCAGAGATCTGGAACAAAGAACAGCAAACTCCCTTTTCTCCTCTCTGTCAAGAAGCTAGTGAAAGTTATGTTCCTCTGGCTGAGGTATACTTGTCACCAAGTGCATATACAGGAACTGAGCACGATGAGTGCACTTCAGAAGGTTAGTTCGCTCTTGTGTCTTGAGGCTTTTAAATTCAATTCGGAAATTGCTCAGTTGGTAGATGGCTGCTTTGTCTTACGGACCATAACGTTGGTTAATTTATTAAAAGATACGTTTGAATGTTTGTATTTGTTCAGTTGTTCTTCCAGCATGACTCATTGCTCAAAACATCTTATTGTATAATTGCTTCTCAGCCTTTTGACTTAAGATCAAGTGTTGTTATTGTATTTGCTTACAATAAATGAGAGTTTTGTGTTTTCTTCACATTTCTAACCCTACAACTAAGAAAACATAATAAGATTTTTTGGGAAGGATACATATTGATAGTACTATGTATTATACTGAAGTCTATGTGAACAATTGTTTAACTATGGAATCTTAAGGAAACTCTTAATGCATTTTTCAGATGATCCACCACATGATGTGGTATATCAGGATGAAGAGGGAAGATGGGTGACAGATCTTGCGTACTACACCTCATTTGATAAAGAACAAACAGTAAATGTTCCAAACGTTAGTGGAGACTTCGTAGCTGGGTGTAAGTTTGATAATGTGCTTAATTCTTTATCTCATTAGTATTTCGTTCCTTGGTACTTCATTCAAATTAATTTACGGACTTGAAAGGAAACCACTTTGGATTGATAAAATGTAAGAGATCCAACTAATTGCTTGTATTGTATTTCCAAGTAGATTTCTCAAAAGTGCTACGATATTCTTTGTAATCAAAGGTATATAAGTTGTATGGTAGTGTGTCTCTTGGAATGTTTCTATTTCTTAAAAAAATGTGTTAGAAACAGATCACGTGAATGCTTCACATATTTTGTAAGTAATGTAATGCAGATAACAGGCTGACAGTGAAACAAAAATACTGTTTGGTCATTATTAAATACTTCTGTGTAAGACAAGGGCAAACTACTAATATATCTTAAAATACCTTTCAGAGATACAAAATGGGTTACCTCATCTTGAGTGCAGACTTTTCCTAGCTTTCAAATTTTGCACTGGATTTGTTAATTAGGAAAGCAGTAATACAAACGGGTTTCAGATGCCAGAAACGGTTTGTTCAAAAAGCTGCCACTTAGAAAACTGGGCTGATTTCTTCTGATGTTCCCTTACAATTGCAAAATCAAATTTTAAATTAACATTCCGTGTTTCTTCAATTCAAAGACACACTTTCCTATATAAACAACTCTAAAAATGGAGTGTGTCTTAGAATTGCAGGTGTATCTTATGTAGTTTTCTTGCTGGTGGTGCTAAAATTAATCATTAGCATTTTACAATTACGTGTCGTTTCAAGAAACAGATTTATTTATTGTGTCAGAAGCAAATTGAGGATATAGTTAAAATGTATTTAAAACACAAGCAAAGTTTAAAATGTGACATTATGCTAAATGTTCTTTGACCAGTAGCTGGTCAGTTGGAGTGCCCCTGGTGTTGCTTTGAGAAGGTCTTCCATTGTGCATGTGGCGGGATTCAGGTTGCATTGTAGTAAGTGGTTTGTGGTTTGCTGTCCTCCACACTTGCATGTCATGGACTCCACTTTGTAGCCCCATTTCTTAAGGTTGGCTCTGCATCTTGTGGTGCTAGAGCGCAGTCTGTTCAGTGCCTTCCAAGTCGCCCAATCTTCTGTGTGCCCAGGAGGGAATCTCTCATTTAGTATCAGCCACGTATTGAGATTCTGGATTTTAGCCTGCTACTTTTGGACTCTTGCTTATTGAGATGTTCCTGTGAGTATCTCTGTAGATCTTAGAAAGCTATTTCTTAATTTAAGGCATTGGCGTGCTGGCTGATATCCGAACAGGGGAGATGAGTCGGAGATGTCACTGCTTTGGTCCTTTCATTACAGGCTGCTACTTCCCGAAGGATGTCAGGTGGTGCAATACTAGCTAAACCGTGTAATTTCTCCAGTGGTATGGGGTGTAGGCATCCTGTGATAATGCGGCATGTCTCATTAAGAGCCACATCCACTGTTGTAATATGGTGAGATGTATTCCACACTGGGCATGCGTATTCAGCAGCAGAGTAGCAAAGCGCCAGGGCAGATGTCTTCACAGATCAAACAGATTAAAACCTAAAGTACACTGTATGTCCCCAGTACTATATTTCAATTTCTCCAACTCACTCATCAACTGTGTTAGTAGAATTTGACATATGGTGAAAAAGTAACTGTATCTTTTTTTTCTTGGAAAGCTGAAGCAGTTGCTATGATTGCCCAAGATCAAGAAGACTTTGAGAAGGAGCACAGGTTTATGCAGGTAGCTAATGTTCTGAAGAAACAATTCTGGAATGCATTTTTTGTGCTAGCGTTAATTTTTGACATTTCTGTACTTGTTGCAATTTCAGGAAGAAAAAATGGATCCACAAAATACCTCTGTATTTGGGGATTCATCATGGAGATCATTTCATAATTTCAATCCCTCAAGGGCTTCAGAAATTAATCTTACCAAAAATGCCAGTTATTTTCGGATCTCTCTTGGAGAGTTTTTTGGTCAGAGATCTGAAGCTCTTGGTTGCCTTGGAGGAGGGGGTGATGTGAAACGGGTATGTAGCTGATTTCAATTTCTTTCTCTTTTTTTACTGGTTGTTGGAGGTCTGCTTTTGAGAAGTTTGCCATCTCTTTGAACCACTAGAGGTGTATTCGCAGATCGTAGAATAAGAGTAAATGAGCATAGCTAGGTGAGAGCACACAAGTTTTGATTTAGCTAGGCCTAGGAGTCCTAAAACAAACCTACACAACCTAGCCATCCAGTTGGGACTCCAACTCCCAGAAGCCCTAGCCAGCTTGTACAGTGGTCTGCACTTCTGGGAGCTGAAGCCCAAAACACCTAGAAGGCTGCAGAATGTGTAGGCCTTCTCTAAAAGCACCAGGTCTCATCTATTATTGGAAGCTAAGCTGGGCCATCCCAGTTTAATTTTGGATAGGAGACTGGCAATGAATTCCAGGTGTTGTGGATGATATTCCAGAGAAAGGAAACAGCATGATAATCTTTTAAGAGTTCCTTGCTTTATGAAATTCATGGGGTTACTATAAATCACTTGTTGACTTAAAGGTGCATACACAAAGGAGACGTAACACCTAAGATCCATTACAGAATGCCAACACTGGTCATTTTCCTTGTTCTTTTATTTATTTTACTCAATAAGTGATACCAAATGCTTTTGAAATTTATAAAAATGTCACGTTTCCTCATACAGCCCTCTTTTGGTTATGATATTACATCTCCAGAGAAGAGGCAGCCTGTACCTTTGTTGAATCAATCTATTATATCGAGCGTAAATATTGATGAACAGACTTTGCAGATATCGGATAGTCTTCAAGGTAATGTCTGTCAAAGTTAGTAGCACATATCCTAATCAAAAGTGGCTGTGTGTTTGTGTGTTGGGTCAAGTTTGATATCTGAAATGTCTTCAATGATCTGTGTGGAAATCTGCAGAACAGTATTTATTTTCATGGGAACGTCATTTATCCATGAAAACGTATAGATTGAGAGTCTTGTAAAGCTGGTGCAGATATAAAGTCCTGTCCTCCTCAGCTTTCCTCCCCATCTTCCCTTCTTTCCTTACTACAGGAATGATTGGAGAGGGGCCTCCATCCTAACTTGATTGATATGTATGTTCTTCAGTTACTGAGAAATTCTTACTTCTGAATTCTTGATAATCGGTTTTTGTAATTAATTGTTTCATCACTATTCCCCAGCTTTGTGCTTGGCAATGTCCTGTGGAATTGCACACTCACATGGAAAATATACATTCCTGATGATCCCTTTGAAATGTGAACTATTTCTCTAATCAGCCTGTTTTCTAAGACACAATTGATTGTAAGATGCACACTAATTTCAGAACCATTTATTATTTATTTATTTAGTATATTTATATACCGCCTTTCTCATCCTTGGGGGAACTCAAGGCAGTTTACATCATATTAATGGCATAAGTCCAATGTCAGCATACATATAATAAGATAAAATAACTAAACACAGACATATAACTATAAATTAAAATAATTTAAACCATTAAACATAGGCATATACAACATGTAAGCACTAAGACAAATAATTAAAAGCATCCTGATATAAATATTAAAATCATATGATCCAAAAATCGTCCACCATGAACAGAAAAAAGCTTTATTTGTATATAAGAAAACATCTATGATTCTAAGACTTGCCTCATTTTTAGAGATTGGGGAAATGCATCTTAGAATAGAAGAAATTGAGTATTTTTTCTTTCAATCTGAATAAATGTTTGAATAGTAAGTGTTTGTATGTATAGTAGTTACATTCAAAATTGCTACAATTAAATTTGATACCATTATATTGTAATATATGATTCTGTGTTATCTTAATTTGTTGACGGTGTTTAAGACAGAGTTATCTAGTTTGGGTTATGGAGAATTTGTGTTTAATAAAAGCCAGGCTCTCCTTGTTGAAGCTGGTGTATGACAGGAAAGGAAGGACATAGTGTATCATATTTCAAGTGACAGATCATGGCCACTATATTTGAATTTGAACTAAATATGCATAAAATAAAAAACTCTCTCTTTCTCTCTCCCTCCCTGATCTTTAGGGGATGTAGGAAATAATTTTAAAGAAGAATCGCATATAGCATCTGCTACATTCAATCTTGGTGAAGTGGGCTCACCAATGGAAGACAATATGAGTGTAAGTAAACAATAAGAAATAGACAGGGATTTGAAAAAAGGTATTGGTTAGGTTTATAAAAATACTAAGTATATGCCATTGGATAGTTGTTTTTAGAGAGTCAATTGTAAGTCACAGTGTTTCTCAAATTTTTGATGCTGAGAATGGAGCATTAAATAATGTGTAGTGTGTTAGTTAATTTTTTGCATTCTCAGTTCCACTTCCTCATTGATTTCTGCATCTCAACAGTCCAGAATGTAAATACCCAATGCGTCTTTTTCATAACAGTTGGACAGGTTTTTTTGTCAGCTAGTCTGAATATTTTTGCAATTAATCTTCATACAAGTTTTCACTGCAGGATGTTAACATGTCAGTATTTTATTTTGTCAATTTTAGGAGAAACTTGAAGCAAGTAAAATTCAGCATGGGCACCATAATGGAGAGGCCTCTATCCTAAGTATAAGTACAATTGCATCTGCCATTGCAGATGCTTCTGTTAGTACTGAACCTTCACAGCTAGCTGCTTTAATGATGAAACTCTCAAGTAAAAATCGGAAAGAAGCTAATATTCCAGAAGTTACCAAGCTCAAAGATTTTTCTGCCATTAGGAAACTATTATCCACCAGTGCAGCAAATAGCAAGCCTGAAAATATGATTGAACATGAAGAAATTTCCTCAGATGAGCATAAATCGGACAGACAAGAACGTGAAACTGCGAGTTCTGGAGAGCCGTCCAAAAATAATTTCTGTTTTCAGTCTGGAAAAGAGAGGCAGCATCTGGAGAAAATGAAGGAGGAAAGCTCTATCAAAGATTTACATTGTGATGCTAGTTCTTCTGAGTGGAAAGAAGAAATGAAAAATACAGAAAAAGCGTCTAATATTGGTGAATGTTTTCAGACTGAGAAAGTATCTTCTGTAACATTCTTGAAAGAAAGCTTATCTAAAAGTATTGAGACACCTTCGGAAGACTATGTAACAAAACTTCCCGGTGAGCTTTAATCTTAAATGTTTTCAATGTGTAGTAGTTCCCCAAATTATAAACACACTTTCTCCCAGAGCTTGGCTCTTAATTACAAAACAAGTACAGAAAAAGTTAAGCTTCTTGTCCTACTTCATTAGTAACATCTACATAGTGTGGTATTCACTGGCTGAAGGAATTTGAGCATAAATGTTAAATATTGTATCTCTGATGGATAACGTTAAAGTTCAAAGATTCTTTTTGATCAGAGAAAGGGTTTCTTTGTATGAAGGTTCTTTCTTTGGCCTATGCTTGCTGTTTTGTGGAAGGTTGGTGGTTGTAGCTGTAAAAATACATTATAGGGTAACTTTTTCCTATATATGAAAACTAACATCTGACATTTTAGGAATGTTTGCTTTAGTTTCTGTTGCTATTGTGAGCCCAGTATAAGCTTCAGTAATATTCCCTGGGCTGTTTTACTCCTGAGATGGATAGTCAGAGTCCTCAGAGTCTCATGTAACTGGAAAAAAGCTTCGTTTTTAAATCCAATATATTTGGTTTTCAAATTTTCAGGTGACACTGTTGTAGTTAAACAGAAGCTCGCAACTCCTGTCACCGATGCGGAGGCGTCAGAAAATGAACAGTACAGTTTCAGGCCTTCAACCTCTCCTCTTATTCATTCATCTCCAAGTGATACTTCTTCAACTGCTTCTTCAAGGTAGCAACATGTGAAATTGGGAAAATCACACATAGATGTGATTGGGAGACATTAATGCAGATAGCACTGGCCAATACACATTTTGGTGCCTCAATGTTAGCCCTGTTTTTGTGTATATTTGACTTGCTGATCCCAAAAATCACACAATTTTTCCCTGTCAGCTCTAGTTTTGGAACTACAGAACATGTGCCACCTACCAGTTGCCATCTGATCAGCCATAGAAAACCATGATAATATTTTAAGAGCTGATACAGTCTAAAAATCAAGACACCAAGAAAACATTTGTTGTTTTTGTTGTGCTGTGTAATGAGTGGGGAATGTGGCCTAAAGGCTCAACAACCTCCTGGAAAATAACTTGTTCTGACTCCAAAACTCTCACATCTCTCCCTCATTATTACAAAGCTGCCCCAGACTGGCTTGAAAAAAATTATCACTGCTGCTAGAGCTCTCCTAGAGCAGTATTTGCTTTCTGATCTCTACACCTCAAAAAAACTACACCAGAAGTTTCGTGGTACATCTTTGACTAATTTCCAGGGGCTAAAGCGCACTGTAAAGATGCAGGAGTAAAATTAATCCTATACCTACTATAGTTGCTCACCCAATTGTACATTATGCTGCCAGCTTATTGGACAGCATTGTCTGCTTGTATTGAAAACAACTGTCTGACAGCCAGTGAGAGGTATCTGTCATTCCCTTTTTCTTTTTTATATAACTGGAAATGCCAACAATTGAGCTTTGGATATCATATAGATATCCAAAGCTCAATTGTTGAGATACTGTCCTTCTATTGTATTTGCCCATTTGTGAATTTGACGTTTGCAAATGTTATTTTTGTCCTCTTAATTTTATCTGTGCACATATTTTAAAAAGTTAGGGAAGAAAGACGAAGTGGTCGAAGCCTTTGCATAATTTTGAGAGTTTAAATTACAAAATGAGATACTGCAGTTGTTTACAATTCTTGCACATGAACAGTACTGTAGTTTTCAGTTATGCAACATAGGGGGGAAGTATTGTGGGTTGCATAGTTGTGGTTAAAAATTCTAAGAATTTAAAAACTGCATTGAATCATAATAACTGTATCTAAGAAACTAGAGTTGATGTGATCTGTCCAATAGAACTTTCTGAATCAGCGCCCCAAATAACCCCAGAGACAGACCTAAAAAACAGCAAACCAAGAAAAAAAATGTGTTGTTGAATGCTTTCATGACCGGAATCACTGGGTTGCTGTGGGTTTTCTGGGCTGTATGGCCATGTTCCAGAAACATTCTCTCCTGGCTTTTCACCCACATCTATGGCAGGCATCCTCAGAGGTTGTGAGGTCTGTTGGAAACTAGGCAAGTGAAGTTTATATATCTGTGGTGAGTCCAGGATGGGAGAAAGAACTCTTGTCTGCTTGAGGCAGGTGTGAATGTTGCAATGGGCCACCTTGATTAGCATTTAATGTCCTTGCAACTTCAAAGCCAAGCTGGTTGCTGCCCGGGGGAATCCTTTGGTGGGAGGTATTAGCTGGCCCTGATTGATTCTTGACTGGAATTCCCATGTTTTGGAGTGTTGCTCTTTATTTACCCTCCTGATTTTAGAGATTTTTTTAAAAAAATGGGTAGGCAGATTTTGTTCATTTTCCTGGTGATGGATATCTTTTAACAAACATTTGTTCTGGTTCTTAGATCTGATTGTCCTCATGCAGCCCCTAATTTTAAGGAATCATCTTGTAATGATACTACCTTACCTCAGTTGGGGTACACTGATCCCAGCTTCCAACAATTGACTTTTATTTCTGCCACAGAGAATACTCTAAATAATGTAGCATTGTCTACTCCAGAGACAAGTCAAGTAAGTAGATGGTGAAATGTTTTGTCATTTTTATATGTTGTGCTTATATTTAATTCTTGTAGTTTAGCCTTTCTTTGAGGTAATAGTAAATGCTGTACAAAAACCACTGTAACATGCCTGATTCTATCCTGTGGAATCTGGATTAATTGTAACCCAATTACATTATTTCTGTTCCTTATAGGTATACTGGAATAGTATGGCTAATACTAATAATACTGGCACTGTTCAACATTTCCTGGAAAAACCGTTATCTAGTAGCATCATGAGAGTTCAGACTAAATAGTGAGAAAGTGAAATTAAATATTGTCAAAGGGATGTTTTTAAATGTAATTTTTAAAGAGTGAGTTTGAATCAAAATTATATTGAGTTGAATATATCCTATAGTTTTCTTTTGAGACTAAAGTTTTTAAACATTTATCTCAAAGTGTATGGCCATGACTCCTGATTTTAAGATTAAAATATATTATGAATGCAGCCTGCTGTCCACATTTGTGCTTTTGGTTTTTGTGGATTTCATTACTCCCAAATTACATGTCACCGCTTCTGGAGCTGGCTTACACTATCTTTCACATGGATTTATAAGTACTGATCGGGCTTCCTGGTCTCTCTGCAAGCCTTGTGAGACTGAGACACACTGCAAGAGTCTCGGAACAGGTCAATAAAGCCTCCTTGGTTGTGCAAGAAGACATGGTTGTGGGAGCAAGGAACATGTGCAATGACAATTCGGAATTGATATGGTATACAATTTCTGGATCAAAGGATTTTAATGTTTATACTAGGATGATTTTATGCTTTGTCTGAATGTTTAAATTTTATGTATGTTTTATGTTTAATGGTTTTAATGATTTTAAGTTCATAGCAATATGTGGTAATTAGTTGGTTTTTTTTTTTTGTGTACTGTATGTTGGCATTGATTTTTTGCTATTAGTATGTTGTAAACCACCTTGAGTTCGCCCCAAGGGTGAAAAAGTTGGTATATAAATACAGCAAATAAATAAATAATTTTGAAAATGAGATTGGGTAGCACCCCTGCATGCACCTGTTACAGTTATTGCTGTATTGCAGTTTGGCTATCCGTTTCCACACTCCCCACCCCCAGTAGCCCTTGTTCCCTGGAAAGTCGTTGAAAGCAATTGTATGAGTGGGAGTGGGGAGTGTTTTTCAACAATCTGATTCATCTGGGACATAACCCAGAAAAACCCCTCAAACATTCAGACACAAAGAGGCAGCTATATGCCCTTTTCAGCAGCTTAATCTTCTATCTCGACTCTTCCCTGAGCTGGGCAGCAGGCTAACATCTCTGGAAGAGATTGTTTTTTGAAGATCTAATCATTCAACAGACACAGATCCATGTTCACATGCACACACAGTCTGATCTGGGCTTCATAACTTTTAAAAGTTCAGCTCACTTTGCAAGGAGTACACATGTGCACGTATGGTGCAAAGCAAGTATCTGTAAGTAAGAACCGGCACAACCTGTTTAATGCTTTCAAGTTACAGTTCTGTACTTTTTGTGTGTGTTAAATATTGAGCTTTTACTAGGTGTAGGGTTAAGATACGCAGTTTTTCTAGTTTCTTGGGGGTCCTGCATTCCCAACACCTTAAAATTTGGAGGGCTGACTGTACCAATAACAATGTTGATGCCTTTTGTTTAGACTAATCGTCCCATTGAGTTGAGCACAACAATAGTTTGGACCAGCCCAACTTCATCATTGGAACTAGAAAGTGGGAAAAAACGTGATTTACAAAATAAGATCCATCAGCCAAGAAAGCATCCTAAGAAGCTAGAAGTAGATGAGTCTGTTGAACCAATCTGTCTACGTGAAAACCAGAAATCAACTGGAGAGCTTCCTCCTAAAAGTGAAGATGAGTCTACACAGAATCATCCAAATAACAATGAATTGACTTGTGTTGATGTACCTGCAACAGAGCATGACAGTAAAAACACGACTCAGAAACTAGGCCTATCATTGCTTAAAAATGTGCCTGCTTTTGATGCTTTAGATGGCTGTAGAACAAATTTCAAAAATAGTGGTGTTGCTTCAGACTATCCACCAACATATTCTGGAATTCCAACCTTGCTTACAGGCTGTTCCCTTACAAGAACTCCATTTGCCCAACACTATCTAGAAAGCTTGCAGTCTCAGACAAATGTTGCTTTGCCTCAGTATCATGTTGGTTGTCCTCCAGTTTTTGGTGTTCCAGCAGGACTTATTTATTCTGCCATTCCTTTGGATCATGTTCAGAACTCATTGACCGCTGGATTGGCATTACATACAGATATGACATCCAGAGTATTAGGTACAACTCCACATTATAACTTCCCATCAAACCAGAATAGACTCAGTCCATCTAAAACAGGGCAAATAGTGGAAAGGAAGGAATCCATGCCACTTGGCTTTGGTAAGTCCATTTTTTTTATATAGTACTGTTTTCTGATATGTAGTTTCGTCAAAATAGATTTCTTGATCCCAATTTTTAACCCCTTAGTTGAGCAGAATGTCTATTTTGTGAATGCCTCTTTGTCTGAAACAGGCTTTCTTAAACTTTTTGCTTTTAAAACTGTATGTACTCCAGTATAAGCCTAGCTTTTCAGCCCTTTTTTAGGCTGAAAATGTCCCCCTTGGGTTATACTCGAATCTAGGTTATTTATTATTTTACTCTGTTATTATTAGTGTTTTACATTTATTTATTTTACTCCATTATTATTATTATGTACATATTCAAAAACATTTAACCTGCTTATGTTTGAATTAATGTAATTGTATTGGTATCTATTTTTATTTTGAAATTTACCTCTAGCTGCTGTATTTCCCACCCTCGGCTTATACTCGAGTCAATCCATTTTGCCAGGTTTTTTTTTGGTAAAATTAGGTGCCTTGGTTTATATTTGAGTCGGCTTATACTCAAGTATATACGGGTACTTCTCTAAATCAGGGCTTCTTAAACTTTTTCCATTCATGATCCCTTTCTGCCTGAGAAGTTTCCCCTGAGAAGTTTTTCGTGATCCTAGGTATATAAAATAGATATTCAAATCAAGCATTTCCTGATGATAAATCAGCATTTGCAAGGCTTGCTAAACAAGCCTTTTTATGAAGTACGGCTGAAACAATTTCTGCAGAGTCCATTGTAAACACTGCACATTGTCAGTAACAGATTTGTGTAAATGGGTGATGTTCAGCAACCTGTTTGCTGTTTCAAGCTGTAAATGTAACAAAACAGGCAACTGAAATGACATTTATATTTGTTAGAATCTGATGTAGAATTAAACATTCTTTTCCTCAGTTTTGCTTCTAATTATTATAGGATAACAAAATAAATGCGAAATTAAACACATACCTTTTTAACAATTTTAAAAAATTCTTGCTGGATTTTCTTTTTCTTTCCTAGTACGTGTGAAAGTTCCTGCAGAAGTAAAGTTCCCTTATTCATGCTGTGTAGGACTGACTTCACACACAGTTCTTAGTATTCTTAACCCATCGGAACGGTGGCTACAAGTCAGCATCAACCTTCTTAGTATTATGTTTAATGGGGAAAAGGTATGTATCCAAGCTTGATGTATAGTAGTTTAAGTTATGTGTTTTATCGAGTATTACAAATTTTGGTCTCATGCCAACTGAAAAAGAAAAAAGAAAACCTGGATATTAATGGGGCTAACCAAAGTGAGTACTAGAGAGTTTTCCACTCACTGTGGTGAAGCTTTTATGTCCGCTCAAGTAGAGATTGGTATACACCAGGGCAACAGCTGGAAGATGACTTTATATTCATAAATGCCTTTCTACACTTTTGTATCTGTAATGACTCTAGAATACATATTTTGGCTCATTTATGTCCTTTTTGTCATTTTCTAGATGGACCCTCAGAATAACAGATGTCTGCTGTTTAAGAACAAAACTGTCATAGGACCCTGTACTTCAGAAGACCTAAAAATGCTATTTTTACCTTGTAAGGCAGGAGTCTTCCAATGTGTACTTAGTGTTGCCTCTTGGCCATTTTCTGCAGATGCAGATATAGTTGTACAGGCAGAGGTCCTATCTAGCAGGGTAACCGTGAATGCAGTTGCTGAAAATCCTGACATAGAGGTAAAAATTGTTGTTGTTGTCGTTCTTATAAAAATTGTGAGAAATAGGTAGTTTGTACTTATTTAAATCCGTTGTAAACCACCTCTCATAAGATAAAAATATAAATGCAGAGCATATAGAGAGCAAGAATAAGAAACACACTTTAGTCAACTTCAAATATTTACATTGTTTTAAATGTGGAAATAGTTCCCTATTTGTGTAAAGCTGCAAATAATTTGTACCAACTGCTTCACTTTAAGAAAAGTTTTCTACAAGTGAAGTGGCACTGGGGAAGAAAAATATTTTGTTTGCATGAAAAGCTCACTTCAGAGGTAGTGCATGAAGATGGACATTGTGTTGTTGAAGGCTTTCATGGCCGGAATCACTGGGTTGTTGTGAGTTTTCCGGGCTGTATGGCCAAGCATTATCTTCTGCCGCTTTGCCTACATCTATGGCAGACATCCTCAGAGGTTGTGAGGTCCTAGAAAACTGTCCTGATTTTAGAGTTTTAAAAAACTGGTAGCCAGATTTTGTTCATTTGCACAGTTTCTTCCTTTCTGTTAAAATTGTCCACATGCTTGTGGATTTCAATGGCTTCTCTGTGTAGTCTGACTTGGTAGCTGTTAGAGTGGTTCAGCATTTCTGTGTTCTCAAATAATATGCTGTGTCCAGGTTGGTTCATCAGGTGCTCTGCCATGGCTGACTTCTCAGGTTGAAATAGTTCAGTGCATTAGTCTAAAATCAGGACAGCAAATAAAGAGCAACACTCAAAAAGCAGGGGAATTCCATACAAGAATCAACCAGGGCTAGCTAACACCTTGAAACAAAAAATTCCCCCAGGAAGCAACCAGCCAGGCTTTGAAGCTGCAAGTCCATTAAATGCTAAACAAGGTGGCCAATTACAACCCTCAGACCTGCCTCAAGCAGAGAGGAGTTATTTCTCCCACTCTGGACATTCCACAGATCTATAACCTTGCCTTCTTTCCAACAGATCCCTTAACCCAGGGGTCCTCAAACTAAGGCCTGGGGGCCGGATGCCGCCCTCCATGATAATTTTCCCGGCCCTCGCTCAGGGTCAACCTAAGTCTGAAACAACTTGAAAGCATACAACAACAACAATCTTATCTCATCAGCCAAAAGGAGGCCCACACTTCCCAATGAAATACTGATAAGTTTATATTTGGTAAAATTGTTCCTCATTTTAATTATTGTATTGTTTTTAAGTGATGTTTGCAGTACAAATAAAATATGTGCAGTGTGCATAGGAATTCATTTATTTTTTTCAAATTATAATCCGGCCCTCCAACAGTTTGAGGGACTGTGACCTGGCCCTCTGTTTAAAAAGTTTGTGGACCCCTGCCTTAACCTCTGAGGATGCCTGCCATAGATGTGGGCAAAACGTTAGGACAGAATGCTTCTGGTACATGGCCATACAACCCAGAAAACTCACAGTAACCCAAGATGGACATTGATTCATGAATATAACATGTGTATCAGTTGGTATCAGAGAAAGTGCTACAAGTACTTGGGTTTCATGTAGGTTGTGTGCTTATCAAAATTTCTTGTATCAGCATATAGTACTAGAGAAGACTGTGGCAACTGCATTATGCAATACATAAAACTGCTAGTGATTTCAAAAACTATGATTGGAGTAATGCAGTTGCCACAGTCTTCTCTGGCACTGTATTCTGCACTAGCTGATGTTTTTACTGATAACTCTACATATCACTCATTGCAGTTATCCAACCCGATGTTATGGGAGTATAGGTGATTGGCTTTCTGTTTAAAAGAGAAACACACCCAGAATCTCTACTCTGGTGATCTGTCAGCTATAACTTTGTCTCTGTACAAAATGTTGTTTTGTATACCTCGTTTGCTAAAAGTATCATCCTTTCTGTTTTTTTCTTTGTTTGTTTGTTTTGGTATTAGGTGGAAGCAGGAAAGACAAATCATCTTGACTTTGGTGATTTGCCATCAGGCAGCTGGAAAGCTCTTCCGCTGAAACTGACTAACAAGACTTGTGCTAGAGTGCCAGTCAGACTTGTTATTCATGCTGTAAGTACCTAAGCTAGTATTATACACCCTTAAGTGAGCAATATATTGTGTTGTGACTGATTTTTTTAAAAGTGTAAAGGTAAAGGTTTCCGCTTGACATTAAATCTGTTCGTGCCCACTGGGGGCGTGTCATCTCCAGTTTTAAGCCAAAGAGCTGGCGTTTTCCGTAGACACTTCCAAGGTCATGTGGCCAGCATGACTGCATGGAGCACTGTTACTTTCCCGTTGAAGCGGTACCTGTTGATCTACTTTCAGTCAGCAAGTTCAGCAGTTCAGCAGTTTAACCCACTACACCACTGGGGGCTCCTTTTAAAGTATAGTGATGCTGTATTGATTGGTATGGGAAATAATATGGCATCTGGAGAATTTGCGCTATAATATAACAGTGCAAAAAGTTTCTGTATTACCTGAACAGGAGTCAATAACATAACATGTTGCAAACACCAATGGTACTCTAATTCTTAAAGAGTAAAATCATTTTTTTACAGAATGCTATAGCATGGCGCTGTTTCACATTCTCCAAGGAACCAGTTAACTCTACTCTTAGAAGTGCAGATCATACTTACAACATTTCCCAGTTAGCAGCACCTTCAGTGATATCTCATATAATGAATGCAAGCTGTGATCAGCACGTAAGTACTGTAGGCTAGACTGATTTACTTGAATTAATTAAAATAATATATTATTTGTATTCTCAGCTTCTAGCCTGCTATTAGTTTAGAGGTATTTGGGAACTATTTTATACTTAGTAGCCCATTGACTATTCTAAAGTAGTGACTGTGTGGATCATAATACATTGTGGCAAGTTCTTGGTGGTATGGGGATACCAAGTCACCTTGTCTCTCTCCTGAGGAATCTGTATAACGGCCAAGTAGCAACAATAAGAACAGACTACAGAACAACTGACTGGTTCAAGATTGGGAAAGGAGTACGTCAGGGCTTTATACTCTCACCCTACCTATGCTGCTTGTATGCCGAACACATCATGCGATGTGCGGGGGTTGACGAATCCAAGGCTGGAGTTAAAATTGCTGGAGGAAACATTAACAACCTCAGATATGCAGACGATACCACTTCGATGGCTGAAAGCGAGGAGGAGCCGAAGAGCCTTCTAACCAAGGTGAAAGAAGAAAGTGAAAAGGCTGGGTTGCAGTTAAACATTAAAAAAAACCAAGATGTTGGCAACCAGACTGATTGATAACTGGCAAATAGAGGGAGAAAACATGGACACAATGACAGACTGTATTTCCAGGCACAAAGATTGCTGCAGATGCAGACTGCGGCCATGAAATCAGAAGATGTTTACTTCTTGAGAGGAGAGCAATGACCCATCTCAATAAAATAGTGAAGAGTACAGACATCACACTGGCAGTGAAGGTGTGCACGGTTAAAGTAATAGTATTCCTTGTAGTAACCTATGGATGCGAGAGCTGGACCATAAGGAAGGCTGAGTGAAGGAAGATAGATGCTTTTGAACTGTGTTGGAGGAAAATTCTGAGCCTTGGACCACAAGAAGATCAAACCAGTCTTTACCAAAGAAACTGAGCATCCCAGACTCTTCTCTCCTTCCTCAATAGATCGTTTAAGATAATAGCGACTTATGCATCTTGGTCTTTCACACTGCGGATATACAGTCAGTCAGTGTTTCATTTCAATCTTGTGTTCATATAATTCTTTAAAATGTATTTTGTGCTATTGATGCTTCTTTTCAGGATCCTGAAGTTCTAGTGGTTTGGGTCCAGTTCCAAGCACCATGCAAATCCGTGTCTTCAGGTATAAATTTGTTACCTTGTTTAATTAATGTAAACATAATTAAGAAATTAAGTGACATTGTTAATCCAAAAGAACAAAAACCTGTCCAGAATTAATGCTTGGTTATTCTTTCCATTAAATTTTAGTTTCACAGCTTGCATGCACTTCTTGGATATAGCCCTGAGCTCGACTGTTTTTAGTGGTGGCCAGGAGTTTGCACAGTTAAAACACGTGTGCCTGCTCTACCCATTGCTGAAGTTGTCTGATATGCCCTTATCATAAGGTGCCTTGATGACATTCCATTTAGATTAGTGTAAAACATTCTGTGTGGTGCTTTCTTTATAAAATATTTGAAAAATTCAAAAGTCACGAGGAAAGTTTGCTAATCAGTTATAGGAAGAAGAGAGATCCCTTGCTGTGACAACTTAAGTGTCTGCCAATTGTTTTTTTAATTTTATGACTGTTTTTAACTGAACCTTTTCTTATAAGCCACTTTAAGTCTCCCTTTAATGAGAAGATAGTGAGGTATAAGCTGAAAATCCTTTCTCCCCAGATTGTTTAGGTCCAGCAGATGAGTACTTTGCAAGAATTGATGTGGAGCTGGATTGTCCAGAGCCTGCTAATGTCCTAAGAAGTGTTCCTCTAAGTGCAAGATGTGGAACCCCTCGGATATTTGCTCCAAGGGGTCTGCAGGTATATTCTTTAGAACCATGCCCTTGGTATAACTTACTTAGGTAGTTCCTTCTCCTGTTTCTTCTTTTCCTCACTTGGGAAAATACTCTTTTCAGCTCTGTAATGCCTTATCTTGATTTTTGTTGGAACTTTGTTAAGTGTTATCTTTTTCTTCTTCTAGACTTTATACATGTCTACAGAGATTGGATTGTCAACAAGACGGCAATTGCCATTAAGGAATGTGGGGAATATTAAAGTTGACTTGAAGATCAAAGTAAGCATCTTAATCAATAGTTCTGTTTTCCCCCCTCATCAGTAATAGGCGAGATCTACCATCCAAAAGTGGTTCTTTCAATGATCAGAGATTCCATTCATTTTCAGCTCATCTTGATTTTTATATGTATTTCATATTTTTTCATATTCTTTGCTTTCAAAATATGCACTACTTGCATTTGAGATTTAATTTATTAAAGCTTTTCTCACAACTGTTTCATGGTATAATAAGTTGTGTGATCAAATGTAATCAGTAGAATCAAGTTAAAACTGCCATTATATATTACTTGTAGACGCTGAAGCAGAGCTTTTAAAACCAGGGGTGTCAAACTCAATTTCATTGAGGTCCATATCAGTCTTATAGTTATCTTCCAATGGCCACTGAATCCACGGATGCACAATCCGTGGATATAGAGGGCTAACTAACGTTTTTGCATAGTGGCCAGTGCTCTTTAGTTTGTATGAATTTGGATCCCAAAATGTTATAGAACAACAACTCCCATCACTTCTGATTATCCAGATTGGGGATGATGGGAATGGCAATCCAACAGCACGTGGCTCTGAGGTTGGGGAAAGGTTAAAGGACATTTTAACATCAGACACCATATCCACAAGCTTTGCATCTAAATTTAGACTCCACAATCCTGACAAACAACCTGCTGCCTTCCAGATGTCACTGTATCCCAACTCCAATCCACTCTAGTAATGTCTAATGATGATGTCTAATGATGAACACAAGAGTTGTAGTACAGCATCTGAAGAGCCACATAAAATGACCTTGAGGGCTTTGAGTATAATACATATGCTCTAGACCAGGCATGGGCAAACTTTTAACTTGGGGCCCGCATGGTGGGCCGGAGTGGGATGGGCAGGCCGGGAGGGAGGGGTTCTCCCCGAGTCCGTTCCCTGCCCTTTCCTCACTTTCCTCTTCTCTTTTGGAGGCAGAAAGTGGAAGAAAAACTGGAAACATTTGGATCCCAGTAGGGTAGGCCATGGTCAGGATGAGAAAAAGTGTATCTATTAGATCCTGTATTGTCTACTCCTGATATAGAATCCTAGAGTAGAAAGAGATCTCCAAGGACCATCCAGTCTAACCCCCTGCCGTGCAGGGAGGCACAATCAAAGTACTCCCAATAGACAGTCTCTGCAGAAAAGCTTCCAGAGAAGGAGACTCCACGCACTCTGAGGCAGACTGTGCTACTCTTTAGGAAGCTCTTCCTAATCTTTTCAGTTGAATCCTTTCCCCTGCCATTTGAAACCATTGCTCCCTTGTGCCCTGGTCTCTAGAGCAGCAGAAAATCAGTTTCCCCCTCTCTCCTCCTCAATGGGACACTCTTTTAAATGTTGAAAATGGTTCTCATGTTCCCTCTCTGCCTTCTCTTCTGCTAGTTAAATATCCCCCAGGAGGAAGGAAAAAGAGAAGGAAGAAAGGGAGGAAGAGAAGGGTGGAGGGGAATGGAGGGAGGGAGGGAGGAAAGAGAGAAGGAAGGAAAGACTAAAGGGAAGGAAAGAAGGGGGGGAAGGAGAGAGGGAAGGAGAGAGGAAAGAGAGAAGGAAGTAAGTACGAAAGGGTGAAAGGGAAGGATGGAAGGATTGAAAGAGGAAGGAAAGAGAAAAGGAAGGAAGAGTAGGATGGTGTGAGAGAGAAAAGCCTGAGAAAAAAGTCCGCGGGACTGCATCCAGCCCCCAGGCCTGCGTATGCCCATACCTATTCTAGACTGTCTGCAAAGGTAGCTGTATTAAAGGAAAATTAGAATAATCTAATTTGATTGAAACCAGAACATCAAGTCTAAGACCAAATGCAGTTTCTTTATGAAATGCTGCGACTTATGCAGAAGTCAAATCAGCTAGTGAAAGCTTTTGCATGTCTCAGCTGTCACTAGAGCAGCTGATAACACATTTCAATTATTCTCTTTTTTTCCAGACTGTACGACCAGATAGCTACATTTCTGTTAAACCAGAGAATCTGGTCCTTATACCTAGGGAAGAAAAAGAATTGACAGTTGAGTTTTCTCCAAAGGACTACAAAGATGCAGAAAGGTAATATCACCCGATTCCCAATAATCCAGCAGTGATCATCTTTATGAGAATATCTAACTTTAAACTCTTGTTTCTGTAGTGTTGTGGAAATATTGGTGTTGCCATCTGGGCCAGAGTATAAAGTGACAGTAAAAGGTGAAGTGACCATGCCAGAGAGAAAGGCTTTGGTGCAGAAATGCCCCACTACAGAAGTGCCCCCCATTCTCGCCAACAAACAGCTTCTCGCGTGGGGAGGTGTCCATCTTGGAAGAACAGTGTAAGTAACAGTTTGAGCAACATGATTGTTATTGCAGTTCGAAAACATGCAAATGTGAGTAGATCAACACGTAGTGCTTCTGTGAGAAGGTAACAACACTCCATGCAGCCATGCCAGCTACATGACCTTGGAGGTGTCTACGGACAATGCCAGCTCTTCGGCTTAGAAATGGAGATGAGCACCACCCCCCAGAGTCAGACAGACTAGATTTAATGTCAAGGGAAACCTTTACCTTAGTATAGTTGCAGTAAGCTTGGTCTTGAAGCTGGCAAAGTTGTGGATAAATGGTTGAAATATTAAATCCTATGAATTAAACAAATGTTGCTGTTGAAAATGTGTTCAATTATAACTGGAATTTTAAAAGCCAGTGATGATTCAAAATGAAATACTCATGCTGTAGTTCTTCTTTAGTACTTTTAGACGTATTCCTGAAAAATATGCACCTGTCTTATTCCTGTTTCCTAAACGGAAGGAAATTACTACATCATGTTAAACACTTGCAATTTTCAGTCAACAGAAATTGATTCTAAGAAATGACTCTTCATCTACTACTCAGCAGTTACAGTTGCTGATAAGGGGTCAAGATCAAGACTGTTTTCATGTGAGTAATGCAGTGCGTTTTAAGAAATTGTTACGTAGTTGGATATGGACTACTGGTATGTTCGAGAATCTGGCTATTTTTATGTGAAACTTCAAATGTAGCTTGAGTCTTCTGAGGCTTCAATCCCATACACATGGAAGTGGTGATTGTGTGGTGGACTCACATTCTGATTTATGACCGGCACTAAAGCACAGGTTAGTTCAGCAAGGATTTGCCATTGCCTTCTTCTGAGGTTAAGAGACTATAATGTGCCCAGTGTCACCCTGTGGATTTGCATGACTAAGCAAGGATTTAAACCCTACCCCTCAGTTATAGTCCAGTGCTCAAGACACAACTCAACACTGGCTCATATACACATGTTCCTAGAAATCAGTATTTTTGAACACGAACAATAACACAAACAAAGTTCTTTATACTTCCTTCTTTGCTTCCATGCTGGGCTTCTTTCTCATGCAGATAAACAGCTTCACTCTTACAGAGCCTCTTCTCATGACAAACTTACACAGGAGCATCATACAGTAGCTTTTTATGTACAGCAGCCTACACACATTATAGCCTTCAACCTGAGGCTTCTCTCACTGAAGCTTCTCACACCAGGCTTTCTCATACTGAGGCGTTTTTCACACTGAGGCCTTGTCACACTGAGGGCTCTCTCAGGCTATTAAGCTACAGGCACACCTGCTCATATTGAACTGCAGCTTTTGTTGAGTCATTGTATCCATTTAACCCTTTCAGTGCTTGACTCACATTTTTGTAATTTAAAATACCTAGTTAATTTTTAATATTTCTGACAAAAATTATGATAGTCTAGGAATTAACAGATTAGCTCCCTAAATTTTACTCTGCTTTTTTCCCTTATATACTCATAGTTGAAACTTGAAGAACGTGCGTATAATAATTGCGAAATCAAGATACGCCCAAAACATGATTATACTGTCTGTCTAATGTTTACACCATCTCGATTAGCGTGCATGTGTGCAAAGCTTGAAATGAAACAACCTGGCCTTCCATTTCATCCAGGAATCAAATTTACTGTAAGTTGTCTCAAATGTGCAGTTTACAGAATATTTTGTGAAATGTATTTGGTGGGACACTTATTTCAGATTGAGGGATGGATTCAGTTTTAAAGTAGTTTTTGATATCTCAATTCTATTGGTGTACAGGTTAAAAATAGCACTTCAAATACTTATATATTTTAACTTAAAGATCTTACCTAACTGGGCCTTGGGAAGGGTATCTCAACCTTTCAAAATGAAAAGAAAAAAAATCTATTGAATTTTCAAGTATGGTATATAAAACTAGTGTTCATGTGTGAAAGTGTAGAATTAATGTTCCTAAGTTTATGTGTCCAGTGGCTTTGGGATTGAAATGATAGTGAAAGTTAATCATGCTGGCCTACTCTCTGCTGTGTTTGTTTTCTATTTGCTACTTAAGTCATGGGGCGGGGTTGGGTCGTAAGCATAATAAAGCTATAACCATCAATTTCTGAACTATATACTATTTCAGAACACAAGAGCTTAAGACATTTTTAAGTAATTCCTCACATCCTGGTCTTAAGTGCTGAGTCAGCTAATTTTGACTGCTGCTGTCAGCAAACAGATTTATATTGTAATTTAGATAAACTGGTCCCAGGTAATGTAGTTATGTGGATTTACCTTTTCTGAAACAAAGTTGAGGTACATCCTTAAAGGTGACCTAACAAATTAATTTAAATTAAAGTTGAGGGGAGAACTGGATGTTTGTGATGTCCTTTGGAAGACAATTTTAATATATTGTCAAAGGCTTTCATAGCCGGAATCATTGGGTTGTTGTGTATTTTCTGGGCTGTATGGCCATGTCCCAGAAGCATTTAATGGCTGACATTTCATCTGCATCTATGGCAGGCATTCCACAGATATATAAACCCCATTTTCCTAGTTTCCAACAGACCTCTCAACCTCTGAGGATGCCTGCCATAAATGCAGGCCAAACGTCAGGAGAGAATGCTTTTGGAACATGGCCATACAGCCCTGAAAACACACAACAACCCAGTTTTAATATAGGTTCCTCTGCTTTTATTCTACATTGTTCTTGTGAATGGGAAATCAGTGAACCAGGGTCTGTAATTCCTGTGATTCTAAATATGAGGGTTTCTTTCCCCCTTTTAGATACCACTGTATGGATATGGAGGAAAAAGCAATGTGAGGTTCGAAGATGTTAAAAAATACGGTAACAGATACATAGTGGAGCTACATGAACTGTCACCTGGTAAACCATGCCAAACTTCTTTCACTATACAAAACACAGGGCATCGTTCTGCCTATGTGAAAGGAGTGTGTTTTAAGAACTTCTGTGAGAGAAATGCTATGGATCCAAAAGTCATGAACATTTTTCCAGACAAGTTTATCCTGAAGGAAGGATTGCAACAGGTAGGTGTGAAAAAAATTGACACACTCTTGCCTCAAAACTGGTGTGAAACAAGAGATATGCATGATCTGTAAAATATGTAAGCTATTACCTTTTTCAAAATCTGTTGTATAGCTTTGTTCTGCATCTAACATTTTGACTGTATTTCTTCAATTTTAAGACACACTTTTTCCTATATAAACATCTCTGAAATGAGATGTGTCTTAGAATTGCATATTATGGGTTTTCGTTGTTGGTGCTGAAATTATTGTGCGACTTACAATCGGCCTCTTACAATTGAAAAAATACAGTATAATTCAAAGATAGTGGCACTTACTGGAGAACAAACTTAACACAAACATCTGTTTCCCCTAGAAAGTTACAGTAACCTACACTTCTCCCGAAGAACACAATGTATCATCTGTATTGGCTAAAATTTGTGTTTTCTATGGGGATGAAATTGCAAGACAGCAGTACTTCAGGTAATGGTAAATTGTATCAGTCATGTTCATTTTTGACCTTTCAGTTTAATTATAAGAACCAGAATATGCATAATGCTGAGAAAACTGATTGGGAGAAACCAGAACATTTATTAAGCTTTTGTATAGAGTTAAATAATGAGGTTTGCTCTACGGTGGTTTTTTTTTTTTTGGTTTTTTTTACCAATTGACACTTTTATAAGGAAGTTACACCAGGGGAGGAGAAGGTCATCACTGGCTATTTGGTTGTTAGGGAACTGTTGCATGGCAAAGAAGGGGGAGGAAGCTCTTGTAACTATGGATTTTCCATAGACTGTTAGGACTGTGAGTTGCCCCTTGTAGGAACAGAATGTTGAACTGTATAGACCATTGATGAGATAATGTACAGTTTTTAAATACTAATAGAAAACTAAAATTTGCATACATAGTTGATTTGTCTAGTGTTGGGAGAAAGATCCCCAAATTCAAAGGGGTATAATTTTAAAAGTGCAACATTATTTGTTGTGATTCTTCTAGCACAGTGATTCTCAATCTGTGGGTCCCCACGTGTTTTGGCCTACAACTCCCAGAAATCCCAGTTAGTTTACCAGCTGTTAGGATTTCTGGGAGCTGAAGGCCAAAACATCTGGGGCCCCACAGGTTGAGAACCACTGTTCTAGTATGTTGGTGAAGTAGTATATTAAGATCATTGACATGTTGTTTACACTGATATGAACAGTTTATTTATTTAGTGTCAAAAGCATTGCATAAATAAGTTTAAAACTGTTCAAATAGAGGGAGCACAAACAACTAAATAATTTTAGACCAAAAACAGGCAACAGCAACTGCATTTTCTGTAACTTTAAGCAATTCTTCCTCTGTGCATGAGGCAGGTCATTGTGGACAAGCATACATATGCAGAGTTTTTTGTTCTCCATCACAGTCACATAAGGTGGAGGACTCTTCTAGGTAGTGCCGTTTTGCCAGGTTGCCTTTTGAGCTGCCCACTTCTCAGTCTGTTCATATATGAACAGTTATTTTGTATGGGTAAATTTTTCTAATGCATGATCTATAACAGGGTTTCTCACCAGGGTTTCCTGGAGCCCTAAAGTTCTGCAAGAGTTCATTAACGATTCCATGTGAAAGAATGATTGGAGAAACCCCACAATATTTGACTTGGAAATCTAATAATTCTTGTGCAGGAATTCCCAGAAACTATGAAAAAAGTTATGTTCTTAGTAGGTCTGAAGTCATGTAGTGGCCATATGCTCCTTCACCCTTCCTGAACTTTCCTGCATATTCAGGTGATTCAGAAGCAGTTGGGTGTTTACAAGGAGGCCATTAAAGTTACATTCTTTCCACTGAGAAATCTTTTGTAGATCCGCAGAGCAAGAAACACACAGATATTTCACCTGCATGCTGGACATCTGAGTTAAACAGGTATTGGTAGGAATCTGTGCAGATGACATTTCTGAAGGGAAGAATATGAAAATGACTTTCTCCCTTGTTACATCAAGTAATGTTAGATGGAAGTTTAATAAGTAGGTAGCATTACACTTTGACAATAGGGGGTAGGCTCAATTTGCTGTAGCTTTTAAGCATACTGCAGTGGAGTTCAAAAATACTCCTAAGTTAACTGGATTCATTAAAACACATGTTTACTGAAAATTCAAGCATCTTTTTGGAATTTTTCATAAGATTAATGGAAAAGAGAAGATTAAAATCTACTTCTTAAAATTGTCTGCACAGTTCTATGCAGCGTGGTGTAGCAGACGTGCAAAAAATACTTCCTGCTAATAATCCAGTCATAAATGTGAAGTTTGATGAGGAATTCCCTGGGCAAGAGCTGGTGACAGAAGGTACATTTACTTACTTGAATGAAGGTTTTTATATAGTTTATACATCTGATTTGTGCAAGTTTGAGATAGTAAAGGTAAAGGTTTCCCCTTGACATTAAGTCTAGTCCTGTCTGACTCTGGGGGGAGGGGGTGTCATCTCCATTTCTAAGCTGACGAGCCGGCATTGTCAATAGACACCTCCAAGATCATGTGGCCAGCATGGCTGCATGGAGTGCTGTTACCTTCCCGCAGAAGTGGTACCTATTGATCTACTCATACTTGCATGTTTTCAAACTGCTAGGTTGTCAGAAGCTGGGCCTAACAGCGGGAACTCACCCTGCTTCCCAGATTCGGAACACCAACCTTTTGGTCAACAAGTTCAACAGCTCAGCGGTTTAACCTGCAGCGCCACCCATGTTTGAGATACGCCACTTCAAATTTCTATATTTATTCTAAGCAATATATTTACCATTCATAAGTACTATAAAGTTCTGTTTGTAATCTAATTATAGATACTGTTGCTACTGCAGTATCTGCCCTTTCCAGAGCTATTCTCTTTTCCTCCTCTGCATACCATGATTCTGCACATGATAACAAGAATTTTCATTCATTTGGATATGAACTGAGGTTAATGCCATCAAACAGTTGAATTTGATCCAATTTGATCTAATATCCAATTGTATGTTTTGACATTTCTTTTCTGTAGAATTCAACATTTATATAAATTCAACTGAAGTTAATAATAGATAGGCTTGTGTGTAAACTGCTCCATAGATTAAATTTGGTAAGGCCACCAGTGAGCTTTTTAAAAAAATGCCATTATGTCTACTTGACTCATTTTTATGTACCTAGTTTTGATCCTAAATACCCATATTGGAAGTCAGTTATATTTAAAACTACCGAGCAGTTAGTGAGCAGCTATTCCCTTAGCCTATGGAGAATTTTAAAAGAATTGTAATTGCTGTGACAGATGTTAATGGTAGTATTTCTTTGCATCATAAATTCAAATAGTTGTTCAGAGTACTGTCAAGACAGGATGATAGCTGATTTTAAATTGCATAAAAGTAATTCTATACACGTGTGTGGTGCATTAAGATAATAAGTTTGAACATTACTGTCAAAGCCTTCGACAATATATTACTGTCAAACTTTGGATGAAACAATGAATATTAAGTCTTCAAATCAAACCTGAATGTATATATGGATGTCAAATGTTTGTGAAGCAGTGATAAGATCATTGGTACACACTTTTGCAAATACTGAGTTCCACTCCTAGAAATGTGTGTGTGTCTGCCGTAATCATACTTGTTCAGGTTTTGGTAGAACAATTATAGAGCATCCACGTCCTTTGTATTTCCAGTGCCTGAGTCAGGTTCAGTGAGATATATATAGAAGAAAAGCACATTTTGAATATATCTGTATTAAGTACTTTAATGCTCTTTCTTGCAACCTTTTCCATGGCCATCTTATTGTTGCAAGTCTTAACATAAGGTTGTTCTGAAGCAGGCTATAGCCGTGTCTCTTTACTTGTTGTACTTCCAACCTTCTCCCTATATCTGGCCCAAAAATAGCCAGTTGTGCCTCCAGAAGCCTCCAGGGAATGTGATTCAACATTTGGATGGATCCTAAGTCTGTTGATACCTGGAAGAACCTGAGAATACATTTCAGATTGGGGCAACAAAAACTTGCAAAATGTGAAGTAATAATTTTTTGGGTTGCTGTGAGTTTTCTGGGCTGTATGGCCATGTTGCAGAAACATTCTCTCCTGATGTTTCACTCACATCTATGGCAGGTATCCTCAGAGGTTGTGAGGTATATTGGAAACTAGGCAAAGAAGGTTTTTATATATGTGGAAGGTCCAGGATGGGAGAAAGAACTCTTGTCTGTTGGTGGTAAGTGTGAATGTTAATCACTACAACATTCACACTTAACACCAACAGACAAGAGTTCTTTCTCCCACCCTAGACCTTCCACATATATATAAACCTCCCTTGCCTAGTTTCCAACAGACCTCATAACCTCTGAGGATGCCTGCCATAGATGTGGGTGAAACATCAGGAGATAATGCTTCTGGAACATGGCCATATAGCCCGGAAAACTCACAGCAACCCAGTGATTCCGGTCATGAAAGCCTTCAACAACACAATTTTTTTTCTTGGTGTGCTGTTTTCTAGGTCTGTCTCTGGGGTTATTTGGGGCACTGATTCAGAAAGTTATATTGGACAGATCACATCAACTCTAGTTTCTTAGATACAGTTGTTATGATTCTCTAAGGGTGAGCAGGTGGACTGGTATATGGCGTATGTTCTGTGTCTCAAAAAACTAGAGCAGATAGAGGAAAACTGTTGCCATTTTTGGAATCACCAGGTCAAATATATCCAGAAACAGGTCTAACATTTGAGGCACCAAAATATGTGTTTGTCAGTGTAAACGATGTGATTGTTCATCAATTGCAGGCCAATGCACAATGAATATTTCAGTTTGAAATAGCCTTATCTGGCTTGATTAATCTAGCTTTAATTTAAATGTCTTCTCCTAGTGTATGATCTTCCACAACATTCAAATGACCTTCAGAATTTTTTCACAAATATGCGACGGCTTACTCTTTTTGTTGTTAATTCCTCTAAGAGTAAAGCTTGTGATGTCAACCCATCTTCAGCACATCCTGCAACACTGGAAAGGTAATGTCTCATTTGATCTTCATATTTATTTATTTATTTACGACATTTATATGCTGCCCTTCTCACCACGAAGGGGACTAAGAGCAGCTTACAAGTAAAAAGTAAATACAATATATTATATTATTATCATAGCACAATATTAATATTATATATTACACTGTACTATAACATTATACTGTAATATTGTTAGTAATATTACATTTAATATAAAATATATAATTATAATATCATTTTATTAGTAGTAGTAGTATATTGTATTACATTATAATATTATCCCCTGGTGGCCCAGTGGGTTAAACCCTTGTGCCTGCAGGACTGAAGACCGACAGGTCGCAGGTTCGAATCCGGGGAGAGGCGGATGAGCTCCCTCTATCAGCTCCAGCTCCTCATGCGGGGACATGAGAGAAGCCTCCCACAAGGATGATAAAAACATCAAATCATCCAGGCGTCCCCTGGACAACATCCTTGCAGACGGCCAATTCTCTCACACCAGAAGCGACTTGCAGTTTCTCAAGTCGCTCCTGACATGACAAATAATATTATCAATATTATATGTATATGCAATATATTATATTATATTACATTACATTATATTATATTACATTATATTATAAGCATAGTGCAGGAGATAAGAAGGAATTGCCTTCCTGGCCCCTCTCTTCACTCTGACCTCAGAGGCAGGGGGGGGGGGGCGCTCCCAACTGATGACACTGGAGGCAAGATGGAACTGCCTTCATGGCCCCTCTCTTCATATGAGTGGATGGTATCCTTGAAGTGACTGGCTTGGCTCTGAAGGAGTTGGAGGTGGTGGCTGACAGAGAGCTCTGGCGTAGGCTGGTCCATGAGGTCACGAAGAGTCGGATGCGACTGAATGAACAAACAACACAACAATTGCTGTTATACTGGCAAAAAATTCCTTTGTTCTGGTGAAGTATTCAGGCAGCGAGGAAGAGGCCAACCAAGAAAGGGTTCATTCCAGTCACTGGCAAGGCATTCCATATTCATTTAGAAAGTTGTTCCTTTTGGATTCCTACTCACGGCTTTCCCCTTGTTGTGCCCAGGAAAGTTTGAATAGTAGTTTTTTTTGCTTTCCCTTGATCTGTCTCCTTAATTTCTGGTTGCTTCTCCCCTCCCCCATCTTTTGCTCCTTTCCTCTGCCTCTTCCAATGCATTTCTGACATTTTCCTTTTCAGTGATTTTTTTTGGTCTCCCCCGTTTTGGGAATGAATTGAGAAAGGGCTAGGGATTCAATAGGAGATACTCTCCAAAATATCGAGTGATCTCTTGGGGTGCCTGGGTAGCAATTGGGATTGAAATTTTCTTGGATGATTCCTTTTCCTTGGCTAGAATACATCGTCGGTTCCCAATGTATCTATTTCAGTTAATGATTAAATACAAATTCAAAATATGAATCTATATCATAAGGGCCACGTTCTTAGCTAAGACTTAAGCTACTAAATCTCTTTACTAACAACAAACCATGATTTATGAATAAACTATTAAAAAAACTTTCTTAATATATTTGCGACTGAGAATTGACAATTTATACTTAATAATTGGAATTGTGCAAATTAAAGTAAATATTTTCAGATTCCTCTTACCAGTACTGCTGGAGGAAGCACAGATTTAGGACTTGACTCGGGTTTGTTCCATTGCATACAGCATTGAACTCCAATATATCGGCTGTTTATATTACATCATTTTAAATCCTGTTTTCCATGGTCTTCCAGTAGTTTGGTATTCAATTACTACTTAAATTGTTTTACAGACTTGATACTCCTGAAAAAAATAGTATGACTTTGGATGTACTGCCTGTTAAAGGACCTCATGGTTGTCCATTGTCTTCGACTGCCCATAATCTAACTGACAATCAACTTGTTTCTCAGAACACTTGGACTCTTCAGACTGAATTTCTAATTCTCACAGCTCCTTCTCAGAGTAAGTATTTATTTATTTTATTCTACAGTATTTATATACCGCCTTTCTCACCCCTGGGGGGACTCAAAGTAACTTCAATTATTTTAGTGTTTGTTGCTTTTGCCCCTTTTGGTGGTTTAAATGAATTCATTAGGATTAGAGATAACACTATGTAACAAAATTTGAAAAAAAAATGTTCCTGGTTTGAAAGTGTTATTTTCTGTTCATTGTGTGATACGTACTTTTAAAATAGTTATTATACCCCCGAAACTTTGTTTTTGTGCCTGCCACAAACTATGTTGAATTGGTTGAGACTCTTGTGAGATATTAATTGAAAAGCTATAGCAAAACGTGCTGCAGAATGTCCCACAAAAACAAAGTAGTTGAGAAGAGACATTTAATAAACCAGGATCAAAAATCATGTTACATAGTGTAATTGATTTTAGATTCGGTTCTTTTGAAAATGAATCATACATTGTGAATTTAAGGGATTTTTTGGTAGTAGAAATGTTTGTTGTTTGTTTAAATTTTGGATTTTACATTGTCAGAGGTGTGTTGCATATGATAGTATGATGATTTATTTATTCTCTGTAGCACAGTGGTTCCCAACTTTCTTTTGACCAGGAACCATTCTCCAACATTAGTACCAAAAGGGTTATGCATCAGTTTTTGGTCAATATTAGATTTGGTTTGGTTATTAGGGGTGCTGATTCAGAATATTGCATTGGATAGACCACATCAGCTCTAGTTTCTGATACAGAACACATGCCATCCTGTAGTCGCCATCTGCTCACCCACAGAAAACCATATTAAATAGTCTAGAGTTGATGTGGTCTATCCAATGCAATTTTCTGAATCAGCACCCCAACAGGCCTAAAAACAAAAACACCAAGAAAAATTATTTTGGTTGTGCTGTGTCATTATCCGTGGATTCTGTTAACGCTTGGCACTATAAGAGGGATTTTTTTAAAAAATATTTTTTATTGAAGGTCATTTTGATAGATGCAATAAAAGAAAGAGGATAAAGGGGGGGGGGGGAGGAAGAAAAGAGAAGAAAAACCAAAAAAAGAAAAGGATGCAAAAATAAAATAAAATATTAAGCTTTCTGTACTTCTGGTCTTCTTCTTTTTTTTTGTTGTGTCCTTCCTTTCTTCCTTAAAAGGAAAATGAAAAAAAGGAAAAAAGAAATAACTAATATTTGTATTTATATGTTCTTTCTCCCTTTGTGCTGATTTCTTAGGTGTGTGATTTCCATTTTCCCCCTATTTAAATAATTAATATTTTCTTCTCTTTTTCCATGTATTTTTTAAATGGTTGCCAATCTGTTTTCTTCCTTGATGTTCCTTGGTATCTTATTAGGAGTTGGGCACTATAAGAGGGTTTCACAAGTGCAGTTGCTCTTGTTGCAAGGGTGTAGCAACGGTGAAGCCACGGACCATATTTTCATTTTTGTGACCACTGGTGGCCCACGGACCACAGATTAGGAACCACTGCTGTAGTAGAAGTCCTTATTTGAATGGATGCACATGGAAGTTAACCAGTTTTCTTATACCCATATTACTCGAGTATATAATGCCATTGAATGTAAAGGTGCACCTGAAATTTGAAGGTGCACATTGCAAAAAATGCATTTGCCCTCAAATGTAATGCATCCAGCAGTGCAGGCCCAGCATGTTAGGGAGGTAGGCAGCATGAATGAGGCCAACTGCAAAGCCGTATCCCTCCATCAGGCTAAGGCCAGTGAACTCCTCAGCCTCATACGATTACCAACGGGCCTCGTATGAAGCTCCTCCTTTTTCACACAATTGAGTTTCTGTGTACAGATAACACGCCATCAAATCTAAGGTGCACCTCAATTTTGGGAATATAATTTAGCCAAAAAAGATGAGCATTAGACTCAAATATGATATGTTTAATAGATGCAGTTTCTAATATTATGCTTAAAGTACATTAGTCTGTAATGCAAATATTGTAAGAGATAATTTGTTCAATTTATATTTTCAAAGATGGAACAACAGTCACTAAATATGCACAAATAATTAACAACTCAAGCAGATCATTGAAATTTGAGCTGTCATGGCCTGCTCACTGCCTTACTGTAACACCTCAACATGGAACTATTGAACCAAAGTAAGTGCTTCCATTATTCATTAACTTATAAAACATTGTTTAATAGATGTCACACCTGGCAACAAATCCTACTGAACTCAATGAGATTTAATTCTGAATATGTATATAGGACCAAATTTTAAACCATATAATTTCATGATATTATGAGAGTTGACTATATAGCATAGGAATACTTTTTAGTTGCTAAAATGCTTAATATGTATTAATTTTATTTTAATTTAAACTTAATTATAATGTTATTGGAATTGTATGTGTTTTAAACCATTGAATAATTGCCTATATGTAAGCTGCCTTGAGTCTCCTTAGGTGTAGAGAAAGGCAGAATATAAATATGGCAAATAAAAATAAATAAATAAACAAATAAATAAGTTGTCTCCATGATGGCATGTTTCTGCCTAAGAATGCATGCTCCCTGATCTTTAACGATGGCAAGAATATTTAGATTGCCCATAACAAAAGAGTAGCTTCTGAGTGGTAGAAAAATTAAACCTATTTGTTTATGATTCATTTAATAGCATCCAGACAATGCTGCCAGAATTTCCAGCACAGACATTTATTTTATTATTTATTTATTTATTTATTTATTTATTTACTTCATTTGTTGACCGCCGTTCTCAGCCCTAGGGCGACTCACGGCGGTGTACAACATATAAAAACACAGTTTACAATAAAGCAATAGCACAACGAAATATCAACAACTATCAATAATACAACAATCAAATAATTACACTAAATCATCCGCGCCGCCTCATCGTAGAATCATAAACCAATCTCGTAGTCCATATTCCGTTCCAGTCGTCATTACCAATTGTTTTAGCACTTAGTTAAACGCCTTCTCAAATAACCAAGTCTTTAGGCTCCTGCGGAATGACATAAGGGAGGGCGCCTGTCTGATGTCTACAGGGAGAGTGTTCCACAGCCGGGGGGCCACCACCGAGAAGGCCCTATCTCTCGTCCCCACCAGACGTGCCTGTGAGGCAGGCGGGATCGAGAGAAGGGCCTCCCCAGACGATCTCAAGGTCCTCGTGGGCTCATAGGCCGAGATGCGGTCAGAAAGGTATTTTGGGCCGGAACCGTTTAGGGCTTTGTAGGCCAACACCAGCACTTCTGTTGTGAGATATACCATAGATGTATCATATGTACATGATACACTACAGTCTGTAAAAAAAAAATCACATATAGCAGGGATGGAAAATGTCAAGACCCAGAAGCCGTAGTAAGCCCAACACAGAGTAAAAAGGTTCAAACACAACTTTATTGAACAAAAAGAAGTCTTTAAAGCACTTAATTTCAGTGCAAAGGGTTCAGACAAAAAGTTGGCATCAAAAACGCAACGATATCAGTAACAAAAATATAACCCGGATTATATAGCTGTTTAATCCGGGTTAACACAAAAGTTCAGCAATCTGCTTCAAAATATACACAGTTCACAAACACAATAGGGAGAGGCAAAAAACGAAGTCCCAAAGAGTTGCCAGGTGAGAACACGAAGTTAGCAATGGTTAAGTCCAAAAGACAAAAGCGTTGGTCAAACCGGTCCAGAGTCAAGCTGTTGCGAGAGGTAAACACAGGAACGCAGGAATCTGTAGTCCAAGGACCCAAGCTCGAGAGCTGGCAGTAACAAAGATTCACATCCCAAAAGAGACACTTTGCCTTCTGCAAAGAGTCATACAAACAAAACCCATTTTTATCCTAAAGTTCCTCATCAGAGGATGATGAGCTCCCCATCCTTTCCTCATCGCTCTCAGCTGCCTCCAACCCCGCAGCTGTACATGAGCGCCCATCCCTCCACCTCTGCCAGCGTCTGTCAAGACTTAGGTCTTGCCAAGTGTTCCCCGGTTGCCAGTCCCCAATAAACCCCTCAAATTCATCACTAGAGGTGGGTTGGTTACAAATGTCCCTAATCCCCTGAACACAGGTCCAATCCAGCTCATCCTCCTCTCCCATGTCACTCCCAGACCCATCACTGCTTTCAAACCCCATGAAGTCCTTGTCCTCTGTAGGAGTGCTAAGTATTTCCCGAATACGCTTCCTCTGAAGCTCTTCGTCGGACTCTTGATCGCAAGTAGCCCGCTTTACTCCCCTACTCTCCTCCCCACCCCCCATTTCACAATCGGAGAAGCCCTCAAACGTCTCAGAATCACTTGGAGCCATGATTATCTCCCTAATCTGTTTTTGCTGCTGCTCCTCTTCCAACACCTGAGCAGACCTCTTCTCCCTTCTACAGGTAGTAACGTTACCATCACGCTGAACTACAACAGAAAGTGACACTCGACCTGATGCTTGGCCTTTGATAATATTATATACCAGATCTAAAAAATTAAGTGCAGTACAATATAAGAGAGCTGCATTCATCAGCATGTTGACTTTGCTTTTTATATGTGACCAGTCCTGTGAATAGGCTAGGTTTGCAATTCATCTTCTCATAGCTTACTTACTGTTGAACTTAATAATGAATTTTATTTACAGAAGCAGCATTTCAATTCATGTGAGTCCAAACCCTTCACTCGCAGAAAATAAATCCTTATTCCCATGGAGTGGTCTTGTTTATATACATTGCGATGGTGAACAAAAGGTAAGTTGCTTAAAGAAATTTATATCTGTGAAAATACTGGTTTCTCATTAATCTCTGGGGGTTGTTTTTTTGTATTTTCCCTACGTGTCTGTGCTGTGAATGCGCACTAATGGTACTTCTGCGCATGCGCAGCCTCGCTCCGGAATCTTCAGTTAATTTTTTAAAAAGAAAAGCGGTTGGCCCCGCGCACACTCCCCAGGATAGCATAAATAGCCCGCGGCTGGCCAACCGCCTCCAGATCTCTTCATCCGCGCTAAAGTCAGCAAGCTCGGATCTTCTCTCATCTCAGATCAATTCTTTTATTATTTTATTATTATTTATCTCTGCTAAATGGCACAGATGTCTAATACAAAAAGTTTCAAACGTTGCTCTGCCTGCCAGGGCAACTTTCCAGATAATGATGCACATTCCTTGTGCATCGCATGCCTCGGGGAAGGACATTTAACACAAGCTTGTGCGATCTGCCAATCCTTCACTCCAAAAACGAGAAAAAACAGGGAGATCCGTTTAAAGGCTGCCTTGTATGAACGGGCGCTTCTCCCTGACCTATATCAAAATACTAGCCAAAAAGAGCAAGCCTTACCTGTAATGGCGGCCCAATCGGGTGCTATAAGGAAGACCAAGAAATCCAAGGCTACTCATAGCAAAACGGCCGCTGCTAAGTTCCCGAAGGCCGTAGAAACCGAGGCCACAGCTTCTAAGACAGCCTCTCCCTTTGAGAAGGGAAACGAGACTCCTCCATGTGGCTCCAAAGCTAGAATGGAGCCAGCATCGACCTCCGCTCGCCTCGTGCGAGCAAGGGAGGAAACTGAAACCGAAAGAGAGCCGAGGCCGGCTGGAGCACGCCCCGCGCGTGCGCAGGAGGAGACCTTGACGCCTCCTATGCCTACGCTCTCGGCGCCGGCTCCTCCTACATCTCAAGAGGCAGGCTCTGGGGAGGAGCCAGGACGGGCGCCCATGGCAACGCTTCCCTCGGCGTCGGGAATGCCTGTTGCCGCCTCGACGTCAGGGATGCCAGTCGCTGGGACCCTGTCTCGGCGCCGTGCGCGCGCTCCCTCGCGCACTCATAAACGGAAAAGGGGACACAGGGACTCCAGCTCCAGCGACTCCTCCTCCTCCTCTACTTCCTCAACTTCATGTTCTGACTCCTCATGCTCTGCAAGGGTGCGCAGGCGTGCACGCGCCCGCAGGGCCAGGTCTGCTTCATCCACACATTCCTCCCGATGGGGGGAAAGAGGTGAAAGAGATCTTCCTCTCCCTCATCCAGGGGTCTATGAAATTACCCCCCAAGGAAGATTTATTTATTGTGGCCCTCCACCTATGCCACCAAACCAGAAGGTTACTCACCATCCTAGACATAAAAATAAAGATTGTAGACTATTGCAACATCAAGAGACTTTCCCTATGCATGTTAGACATGAGCATCGGGGAAGTTACTATTCTCAAGGGAATACTCCGTTGCCATCTATTGCTGAGGATCAACATTCTCTTGACAATGTGGACTCTGATTCTTCGGTGGAAGTGATGGACTCTTCGAATGTGGGGAAGGACAAGGATTCAAATGTAAACCGTGCTGAGGACTACAATAAGTTTGCACAGATGATTGGAAGAATGATAACTGCACTGGGCATTGTTACTCCTAAACCAGTTTCCACAGTGGACGATCCCATGTTTCCATCTGAAGAGCAGGATAATTCCCCATCCATGCTACTTCCAACTCTGCCTTACCTGTTAAAGCTAACTAAGGTCCCCGACATGTCTCCGTCGGCTGCCCCTGCTATTCCAAAGAGGGTAGATCTCCTTTACAAAGTGGATCTCTCAGTGGCACGCTGGATTGCCCACCCCACTCCACCTAATACGGTGGTGGCGGAGGCAGCTAGGTCAAAAAGGCCTAAGAAGTATTCTATTACACCCCCGGATAAGGAGGGCAAAAAGATTGATTCCCTTGGGAAGAAAGTCCATGTAGCTGCGGGGTTGTTCGCTAGAATGGCTCATTATGCGACCTTTATGAGCGGATACCAGAGTTTTCTCTGGAACAGAATGCTACCTTTTATTGATCTCCTGCCGGTTGAAGACCGTCGTCTTCCTAAGGCGTACCAGGCAGAAGCCCTTATTCTTTCTAGATTCCAGAAAGACTTTGCCAAACATATGGCTGAGGCATCTGGTAAACTTCTCGCCTCAGCCACGGCTATAAGGCGCCATGCGTGGCTTCGTGCCTCCACTTTATCGGAAGAGAGCCGCTTGTTGGCGGAAGACCTCCCTATGAATGAGGGGGGTCTTTTTGATCCAACAACAGACGAAAAGATTAAACATTCACGGGAGGTCCTACAAGCAGCTAAATACCCGTACCCGTACCCATACCCATGGCAGCCAGGTAACCAACAGAAGCCTCGTTGGCAGCAGACGTCACCATTTTACCGTAGGACAAATTTCAATGGGTACAATTCTAATCAGACAAATAGGAATATTTCTTCAAAATTCCAGTTTAATCGTAAACAGAATTATGGTTCGAAGTCTAGGTATCAACCATACCAATCTAAGGCCAAGAATACAGGGAATTCAAGACGTCGTCTTTGACGACTCCTCTGTTGGTGTTAGCCAGCAACCCAGGGTTATTCCATCTGATCCTTCCTTACCTATTGGCCACATTTGGTATAAAGATAGGCTTAGGCCATTTACGCACGCATGGGCTGCGATTACCACCGATAGGTGGGTCCTCCAAATTGTTGAGGAAGGTTACTCAATAGAGTTTGTTTCATTGCCCCCGTTGGGCCATTTGGAAGCAAGTCCTGAGTCTCCAGCGTTGCTGGAAGAGGTTGAAACACTTTTGGCTAAAGGGGCTATTTCTCATGTAGACTGTTCTATGTTTGGTGAATGTTTCTTTTCTCGTTATTTTTTAGTAACTAAAAAAGGTGGTGGTTTGCGTCCAATTCTAGATTTAAGGGGAGTGAACATGTACATTGACTCCAGGAAGTTTCGTATGGTATCTCTCCCTATGATCCTCCCTCTTCTAAATAAAGATGTTTGGTTCGCTACCATTGACTTGAAGGACGCATATTTTCATATTTCTATGGCTGAACATCATAGGAAATATCTCGCCTTCATGGTTGGAGACCGGGCCTTCAGTTTTAACGTCCTGCCTTTTGGCCTTACCACAGCTCCTAGGGTCTTCACAAAGTGTATGGCGGTGATCGCTGCTCACCTCAGGACTAGAGGCATTACGGTTTATCCGTATATAGATGATTGGCTGTTGGTAGCGAAATCATGTGAGCGCCTGCATGTACATGTTGATATAACACTCTCTCTTCTCCAGTCCTTAGGCCTCGTGGTAAACACAGCAAAGTCCCATCTGCTACCTACCCGCAGGATTCAGTTTATTGGAGCGATCTCCAGTCCTTAGGCCTCGTGGTAAACACAGCAAAGTCCCATCTGCTACCTACCCGCAGGATTCAGTTTATTGGAGCGATCTTGGATTCAGCTCAACAGAAGGCGTTCCTACCAGAGGACCGGTTTACGTCACTCAAGTCCCTGATTGCGCGAATTCTCTGTTTAGAAAGGGTGTCAGCGAAGAAAGTTCAAGTGTTACTAGGGCATATGGCGTCTACGACTGCAGTCACGCCGTATGCCCGGTTGAGGTTCAGACCCATTCAGAATTGGTTTCTGTCGGTATTCCGCCCTGGCCTGGACAACCCCCATGCACGGCTGCACATGCCAGAAGAAGTGCGGCGTTCTCTATTGTGGTGGACAGATCCAAACAATGTATCTGCGGGTCTACCTTTCCAGCTTCCCGACCCAGCAAGTGTTGTCACYACAGATTCCTCTTTGAAGGGATGGGGCGCCCATTACGAAGGCCTTACTGCCCAGGGTGTGTGGGCTCCAGAGGAGTCAACAGCCCATATAAACATACTAGAATTGCTTGCAGTAGAAAAGGCGTTAAAATCTTTCGAGATGGCTTTGTTAGGCAAGGTAGTGCAGGTGGTTACGGACAATACAACAACAATGTTTTACATAAACAAACAAGGAGGGACAAGGTCTCAGACTCTGTCGAGGTTGACTATGAACATCTGGGAATGGTGTATAGCAAGACAGATTTATCTGTTGGCCGTTCACCTCCCAGGGGAGGAGAACACTCTGGCAGACGAGTTAAGCAGGGCCCCCATGTCACACCACGAATGGTCTATCGATCAAAAGGAACTCAGTACGATCTTCAGGATCTGGGGAGTCCCGAGAATAGATTTGTTCGCGTCTCGGGAGAACGCGAAGTGTCCCCTATACTGTGCACGAAGGAGAGCAGCTCAGGAACAGGGYTGCCTGGGGGATGCGTTCCTTCTCAAATGGAACGGAGAATACCTCTACGCGTTTCCTCCTTTTCCACTATTGACAAAGGTCATTMCGAAACTGCGGAGGGACGGGGGAAACTGCATTCTAGTGTCACCATGGTGGCCTCGCCAACCATGGTTCTCACTTCTTCTCGAGATGTCCAGAGGGAAGTACAGACGTCTGCCGAACAGGACAGACCTACTGACATCACAGGGCGGACGGGTTCTTTACCCYGACGTCCACATGTTGAGGCTCACTGCTTGGAGGATCACCCCAGACAGTTAGAACCGTCTTTGAATGTTTCTAGTAAGGTTAGAGTTATACTAGATGCAGCGCAAAAGCCATCGACTAAGCGCTCCTATGTATATAAGTGGGCACGTTACTCCAAGTTTATGAAGGAACAGGGCCATGATCCCGTAAGAGCGCCAATCGCTGCAGTGTTGGATTTCTTAGCTTCYTTATCAGATTCAGGTTTATCAGTCTCATCCCTTAAGTGTTACCTGGCGGCCATCTCTTGGTACAGGAGGAAAGAGGGTATGRCCTCCCTCTTTGCAGATTATTTAGTTAAYCTTTTTCTTAAAGGGTGCGGGAACATTAGGCCAACAGTAGTCCCGATTATCCCCTCGTGGAGCCTGGAGGTTGTTCTTTCATCTCTTCAAAGTGCGCCATATGAGCCTATGGCAACATGCAATATGTCACATCTTTCTTGGAAAACTTCTTTCCTAGTYGCGATAACGTCAGCCCGTCGCGTTAGTGAACTTTGCGCACTTAGATCAGATGAACCATACCTCCGATTCCACAAGGATAAAYTTGTGCTCRGCACGGACATTTCCTTTCTTCCCAAGGTGACATCTTTCTTTCATATGTCACAAGAGATTGTTTTGCCATCCTTCTTCCAGAATCCTGTCTCCCCTTTGGAGCGTAGCCTGCATTTGTTAGATGTCCGAAGGGCGGTGGCGTTCTACCTTAGTAGAACGAWAGACGTCAGGAAAACACCAAAGCTTTTTGTTAAGTATAGGAAGGACTCTTGCGGCCTCCCTGTATCATCGCAACGCCTGTCATCATGGATAGTCTCCGTGATCAGGTTGGCATATCAAAGATCTGGACGTGAGCTCCCTACAGGCGTAAGAGGCCATTCAACGAGAGCAGTGTCTACTACYACAGCGTTCTGGAAGGGTGTGCCCTTGGATGCCATTTGTCGAGCCGCTACCTGGTCATCACCGTTGACGTTTGTGTCACACTATAAGTTGGATCTCCAGGCCAAGAAGGACGCGGAGTTTGGTCGTGCAGTCCTTTTTTCTGCGGTGGCATGACTCCCGCCGTCCAAGGTGGGTAGCTCGCTAGTCTTTTACCATTAGTGCGCATTCACAGCACAGACACGTAGGGAAAATGAGAGGTTGCTTACCTGTAACCGTAGTTTCCCTAGTGTTGTGCTGTGAATTCGCACGGCCCCGCCCATCCTCCCCGCAGTTGTCATGCCTCCTCCTTCTGGCTGCTTTAGCGGCGGAAGAGATCTGGAGGCGGTTGGCTAGCCGCGGGCTATTTATGCTATCCTGGGGAGTGTGCGCGGGGCCAACCGCTTTTCTTTTTAAAAAATTAACTGAAGATTCCGGAGCGAGGCTGCGCATGCGCAGAAGTACCATTAGTGCGAATTCACAGCACAACACTAGGGAAACTACGGTTACAGGTAAGCAACCTCTCATTTCTCCCTTTAATTGTATGGGTTATATTCTTTTAAATAATGTTTGCCAATATGCTTATTTTGTGAATTATTAGTTGTTCTAGGAAGTTGTTCAAAGTTGGGGTATAAATTGGTAAATTTACTAAGATTTTAAAAGTAGGACTGGAAAAGTCTTAGCCAACGTATTTACGGATGATGAATGATGGGAGTTATGGTGCAGCAAATATAGAAGGGCCCAAAATATGTATGTTGGTAATAGTTCAACATTTACTTCGTTACATTGGCCTAAAATCCAATGTAGCACTGGCTCTTAACTATCAGCTTAACAGGATGTACTCCTCTCATTCCTGCAGCACTGTGTTTCACCTGGAGAGTAGCTCCAGTGGGATACTCTGAGTTGGAGGAAGCTTTGGAGAATCCAGTGAGGATGAATCATCCCTCTTCCACTTCTCTTAGAGCTTCTAATTCCATTACTGAAATGATCTTTTTGGGTCACCCTGTAGCTCACTAATGGCTTTTAATCCTTGATTTTGATATATACATCCGTCAGAAAGACTGGATAGAAATCACTGTGGGATAACTTGAGGCAAATAATTAGAAATTTGTTCTATGAGGTGAAGTATCCATTCTGTGTTCCCATCCAATGAAGCAAGACTCATGTGAAACTCAAACATTGCATTTAAGGACTAGCCCCTTGGCTCCTCCCCCAGTTTTCCCCTTAACTTAATCTAATTAGTTTCTACTGTTTTGACACTTCATTACTGGTGTTTTCCTACCCTTCCTTTTTTTAAAAAACCCTCTATCAATCTTTTTTCTTGGAATCAGTTGTTTACTTCTATTCCTAAACAGCCCCAAATTATCTTCACTGCATCCTTCTTTTTAGTCTTCTTTTAAATGCCTTGCTTCCACCAAAGACATTCGGAAAGTTTCCTCTTTTTTATTTGCTCTCTGTATTCATATGGCAGAATAACATGACCATACAGCCTGGAAAATTCACAGTAACCCAAGAATAATAATAATAATAGGCCACCTTACTTGGATCTGTGCACATCATTCGAAAATACATCATACAGTCCTAGATGCTTGGGAAGTGTTCGACTTGTGATTTTGTGATACGAAATCCAGCATATATATCTCATTTGCTGTGAAAAACTGTGTTTTTGTGTCAGCATAATAATAATAATAATAATAATAATAATAATAATAATAAGGAGGAGGAGGAGGAGCTTACAGCGAGTAACAGTTAAAATAATAAAAAATAGTACATAGGTCAAATAACATAACTTAAAATAGAACCAGTGCAATTACTAAAAACATATAAGAGCAGAACATAACATCAATGTCAAAAATAGCTGCTCTTGCTGGAATAAAAGCATTAAAAGTGTTAAAACCGCCGATCTTACTAAAATACCTCTGTTTAAGACTGATTGTATCCAAAAGCCTGCTTCCAGCGCCAAGTTTTAAGTTGCTATGGTTGAATGAGGTTCTGGCTCAGTATTCGTGTGCTATTCCAGTTCTGCAGAGCCTGGGAGAAAGGCATTTGTAGAGGAAGATAGAAGTTCTGCAAAAGGAAATTTAGATGAGCAGTTACAACATTGTGAGATAAGCCTGCTTCCTATTTCTTGCCTCACTCAGTGTAAGAGTGTTACTAGTCAAACCACACACCAGACCCATTCGTTATTTTTTAGTATAGATACTCTCAATGAGCACCAGAGGGTGCTGGAGCATTCCCATGTACCTTCAAATAGTGAGTAAGCACTTTCAGCAAATTATGTTTCTTTTAACTCATCACTTCAGGAGGACAATTTTTGGCTTCCTTGTTTTTCATTTCCTCACATTTTTACAGCAGGTGCCCAGTATATTGATACCCATTTATATAGTGAAGCCCTCATTCAGAAATGTGCTTCAGAGGTTACTAATACTTTTCAGGACAATCCCAGTATCACCACTTGAACTGGGCAATATATACAGTCTCTAACTGTGCAGCATAGGGCCATAGCAAAGTGTGAAATTTCTTAATCTACTGACTAAAAATGTCATGCTATTGATCACGTGTCTGAGGAGGAAGACAAGCAGCTCTTTCCTGATCCAAGGGATGTTATGACAACATGTAAATATCATGCTGAAACTGATTCATATGTTTGCTCACTCCTTTCTCCATCAACTAATGATGAATCTTACAAGAATGTGGTCAGACTTTGTGTGGTCAGTTGGAAAATCCACCTGAGTAGCATCTGTTCTCTAGTGCTGGCTTATATGAGCCACAAACAAATTTGTGTTCTATCCTTCAAATAGATTTACATGTGAATCTAAAACCAAATGTGGTATCAGCACGTTTCCCCAGTTATATTACAATTACTCAATATACTTGTTTCATCGCATCCTCACATCAGGTGTTTCTCTATTCCCACTGCTAGTTCACAATAGTTTTCCAACATAGAATTCCTCACAATTCTCAAAATCCAGACATCTTTCTAGTTACTTTTCTTGTTTAGCTTGACTGTAGAAAGAATAGGCATAATAGCTCTGATTCTGGTCCTTAACTGTTTTCTTCCAATATGAGAAGAGCCTTGACTCACTGGGCAGTGAGAGGAGCTAACCCATCACTGGATATTTTATTGTTGACATAGGATAAACATTCAAAGTCAGTTTTTAATGTTCCACATTACAATGTATTTCTCTCCATTTCTTCCTGCACCTCTCCCCCTTCTTTAGCTTCTTAGAGTACAGATTCGGGAAGATACTTCAGAAAAGCCACCTGAGAAGGCCTCATCTGTTGCCAGAGTTGGCGTTCAGCAACTGGCTGAGCTTCCTGTTATTCACATACAGCCTCTTCAGAAACCACAATCAACAAAACTTGAAGTAAAGAATCGGTCTCTGTGTTTTCCTGAGACATGGTGTGGTGAAACTGCAGGTACTCTCTAGCTTTCCTGTAACTGGTAAATAAAATATGTAGTAGTGGAAATGAGTTAATATATTTAGTAGTCATATGCATTCAGGCCAAAAGGCATACCATTTTCGGATCCATTTCCATCTGATCCCTCATTTCATTTTTCCAGAAAGTTTCCCCAAAAAGGGGGAGGAGGGTGTTTTCCTTGTCATTCAGCAGATATTTGGCCCATTGGCTACAATGGTAAACTTTAAAGGCTCAATCCTAACCCATTGTAAAGCCTATCTGCATGAAACCTACCTCAGTTGTAGACCACAGTTATAACTGCAGGTCTGCCCAGTTTCAAAACAATTCACCAATCTCCTGATTTTTAAAGAATTATTTTAAGTTTTAAACATAACATTTTTTAAGACAAACCACAAGAAAGGGTTCAGGGAATTGTAGTTGCTGGTTGTGTCTGTTCTCAACCAGTCAGAGCATGGACACCACCAGGCTTTTTATTGACTGAGAGACACACAGAGAAAAACTTCAATTCCAATCATAATCCAAAATGAACTTTTAATAGCCACCCTATGCTTGTGCCACTGGGAAAGCAAGTTCTAAGGGCCCTCTCTGGAGAAGGAAGGGACATTCCAAGAAAAAAAAAATGGAGGAGGCTTCTTCTGCGGGGGAGAGAAAAAGATGCCACGCATTCCCTTTGACTATTTTGTGGATTTAACTCTTTCAGAAAATATCGTCTCTCTGAATTCGTTTCACTCCCCTTTTCATCTCTCTCTTCTCCTGTTTTTGAAAATTACACAAAAATCGCCATCCGAAAGCTACAAATCTTTTCGTTAACAGTGATTTGGGCCCAACTCTAATATTTAGTATGAAAATCACCACATGTAGATTACAGTTAAAATAAGAATTATTATTAACTTTATTTCTCACCATGGGGACTTAAGGCAACCAACAACCCCAGGCTTTAATCAAGTTTTAAAAACATAATACAAAAGTTAAACAAGTATTTATTTATTTATTTATGACATTTGTGTGCCTCCCTTCTCACGCTGAAGGGGACTCAGACTTAAATAGTATAGTGTGGTAAAACAGATTAAAATATAATAGATACATTTAAAATAGCCTTTAAAACTTACAGAATTGGCAGAATTGTGTTTGTTTTTTAAAAATACCCAGAGCCAATGAAATGATGTGGAAACTATATCGCTATGACAGAATGGCAAATAAATGCATGTTGTAGGTCTTGAGTACTTGCTCTTGGAGGCTTCCAGGAGCATCAATTCACAGTTTAGAGTAGAAAAAAATATTCGGGTGGGATGTCTGGGAGTAGCCTGGTAGTTTACCCCGCCCCAAGTCCCTCTGGGAAGATGGGGTGGAGTATAAATAAAGATTATTATTATTATTACAAAAAACATCAGTGGCAGCATAAATATTTTCTTTTTCGTGGAAACAGTAGAAATGGACAATATCTTTTTTTCTATTTTATTTTTCTTTCTGCCTGTATTCATAATAGTAGCAAGAATTAAGGTTTGAAACATGACCGTGCACCCCAATGCAACTCAGAGCCAGAGATTTGGGACCTAACTGGATCTGTTAAAACTGAGGTTGGCTGTTTTGGATAGCTGGTATCATTTTTTACAGAGAGAACCTATGAAACATACAAGACCTATGCCTTATTGTATATGTTTACTTCCTTACAGAGAAATACCTCGAAATTGAAAATAATGGAGATGAAAATGTAAAATGGTTTTTAGCATCTTTTGCACCACCTTATGTCAAGGTAGGTGGAAAATACAAAATTGAGATGATTTTCAAAGGGTCGGGGTGTGTTTTACACTCTTTATCTTAACAAAGTTATCCTGACATTAACGATAGCTAGAGTCTTGTTCTCTCTGAAAAGCAAGTCTGTTGTTTTGATTAATAGCAGATTTTTTATTTTAGGGTGTAGATGAAAGTGGAGAAGTATTCAGAGCTACATATACTGCTTTCCGATGCTCATCTCTTTCTGGTTCTATTGAAGCCCACGGAAAAGAAAAAGTAAGTTGAACATGTAATTTAGCCACAAAAAAAGAAGGTGATCATTGGATTCAAGTAAACATTATATCTCTTTTTTCATGATAGGTTGTAGTCACCTTTTTGCCTAGAGATAGAGGACAGTATTCTCAGTTCTGGGAGCTTGAGTGTCACCCTTTTCACAAACCTCACATGAAAGACAAGCATAGGCTTCAGTTTTGTGGAATGGTAAGAACTTTTTTTCTTTGATTACATTCGTGGAATGGGATTGGAGAGGGTCAGCATTTTACTTTTTGTGTTGTCTCCTAGAAACAAACACATCCTCTAATGAAGAATATTTTCAGTCTTTCATCTTACTGCTTTATGGCAAATGGCTCAAAACAGCCTTATATATAATATTTGTTTATAAAATATCTCATTATGAGATATTTTTAAAATAAAAATATTAAATATTTCTAATTTGCTGCTGGATACATTGTATAATGATAATATTCTGTCAGGTGAGTTGTTGCATTAATTTGTTCATAAATTACATGGAAGTAAGGTTGAATAATAGTGATGTAGGGCCCCCTGTGGCACAGCGGGTTAAATTACTGAGCTGCTGAACTTGCTGATCGAAAGGTTGACGGTTTGAATCCGAGAAGTGGGGTGAGCTCCCGCTGTTATGCCCAGCTTCTGCCAACCCAGCAGTTTGAAAACATGCAATTTTGAGTAGATCAATAGGTACTACTGTGGTGGAAAGGTAATGGCACTCCATGCAGTCATGCTGGTCACATGACCTTGGGAGTTTCTAAGGACAACGGCAGTGCTTTGGCTGAGAAATGGAGATGAGCACCACCCACCAGAGTCGGACATGACTAGACTTAATGTCAGGGGAAACCTTTACCTTTATCTAATAGTGATGTTGCCAGGTTTACCAGTGATACCAAATTAGGATGATAAGAATAAAACAAGATTTCAAAGAGCTCTAAAACGATTTCTCCAGATTGAAGGAGAGGGCATTAAATTGGCAAATGAAATTAAGGAGCTCAAGCAAACAATTGATCTCTCTTAAACTAATGAACTTTATTACGCTTCATAGTCTATATAAAAATGTATATGTCTGGTTTTGGAGATAACCATTTAGCTCCTGATCTTCCTTTCAACAGGGTATCTTGCTGAATGATGGCTTAGAAAATGACATTTCTCCACCTGCTTTAGTAAAAATCAATTTTCGGGATGTGTCTCAAAGAATAGATAGCCCTGACAACGTTGACCAAAAAATCTGGTATGTAAACAAAAGGATAAAACGGTGTTGTGCATTTCTTCTTGGCTAGCTCAGTGAACTTTGCTAATGTTTGAATATATAGCATGTTCCATGATGATATTTCTGCCGACTCACAATATTAAACTCTAATCAGACTTCTAGATTGCAATAGCTACTGTGCTAAGGAAAACCTTATAATGTTATTGGTGACACTTCATCGATCAATATTTCCTGTTATTCTGATGTTCTGCAGTTGATGGCCCCAAAAAGTTTGGCTTCAATACTGTTTTCCCTCATTTTAAAGTAGTAAAAAGTAGTTTTAGAGCAGTCACTATAAATATTTCCAAAAGCATGATTTTTTTGACAATATTTTAACTTTTCTCTTCCAAAATCAGGAAAGGTGTATATGCCCAAGAAAATGTTTATACATTCCCCCCAACAAGGATTGGTGAGTCGAGCACACTGAAAGTCAGCTTGCGAAATTATTCTCCCTCTTCAAACAAGGTAAATTGGCAAGATGTGTCACATATTCTCTTACTAGTAATATATCTAGTGCTTGAAAATGAAACTCACAAAAAACTATTGGTATCTATAGGTTAGGAGGGTCCTTGACCAGTTGCAACTGGTGTATTAGCTGTACCCTTTCAGGGAAGATATGCTTCAGTTGGCCTTCCACATTTGCAACGTTGACTTTTATGGATTTGATTCGTTGTAAATAAATGTTCTCTCTAGCAATCTCTAATCTAGATCTCTGGTGACATCTTACCTCTCTCCATGCTCATAGGAGAAGAACTTAGAGGCTTGCCATGTGGCTAGAAACTTTTGAATAAAAAGAGAAGTATCAGTCTAACAAACATAAATAAGAGCTGAGAATAGAGAGACAGGCAGACAAAGAGAACAATGTGGGAAGAAGGGCTTTCTTTGCCAGCTAACCCAGCTGTCTGTCTATCTCCTTGTTGAGGACGGCAAACTTGTGCCAGATGTGGTTGAGTTCCAACCCCTATATCAGTACATGAAGGTTAAACTTGAAATGTAATGGTGTGACCACAGAGTGATGATCTGATTGATGACCAAACTTACATACAACAAATCTTTTTCTCAGTCTTGTATTTCAGTTATTTTTGCTCAACCCTGAGGTGTGGTGCTGAAATTAGGGTGCTGTGTATCTTCAATTCTAAGATGCAATTTTCCCTCTATATTAACATCTCTAAAATGGGGTGTGTTTTAAAATTGCAAATGTATCTTACGTAGTTTTGTTGGTGGTACGGTACTGAAATCGATGGCATCTTAGTTTATTTATTTATAGTGTCAGAAGCGAACCGAGGGTACAGTTGTAATGTATTTTAAAACACAAAAAAGTTTAAAAATTGCCATTTTACTAAATGTCCTTTGACCAGTTGCTGGCCACTTGGAGTGCCTCAGGTGTTACTGTAAGAAGGTCCTCCAATGTGCACGTGGCAGGGCTCAGACTGCATTGTAGTAGGTGGTCTGTGGTTTGCTCTTTTCCCCACTTGCATGTCGTGGACTCCACTTTGTGGCTCTATTTCTTAAGATTGGCTCTGCATCTCGTGGTGCCAGAGCACAGTCTGTTCAGTCCCTTGCAAGTTGTCCAGGCTTCTGCGTGCCCAGGAGGGAGTCTTTCATTCGGTATCAGCCATGGCCTGAGGTTCCAGGTTTTAGCCGGCCATTTTTGAACTCTTGTTTGCTGAGTATCTATGTAAATCATAGAAAACTATTTCTTGATTTAAGGTGTTGGCATGCTGACTGATATCCAAGTAAGGGAGGGGCTGGAGATGGTTCTTTCATTGTTCGCTGCTGCTTCCCAATGGATGTCAGGTGGTGTAATACCAGCTAAACAGTATAATTTCTCCAGTGGTGAAGAAATCTTACAGTTGAAGAAATACAGTACCTGTATTTTGTAATCATCACTATCTTCTTAACAATTCTTTATTCAATTGCAGCTCAAGTTCAGAAATCTCAAAGAGCCTTTCCACATCAAGCATTCCCACTATAATTTGAGGTCAGTGAAGTAATACCGAATATTTTAACCCAGAGTTGGGGTTAATGAACCTATGTGGAGATCCTAATGTTGGTTATGATAATGCAGGCATCAAATTCAGGTTTCTTTCAAGTTTAGTCATTTTCAGCATTTTGACCTACAAATTGAGCTCTCTCAGTTTGATTATTTATTTATTTATTTATTTAATGCACTTGTAGACCGCCGTTCTCAGCCCTGCAGGGCGACTCATGGCGGTGTACAACATATAAAAACAGGTACAAATATCCACATAACAATATAACATAAACACTAATAATACAGTTACACTAAATCATTCGCGACGTCTCATCATTGAATCACAATCCAGTTCCCATTATCCATATTCCGTTCCGATCGTCAATAGCCAATTGTTGCAGCACTTACTCAAAGGCCCTCTCAAACAGCCACGTCTTTAGACTCTTACGGAATGTCAAAAGGGAGGGCGCCGATCTGATGTCCACAGGGAGGGTGCTCCACAGCCGGGGGGCCACCACCGAGAAGGCCCTGTCTCTCGTCCCCGCCAGGCGTGCCTGTGAGACAGGCGGGATCGAGAGAAAGGCCTCCCCGGATGATCTCAAAGTCCTCGTGGGCTCATAGGCCGAGATGCGGTCAGACAGGTATTTTGGGCCGGAACCGTTTAGGGCTTTGTAGGCCAACACCAGCACCTTGAATTGGGCCCGGTAGCAAATCGGCAGCCAGTGGAGCTGGTACAACAAGGGCGTTGTGTGCTCCCTGCGTCCCGCTCCTGTTATCAACATGGCTGCCGCGCGCTGGACTAGCTGGAGCTTCCGGGCCGTCTTCAAGGGCAGCCCCACGTAGAGAGCGTTGCAGTAGTCAAGACGGGATGTGACCAGAGCGTGTACTACCGTGGCCAAGTCAGACTTCCCGAGGTACGGGCGCAGCTGGCGCACGAGCCTGAGCTGTGCGAATGCTCCCCTGGCCACCGCTGAGACCTGGGGATCCAGGCTCAACGATGAATCCAGGATCACACCCAAGCTGCGAACCTGCGCCTTCAAGGGGAGTGCGACCCCATCCAGCACAGGCTGTAACCCTATACCCTGTTCGGCCTTGCGACTGACCAGGAGTACCTCTGTCTTGTCTGGATTCAATTTCAATTTGTTCGCCCTCATCCAGACCGTTACAGCGGCCAGGCACCGGTTCAGGACTTCGACAGCCTCCTTAGTAGCAGGTGGAAAGGAGTGACAGAGTTGGACATCATCTGCGTACAGATGACACCGCACCCCGAAACTCCGGATGATCTCACCCAACGGCTTCATGTAGATATTAAACAGCATGGGGGACAGTATAGAACCCTGAGGAACCCCACAAGTCAAAGGTTGTGGCGTTGAACAGGTGTCCCCCAATAACACCTTCTTGATTTAAGTGTCTTATATGTAGTTACTATCCCTGAGATAATAATGTTAGGGAAAACTCCCCAAAAATACAGTAGAACATCCAAAAACTGCAAACAGGATACCTTAGTTGAGCATTCAGCTCATAGCAAGCAGAGCATGAAGTGATATGGCTGTCAAAGAATTTAGAGCTTAGGGGGCAAAAATGTAGAGTTCAAAAGGTTTATTTACAAAAATAATAACCTCATTTCTTAATAGTAAAGAACTGGGTCTGAGCTACTCTATAACTCCATCATCTATTCTGGGGTTCAAAGAGAGGGAGAAAGCTCCAAGAACTACATCTCTCCTGACACACAAGCAAAGAGAGGTCTCAATACACTAAGATGTAAAAGGCAGAAGTCTGAAACAAAGTCACGCATTGCAAAGTGTCAGTTCTATATAATCAATCAGAATGAGAGCAGAAAGAGTGAGAAGAGAACAAATAGATACATTCCAACTGCCATTCAGGAGAGGGTGGGGAAGAGATTCCCTCAGCCTCTTCCTAAGTTAACTAACTTCCTTATTGATGACTGCAGACTTGAACAGTGTGGAACTGAATTCAAAAAATTGTAGTATGAAGTTTATTTCATGATAATAGAATGGGAGGGCCCCCTGGTGGCATAGCGGGTTAAACCACTGAACTTGCCGACTGAAAGGTTGACGGTTCGAATCAGGGGAGCAGGGTGAGCTCCCGCTGCTAGCCCCAGCTTCTGCCAATCTAGCAGTTCAAAAACATGCATATGTGAGTAGATCAATATTTATTTATTTATTTATTTCGATTACTTCTACCCCGCCCTTCTCACCCCCGAGGGGGGACTCAGGGCGGCTTACAAAGAAGGCACAATTCGATGCCTATATCAAATATACATGCATAAAAACAGCAATTAAACAATTAACAGGTTAAAATCATCAGTACATAGCACAATCAGTAAACTAATCTCATGCTCAGTGTTCAGAGTTCCATAAATCCATTCCGTTCAGTCACTTCCTGTCCATCATCAAGGTCCTTCCTCTAGCTGCCAGAACGTCCAAATGCCTGGTCCCACATCCAAGTTTTCAATTTTTTTCTAAATGACAAGAGGGAAGTCGCCGATCTAATCTCCCCGGGGAGTGAATTCCACAGGTGAGGGGCCACCACCGAGAAGGCCCTGCTCCTCGTCCCCACCAGTCTCACTTGTGATAGAGGCGGGGTCGAGAGCAGGGCCTCCCCAGAAGATCTTAAACTCCTAGGTGGGACGTAGAGGGAGATCCGCTCGGACAGATACACTGGGCCAGAACCGTATAGGGTTTTGTAGGTCAAAACCAGCACTTTGAATTATGCTCAGAATTGGATCAGCAGCCAGTGGAGCTGACACAACAGGGGAGTGGTATGCTCCCTGTATGCCGCTCCGGTGAGCAATCTGGCTGCCGATTGCTCACTGGAGCGGCATACAGGGTACCGATTGCAATAGGTACCGATTCTGCGGGAAGATAACGGTGCTCCATGCAATCATGCCAGTCACATGACCTTGGAGGTGCCTACGGACAATGCTGGCTCTTCGGCTTAGAAATAGAGATGAGCACCAACCCCCAGAGTCGGGCACGACTGGACTTAATGTCAGGGGAAATCTTTACCTTTAATAGAATGGGAATTATATGAGAGGAGGCCGAGGATGCATAGATGTTAAGTAAAAACTGGATTCAAGAAGTGACTAAATATGTTTTGCTCTTTATAATCCATTTTTTTTACAGAAGCATCAGGGAAGCTCACAATAAATGTCTATTTTTATATCTTTCTGCCTGAATGCATAAAATGCATACATCGTCTCATAAAAGGCGACAGTGATTTATTCTGAAATTGTAATTGAGTAGAATTAGGTTTTAGTCATCTAATTTTCAGAAAGATGGGGACAATGACATTCCCACACTGATAGGAGCACCATGTTCAGGAACAGTAAATGACTGTAAAATTCGAGATGGATGATAAGATAACATGTGTTTTCTGAGAGGCATAAAAATCTTGAGAAGATGATAGTTACACATCCAGTTGTTCTTCGGCAATCTCAGGAAAACTAAATCATGTTGTGAAAGAGGTCTAACTTCAGTTTTTTCTCTCTTGCAGATCTTACCACTATTGCAATTTACCAGTCCATTTCAAACCAGCATCACCAGGTAGTTTTAAAGGCTCGCTGGTGGTAGAGACAGAAAAAAGCGGTATCATTACCATCCAGCTTATTGGCGTGGGTTTGGGCGAACAGTAGTTAAAAACTGCTGTTAATACGGTGTGCAAAATTTGAAACTAAATTATTGAATGATAACTTGTTTATTATACTAAAATGTATATTTTGTAAAAAGAAACCCTGGGCTATTTGTATTCTTTAATAAAGTTATTTTGTAGGTTATCATGCTTTGTATACTATTGCACTTTGGCTGTTGGAAGCAACAGTTTGTCCTATTTTTAATGAATTATGACTTCACAAGTTACAATTTTTATTAAAATATGAATTACAAAGTAATACAAATTGTCCATAAAATTCTTTCCTTTTAACAGGACCTAAAGGTGACTTGTGTTTTTTTCTAGCTTTGAACTTGAAGCAGAAAATAAAAAAGTGTAATATTTCAAGAAATATTTCCCTCTGTTGCCCAGATTTAGAAAAACTTGAGGGTTCTACTTTGTGTAGATTACGTTCAGCTCTACAATATTTCTTTACAATTTACAGTCTTCCCCAAATCTGTTTTGTTGCACTATTATTAGTGTTAATATAGTCTTCACTTTTGATAAATACAAATAATAATAATAATAATAATAATAATAATAATAATAATAATAATAATAATAACAACAACATTTTTACTGACTGATGATTAAAAGCTCTGGAAAAATCCAAACTGTCATGTTGGTATGTCCCTGGTTCAACTTTGGTTTGACCACTAATACCACTAACATAGTTCAGGTCATACAACATGTGGCCACACTCCACATGAGAATGGCACTAAAATATACCTCACAGGATTTCTGAAACATGTAGGTACAACTAGTCCAAGAACTCTAATTTAGTCAACATTTCCCTGTTTGCAACTGGTAGACTTCCTGTCTACTTTTGGAACAATGGGAAATAATTCCCTTGTAAGAGAACAGTTATAATCACTGTGATGTGACGGGCCACTTTTCTAGTTGGTGGTGCCTCCAAGTTGTCCACAATCCCTTTATTTTCCACCCACTTCTGTTTGCTCCATGAGCCACCATTCCTCCAAATAAACCAGCTGATTCCAGATTGATACAGACAAGTAAATGGAAGGTTTGGCCTCTGTTGTGTGTCTACCATTGTGACAAGAAAACCTGATATTCCTTCTGTTGTCGTTTTATTAATCAGTGTTGTTAGTTGACCAAATATCTAAATACTAACTAGGCATCTTGAAAATGCAGTATAAGATTATCACATACCCAACTAATCTCTACTCTTTCTGCTGACTAGTGGAATCCCAGTTTATGGTTGATAATACCAGGAGTAGTAGTAGTAATCCTCCTCCTCCTCCATGACTTGGATGAATGTTTAGAGGGCATGCTTGTCAGGTTTGCAGATGACTCCAAATTAGGAGGGATATTGAATACTCCAGAGGACAAGATCAGAATTGAAAATGACTTTAATAGATTAAAGAGCTGGGCCAAAACTAACAAAATTAATTTCAACAAGGACAAATGTATAATAATAACAACAACAATAATAATAATGCACTTTATTTATATTCCAACCTTCTCCCCAAAGGGACTCAGAGCAGATTACAGTATCATAGAGCAGACAAAGGCAAACTTTCAGTACCTTATTTACAGGCATACAATAAGACATACAACATAGACAAAGGCGAAGACTTCTTTCATTTCCAGCTTTGGAGGTGGTGCTCATCTCTGGCTCTAGGAGGTGTTCTTTCTCCATTTTTGATGCCGGGAGCCTGTGGCGTAACCTGATCATGTGGCCGACAAGATTGTGTCTCTGCTTTTTCCCATGGAAGCGGTACTCACGTTTGCTAGGTTGGCAGGGAAGCTAGGGCTGATAGGTGGGAGCTCGCCCTGTCTAGTGGATTTGAACTGCTGACCTTTTGGTCAGCAGATTCAGTGGCACAAGAGTTTAACCCATGGCACCACCGCAGCCCCACATAAGATAGGACACTTAAGCAGAAAAAATGAAATGTAAAGATACAGGATGGGTGAAGCCTGGTTCAACAACAGTCCATCTGAAAAAGACCTTGGAGTCTTCGTGGACAACAAGTTGAACATGAGCCAACAGTGTGATGCAGGAGCTAAAAAGCCAAAGGGATTTTTGGCTGGATCAAAACAGTATTGTGTCTAGATCAGTAGTTCTTAACCTGTAGGTTGCGGACCACCAGGACGAAAATCTGCTCCGCGAACCTCCTTCCTCATTTAATTTCCGCTTCTTTCATACTGCCTGCCACTCCTTCCCTGTCGCTGACCAAGGGATATGTTCTGTATTACAAACTAGAGCTAATGAGGTCTATTTAATGCAATTTTCTGAATCAGCACCCCAAACCAAATCTGAAGTTGACCAAAAACTGATTAGTAACCCTTTTGGTACTAATGTCAAAGTGGTCCCTGGTCAAAAAAATGTAGAGAACCACTGGCCTAGGTGGAGGGAAGTCATTGTGCCTCTCTGTTCAGGTTTGGTTGGACCTTACCTGGAATATTGTGTCCATTTCTGAGCACCACAGTTTAAAATCGATATTTACAAGCTGGAAGGCATCCAAAAGAGAGCAATTAAAATGATCAAAGGTCTGGAGACCAAGCCCTGTGAAGAGCATCTTAAAGAGCTGGGTATGTTTTGCCTTCAGAAGAGAAGGTTGAGAGAAGACATGACAGCCATGTATAAATATGTGAACGGAAGAAGAAGCAGGACTGTTGTCTGCTGCCCCAAATACTAGGACTCGGAGCAATGGATTCAAATTACAGGAAAGGAGATTCCACCTGAACATCAGGAAAAACTTCCTGACTGTAAGAGCTGTTCAATAATGGAACTCTGCCTCAATGTGTGGTGGAAGCTCCTTCCTTGGAAGCTTTTAAATAGAGGGTAGATGGCCATCTGTCGGGGGTACTTTGTGTTTTTCCTGCATGGCAGGGGGTTGAATTAGATGGCCCATGTAGTCTCCTCCAACTCTAATATTCTGTGATTCTATTATTTCAAATTTTAAGGCAATTCCATGCCAATTTATCTGGGAGTAAGTAGGTATGTTTAGGATTAATCCTTTATACCAGCGAGAAAGAAGATAGGAAAAGATCATAAGAGTTCCTTCACATAGTTAAGGAGTCCCCAGTGGTGCAATAGGTTAAACCAGGGGTCCCCAAACTAAGGCCTGGGGGCCAGATACAGCCCTCCAAGGTCATTTACCCGGCCCTCGCTCAGGGTTAATCTAAGTCTGAAACGACTTGAAAGAAAACAACAACAATCCTATCTCAACAGCCAAAATCAGGCCCACACTTCCCATTGAAATACTAATAAGTTTATATTTGTTAAAATTGTTCTTCGTTTTAATTATTGTATTGTTTTAAGGTGTTTTTTGCACTACAGAAAAGATATGTGCAGTGTGCATAGAAATTCATTCATGTTTTTTTTTTTCCAAATTATAATCTGGCTCTCCAAGAGTTTGAGGGACTGTGACCTGGCCCTCTGTTTAAAAAGTGTGAGGACCCCTGGGTTAAACCCTTGTGCCGGCAAGACTGCTGACCGAAAGATTGGCGATTGGAATCCTGGGAGCAGGGTGAGCTCCCATCTGTCAGCTCCAGCTTTTCATGCAGAACATGAGAGGAGCCTTCCACAGGAAGGTAAAAAACTGGACATGCCCTGGGCAACATCCTTGCAGACAGCCAATTCACACCAGAAGCGACTTGCAGTTTCTCAAGTCGCTCCTGACACACACAACATAGTCAATATTTTGCCTGTTTTTCTCTCTCTCTTAGTGTTGTATATCTTGTGTGCAAATATGAGATTGCAAGCATGTCCTGTGAAGTTGAATTTGTTCTTCTTTGGGATGCTCACAATTGCTATGTTTTGGTGTCCTAATCAGGAGTGGGGATGTTCATTGCCACCTGCACAAATCTGAACACCATCTGGGAAAGGCTTTCTAAAATAATTGGAAAGAGGGAAAGAAAGAAAGAAAGTTGTCCTTGAGAAAAATTGTGAAGAACCTTTGAATTTCTTGTACGAATTCGTATGAATTCTGAAGAGAGATGCTAAGGGCCCATACTGCCTCTTCAATAAACTCTTGGTTTATTAGGCAACTAATTATATGAAAATTATCCTCTTCAATATTGAAAAAAACAGCAGGGGTGAAACGAGGCCCCTTTCTTTCCTTACCTTCCCTTCAAGTTTCCATTAGGCTAGCGGTAGGTAATACTCATCCTGCATGGCATTGTGCTTCATTGTGAGTATTTTGTCACCAGTCAGAGCTGTCAGGTATATCAGTCAGGGTGCATTGTGGCTGTGTCAGACACATAAACAGAGAGATTAAATGGCTACAAAGGGCTCTGAATGAGGGAGCAAATTGTGTTGGGAAGGGGAAGGGGGAGTTAAAGAAACTGTGGTATGAAAAGGTCTGTTCGGGAGGCTCCGGCTAATATATGACAGCTGGAACAAGATAACAGGAGAAAGAGATCTTTGGGTGTTCTCTGCAAAATACGGCATGCTTGCAATAAATATTCAAATGCACATTTTGTGTTGCCAGTGCCAGATAACCCATTCAAATTGGACTACAATTCTTTTCAGATCATTTAAAATCTGCTGCCAAGAAATGTTTTGGGACAGTTTTATAAGCCCGCTAGGAATATTTGTGCTCAGCAGAATCACAAAACTTGGGGTTTCACAAAAGTTTCCTTGGAGAATCCGTTCAAGCCTTAAATGGTTCTGTGGTGAAAAATATCTAGTAGCAAATGCAGTTTGGGCCAAATTCTTTTTCATGAGAAATTTTTCTTTGCAAATCTCATTTGTTTGTGGGGTTTGGAACATTGCTTACGCAGAATAGAGTTATTAAAGCTTTCTGACCGTGCATCGCCTGTCAAGTGTTCCTTTCGAGGCCAAGGCAGTTCATCACCTGCCCCTCATGAGAAATAAATATTTCATTTGCTTGTATGCAGTTGCAGATTGAACCCACTATCCGAGGATTCCTAGTACTGAATGAAGGGCTCTTTTCTTGTGGAAAATTCCCATGGAATGAACTGGAAAAGCGCCACAATGTTCTACAATGCTTGATTTGGACACATTCAAACCATTTTCTCTTTTATTTTGCAGAAATAATAAGACAAGCAGGTTTTATACTCCACCTGTTTCTCAGTAACTACACAGCAAATTGTTACCATTCATCCTCTATTCCAACTCACATTATAAGCAAGGAGGTGAAGTGTGTGGTCCAAAAGTTGTTCCAGGGCTACAGATTCCTAGAAACCTCCGGGTGCATCTACACTGAGGAATTAACACAGTTTGACACCAATTTAACTATCATGACTGAATGCTATGGACTCGTGGGAGTTGCAGTTTGGTGAGGCAC